CTAAGGCTATCTGTGTTTTTTAGGAGGCTAGGATAATATTATTAGTAAAGCTGCAGCTTTGTGTTTTATAAAGAGCTACTATAATACTTAAGAAGAAAAATCTTTTAAACTAATTTTATATAAAGTTTTCCTTATTTATATAGTACCTACTACTATAATTCTAGTATACTATAACTTCTTAAGTAATAGTACTAACGTATATAAGTTGTTTATAAAAATTATATACTTATTAGGCTTAAGTAGCTAGGCGTTAATGTTACTAGCAAAGTAGTTAAAAGTAAGGTAAAGTATAAAAGCTTTTATTAGGTAAAAGCTAGAGGCTATATATTATAAGTTAATTTTATATAAGCTGTCCTTCTATTTAGTACCTTTACTATAAAAGAGCTAGTTTAATTAATACCTAGAATCTCTAAGGTGCTATATTTTATAACCTATTAAGTTAGACTTATAATTAATTATTATCTTTTCTTTAGCGTGTCTATAGAAGTAAGTTATACTTTTATCTATAGCTAAATATTACTTAAGACTCTAGTAGCGTTAGCTAATATAATAGATATACTTAGAAAACTCCTATATATATTTAAATAGACGCGTAAATAAGTTACTAACATTACGTAGATATATATTATAAAAGTAATAATTAATTTACTTAAACTAGATACAGCCTATAATTTTATATAGATAGAGGTAGACTACTTTAAATTACGCGTTAGAGCGCTAGTAATCTTTAATTTATACCTTATAGTATATACCTATATAGATTTATATAGCTAGGTAACTTAAGAAATTTATCTAGTGTTATATTATACTATGCGCAGGTATATACTAAGGTAGACTTAGGCTGTTAGCAATAAGCATTCTTATTAGTATAGTAGTATATTTTTAAAATTTTAATATTAGTAAAGAATAGTTTAAAGAGCTTAATAGTAGTCTAATTATAAGGCTTACTATTAGAGTAAGGTAAGCGTAGGCTGCCTTTATTATTAAGGTTACTAAGTATAAGTAGTTTCTATTCTAGTAGCTTATTCTTAGGATAGCCTTAGAAGTATATAGGTAAAGGCTTCTACTGTAATTTTTAGAAGATAGGTATATCTTTAGGTATAAGATTATTATTAGCGCAGCTGTGTAAAGCTATAGAAAGGAGGTTATAAAATATAGAGTAATAATATAGATATAGAGTAAGTTAGTATTAAGTTAATTAATAGTTTCTAAGTTTAAAGTTTATAACGTTTGCTAAACACTAACTTACTAATACTTAGCCCTGCTCTAATTAGCCTAATGTTAAGCTAAAATCTGCGGGTTTATTTTAGCGGACTATAGGATAGTAAGATTACTAGTTATCTAAGAAGTTTTTATAATTTAGCTATAGTTAATAATATAAACTAAGGTTTATAACTAAACTAAACTTTAACTAACAGCTACCTAAACTCTTAAATATGTATCTATACTAGTATATTAAGTAGAGTATTACTAAAATATAGTTAACCTGCTTTTTAATACTATTATTATATACTTTTACTAATTTCTACTATATATAAAGGGGCTAGGTATTAGCTTCTACACTAAGTTACTGTACTGTAATCTTACTGTATTGTGTCTATCTACTTATGCAATAAGTATAAATACGCTAAAACCCTAAAAAAATAATAGAATAGTAATACTTCTTACTTAAAAATCAAGAATATATTATAAAACTTAATAATTAATGTAAAACTTAAGTAATAATATTATAAAGTTAAAGTTTAGCTTCTTTTTATTTAAGTTTATTAGTGTAATAGACTTTTTAAGTAAACTTAGTTTTAATTAATTAATAAGCTTACTACTAAGTTATATAATTATAGTACTTTAACTTTAAAAAAAAGCTACTTTAAGTAAGCTATAATAAATATAAAGTATATTACTTTAAATTAAAGAATTATAAAAGTAATTGTTAAAGTATAAGACTTTACTATAAAACTATATAGTTAATATAAGATAAGGATAAAGCTAGCTAATTTTACTACAAAGTAGTAATTACGGTAATAGTAATAGTAGAAAAAGTAGTTATATTAATAGAAAGTAAAAAGTTAATACCTTATAACTAAGTTAAACTTTAGCTAAAGATAAGATAGTATATAATAACAATATATATATAACTAGAATATAATTATTATAATATATTAATCTTTATCCTTAAAGATATAAGTTTATCTAGCTAATAAACCTTTTTTAATACTTAGCTATTTTAATACAACTAATTAACTACTAGAAAGTAAGAAACTCTATACTAACCTTTAAATAAAAGCTACTTTTAAGTAGATATTCTTAAATTTTAAGTTTTTAAACTACTAAATAAACTTAGTATTAGTAATTTTAGTAAGGATTTAACTGTTTCTTCTTTTAAGTAATATAATAAGCAAGTATTACAATAATAGTAATAGTAATAGTAATTATAGCTATAGTAATATATAGTAAAAAACTAATAACTTAGAACTAAGTTAATTGTTAGTTATTAAAGATAGTACTTATAGTAATACCTAATAAGTGTTAAAAACTTATATATAATAAAAGAATAATAGTAAATTAATATACAAGTTTTTATCTTATAAAAAAAGATATATTTTAAGTTTTTAATTAAGTCTTAAGTGCTTTAAAGAATTCTAATTTCCTATATAAAAGATATTCTTACTACTCTAATTCTTTTTTTTTTTTTACTACTTATATAGGTTTTACAAGATCTTTTAAAAGATTCTTATATACTAGAGAAGTATTAGAAAAAACTTATATAACTTTTTTATAATTAGAGTAGTATTAGAAAAAACTTATATAATTTTTTTATTATTAGACTACTAAACGATAAAGCCTTAATATTTCTTAGTACTAGTAATTAAATAAGACCACTATTAAAGTAGAATTTTAGTAGGTATAAAGAATAAAGTAAAATAGATAAATAAATAGATTTAGTATATAAATTTTAATATCTAAAGTAAAGAAGAATTAATTAATCTAAGCTTAAGTATATTAATACTTAATATATAGGTTAATAGACATACTATAGTTAAACTAATATATAAAAAGTTAAAGTAAAAGCTTATACTTAGCCTTTTTGTATATAATAAATAGGTATAACTAGTTAGAATAATAGTAATAAAAAGTAAATTAACTGTAACTTAATAATATTCTACTTAATACAATCTTATAAATATATTAATAAAAGATTAAGCAGCTTTTAGCTAAAGTTTAGTTTAGTTTAAAACTTTAGTTAATCTTCTAAACCAATACTAAGTTATAAATCTTTTAAATAAACTAGTAATGTTAAATATACTACGTAGGCAGCTTGAGAATTAGTGTTAAAAACTATAACTTATTTAGATATACTTAAATCTAACTATTTTTTATACCTTAGAAATTAAAATAAAATAACTTTAATTATCTATCTATTTATTTTAGATTTATTTACTTATACTTAGCTAATTAAGTTATTCTATTAGTATTTTCTAAACGTTTCTATAGGATATGTTACAGTAACCTAATAGTATAATAACTACAGTTAGTAGTTACTAGAACTATTATAATACTTAAGATATTTCTAACAAGATTATTAAAAACCTAGTTAAGTAGTAAAGAAACTTAGAAAGTATAACTTAGTATAATAGTTACACGTTCTACTAAGTTAACATAGATAATTTATTTTACTTTCAGCTTAATTAAAAACTTTAAGTAAAAACCTTTATAGTTAGAGTGTTACTTCTTCTATTTTAAGTTTAAAAAACTAAGAAAGAATATATTTAATACCTAGCTTTTTTAGCTTTCTAGCTTTACTACTAAGTAGTATAGAAATACTGTTCTAACTAAAATAAAAAGTAATTTAAATAAGCTTATACAATCTTTTAGTATTCTACCTTAAATAAAATCCTTATAGAAGTAATTTTAGAGGTATAAAGTTTTTTTTAAAACTATAGAGTTAATATAGAGTAATAATATAGCTAGCTAATCTTTATTAAGAAGTTAAAGTAATTATAATAGTAGTAGTAATAATAATAGAAACTAGAAAGTTATTACTAGGTTATACTTAAGCTACTATAGTTAGTGTAAATATATAATAAGAACTAAGAGGTAATTAAAGCGCGTATTAAACTGAAATATAATAGTATTTTAATATATTAATATTAATTTATTTATTCTAGAAGAGTTAGGTTATATAAGCCTAGATAGAGGTATAGCTAATTAGGTATAGAATAAAAGACTATAGTAGAGTTATCTAATTAGTAGAGCTTACTTTACTTCTACCTAAGGTTTATATACTTTTAATATAAGTTTTACCTATTACTAGCGTAGAAGACTTAGGTAAGAGTTAAACTAGGGTAGACTATATATTAAGTTTAAGTTAGGTTACAGTTAGGTTAGACTTATAAAAGATATAACCTTTATATAACTTATATTTATTTTCTTATATAAGTATAACTTTTTATTTATTCTATATATTATTAGTAAAATCTAATATTAGAATTTTACTAATTCTATTTTGTTTATTTACAGAGTAGCTACTATTATATAGACTAATTTATTAACTTGTTCTAGAACTTAGAAGTAAATACCTAGAAATCTATAAATAAAGGTTGTAATATATAGAACTATATTATATTTAGTTATTTTAATAGTAAGAAGTTTAGTAAAAGTTATACCTATTAAATAAAGGTAAAGCGAGGGTTTTAAGTCTTTATTATTTGGGTTTTTAACAAAAGAGTAAGTGTTCTTTCTTTTATATAGCTAAAATAGAATTAAAATCTCGCTGCATGCTTTAATTAATCTAATTAGTACCTTATTTTACCTGATCTAGTTTATTTTATTCTAACTATTAAAGATGTATTAATAATAAATGAACAGTTATTAATAAGAAATTATAATCTTTATTACCCTTGTTTTGTATTTAATTATTTATGTATATTTCTATTCGCTAAACTTAACTTTCTATTGTGTCTTTCTACTTTTTTACAATTGCAGTATTAATAATTACATCTTGTAAATCTAGTTTATTTTATACGTTTATGTACTATCTAAGCTAAACTTTTTTTAACGTTTTCCTTGATATTCTTGCACGTCGCAACTGTATGTTGAGGATGAGATTCACTCACATTCACCTTTTGAGCATCAACATGCCCTACATTCGCACTGTCGTAAGTGGGGCAGTCCGCATCACTTACTTTCCCATAGCTCGTTCGATCGTCTTGGTCATACTTTTATCACGGCAACTCAACTTTCAACTGGTCAACCCAACAGGATCTACTTTACCATGCGCCTAACTACCATATCATTGCTCGCCTGTCTTCTGGCAATCACCTTTGCCTGCCCTTCGCTGTTCGACAATCCAGTCTTGGTTAGTAATGACACATACTTGTCTGCAGCGCTTGAGAAGCAGGTTGGCGAGCATGACCAACTTAGACAAAGGTGGGTAGACGCCGTTGACACTGTCACCACTTTAGACAGGAATCGCTTCTATAAGCGCTGGCCCAAAGATCCTATCAGCAATACTCACCTCATCTGGTACTGTTACGAGGATGAGTCAACGCATGCAGAGATGGCCACTACAGTCGACCAAGCGCTCAAGCTGTGGTACGACAAGATCAATGGCCCTGGTGCCGATAGTGGCCACGCTTTGGAAGTTAGAGACGGTACAGATCTTGCCTCTGAGCAGCCTTGGTGCCGTCTCCAGCCCCCTCACCCAAATGCGTACAATTGGGATAGTAACTGGAACCCAAAACACAGCCCCACTACGGTTGTGATTCGAAAAGGAAAGCCCCACGGTATCGGAGCTGTCGCGAGTACGGGTTACAATCCAGAAGCCACAGGAGGCGATCATTATGTGGTTGTCGATCTGTCCAAGTACCATCCCTCTCACTGGGCCAGTTCAATCGCACATGAGTTTGGTATGCAGATGCCTTCAAGGTGGTCATAGACTTTGCTAATTGTATTGGAGGACATGTCTTCGGGCTTTCACATGAACATCAGCGCAAAGATCGCGACAAGTATTACCACTTTGAGTGCAAGAACGTCGGCAACTACGACCAGGTCAAGGAACAGGTCAAACAACACAAAAGCCCAGTCAGATACAGTATGGCCGATGTCTGCAAAAGCGCCATGCTTGGTTTCTCCTACAACAACTTCGCTGCAACGGAGTTTTCGAAAGAGAATAGGATCGATGAAGACGGTATCGAAGAATTCACGCTCGACGGACCATCCGACCCTCAGTCCATCATGTCAGTTCAACCACGAAACCAACCTGTTTCGCCATGCTAACAAGTGCACTAGGCTCTACTCAAGCGCCGCATACATGAAGGCAGAGGGGAACTGGAAGGATTGGAAAGACGCGGTTCTTGTCAAATGGAAGCCTGCATTTGCAGGGGAGAGCCACCCCAGAGAACGCACCCAAGACAACTGCGACATCATCTATGCGAACACGTTGGTATCCAATGGAGATATGGAGTACATCAAGATCGTATACCCGTGGGTCTGATAGACATACACTGACTCTTCCGATTCTCTCCAGACTTCTGAGGTAAAAGATTCCTCTTTACACATCATAAGTAAATTCACAGGCATTAGATACCTGGATAGTTTGAAGAAATCTCAAGACTGATTAACAATGTCTAAGTTCAATAAAGCCACCTAACCTATCTAATGAGGCCCTAATGCATTGTTCAGAGTGCATCCATATTGAGTTTAGCTGTTGGTCTCTTTGTCTATCATAGTCTGGGCGAGATGTGCCATTAACTCGCCTGTGAACGTGTCCCCATGCATATGTTTCTCGCTTGTGACTAGTATACACTGACAAGTAGTTCGGACTTCTTGTCAGGTTGATGACAATCCCAAGAGCAGACGATGCTATGACTGCAATGGTACCCTGTGGTATACTGAGCTTCGCAAAGGGTATTGATTAAACATTGAAACGTTTTCATGATGAGCATCACGCTGTCTGATGACATGAAAGAGATGAGGGCAAAAGACACGCGTAACTTCCAGGACAATCAATACTAAGAAAAGAGACTGTTGATCTGGCCCTGCATTGGTTGATATGACACCCGTACCTCGTCAAACGATGAGAATCAAGGTGCCGTTCACATCAATGATCCTAGGTTTGATTTACAAGATGTGTTTGCAAACACGGTGATTGGATGAGACATATGAGAAACCAGAGAAAGCGTGCTTGAATTTGAGGAAACGCGATTCGCATTACATCCCTATGCCCCAAAGTCACTCCGCCATTCTTCCTCCTCTACCACCACCACCTCCTCTTCCTCCTCCTCTTGATTACACCATACTCCAATTCCGATACAGACGCTACTAGTCACTTACAGCTCTCTCAGATCTTCTGATTGTTGATATTATTATCTGCAATGATATCCCATGCATTGTGAAGAGGTCATATATACTCTTCCCCCTATAAAACCCAAGCACAACTCCAACGCTAAACATGGAGGATCCGTTCAGAGTTTACTTGACTGATAATTGGTGAAGACTTGACATTGATACTCCAGCAGGGTCATGAGTAATTGTGGACCATGAGAGGGTATGTTGCTAATCGGCGTATCACAACCGAAGCAAGGCGAGGAGATGTTTGGAAGAGACCCCTGGCGTTAACCTCGTGAGGAGAGAACGCTTTCAGAATGGATGAATCGAGAAGGTGCAAAGAGTGTTGCATTACATGAGTCGAGAACCTGCCTGTCACTCCCGACTGTCGTAGCATATCAAGTGGAGGACGTGGCAGTCACAAACTTTGGTGTGTACTACAAAGCCTTCCTGTAAGATATTCTCCCACGGCTATGATGATCGGTCTCTCGAACCATCCCTACTCCTGCTACGCCTTCTGCTACGACTTCTACTTCTTTCCCCAGGACTTCGAGTCCGCCGCCGATCTCGACTGTCCACGCTTCGACTCCTGCTTCGACTCCTGCTATCATAGCTCCGGCTCCTGCTCCGACTCCTGCTGTCATAGCTCCTACTTGGACTCCTGTAGCTCCCCTCGCTCCTGGCCTCTCCATCCTCGATCCCACCCATCTCCTCGTCAAGGGCATCTATCTCGTCTCCGAGTGGACTCTCTCTCGGATCCAGCATGTCTAGATCCTCCAAATTCGCCCTCGACGGTAGCTTCCACAGACTCGTTGCGCATATCCGGTCCTTGGTCAGCAAGTCGTCGATAAACTGGTCCATGTACGTCAGGGTGAAGGCGTCTTTGAGCCGGCGCTTGATTTTGCGGTAGTCGGTGAGCAGAGGCTCGAGGGTTTTGTAGATCTCGACAGGCTCCCAGGCGAGACGAATGTAGAAGGCCGCGAGACAGCGGAGATATTTGAAGGAGCCAAGCTTGCCCGCTGCGTTGAGATCTTGTTCCTTTTTGTCTTGCTCGCCCTCCTCAGCAGCTTCCTTGTCTTCTTCTTCTTCTTCTTCCTTTTTGACCTTCCCATTCTCGTCTTCTTCATCCTCGTCCTCGTCCTCGTCTCCCTTGAAATTCAGGTACTCCAACACAATCGCCTTGTCCGGCACGAGTTGCAACATCTTGAATGCCAAGCACAGGAACGGCGTCGGTTTTCCCATGATGCCCGTCGTGCCACCGATGAACTTCAAGTCTGCAGCACGGTCACATAGTGTCGCCGCATTGAGACCAAAGCACTGCTCCTTCCAGTAGTAGGACTCTGTGATGCGATCGCGAACACCCTTTTCGAAGAGCAGCGCCGGGTTCTGGCCGCGGATCAGAGCGCCCGAGTAGCCGCGGTCGTCGAGGAGGGCGCGCGCGTCAGCTTTGTCGTATGCGGGTTTCGACATTGTGGATGTGAGTGTTGGATGGGAGGGGCTATTGCATGGCTCTGAAGGGGGGGTTGGGATGTGCGACGAGTAGGAAGAATCGTGTAGAGTAGCAACGTGACGGTGACGGTGGTCGCAAAGTCGCGACTGCCCAATTCGCCTATCGATTGTTGCTCCTTCCAACCGGGCAATCAACACTGCAGCCCTATGAGCGATCAGGCCCAGGCCCACATAGCACGTCACACACATTCACGACATACGCCTACCTGCACGCGCTCGCTCCTGCATTTCCGCAAACCTTCTTCGTCGACTATCTATGCCCCTTTGATACCCTTTTATATTCCTACCATGGGCCGGCTGCTTCTCACTTCAAGCCAGGTCTCGGTCCTGTTTTCTGCTACTGTTGGTACACTCGCTCACATCGACACATGCACCGCAAGACACTGACTACTGGTCGCAGTCTTTCTTTTTACCCTCGCGCTCTTTCTGTCCGGTTACGTCCTGCAACAACGATATGTGCACAACCTACAAGCCGCGATAAGACCACGTCTGCCGAAACCATTACCCGCAGCGGTTCCCATATTACCACCGACGCTAGATGCGAAATGGGCGAGACCCATGGGAAGTCGTCCCGAGGTGGACGAGACAATGGAGCAGTATATAGCAGGGCAGACGCTGGACTGGAGTAGGCTGGGTTACGTGCAGGTAGTGAGGGAGCATATCGAGCTGTGCAGCGCTGTTATGCTGCTCTCTGATCTGCACAGGATGAAGAGTCCAGCCAGGAGGATACTTATGTTTCCCCGATTGTGGTTGCAGCAGACGGAAGAGAAGCAGAAGGAGAAGTGGGATCCAGAGTTGGCGACGACGTGGCGCTTGCTGAGGAACGCGGTGAGGCGATATGGCGTGCATCTCATACCTATGGAGACTATTGTGGACGGAGCAGACGGTACGTTCGATCTTCACCAAGACCACGGGGCATGCGATTGACGGACAAAAGCAACGTTACCGTCGTCGTATTCACTAGCGAGCCTGTATTCACTGGTCGATTACGAGAGGATAATATACCTGCAAGGACCCGGCGTCATGCTCGACGCATCTGCGCTGGACTCGTTGCTGGCGTTCTCAAAATCCGAGCCCATGGCCGCTTATCCAGCGACGCCTGAGCGGACGGACTTGTCGACGTCGCTGCTCCTCATCCATCCAACGCAAGAAAACTACCACCAGCTGAAGAAGCTGCGAACGTCGAGTCCAACATCAGACCTCGACCTCTTCCGGAAAACATTCGCGGCGCCCAAGTCACTAATTTCAGAGTGGTCGCTGTCTATGGGAAACGTCGTCTTCGTATCGCAGAGCCTTTGCGACGCGAGTGATAGCTTCAACGCGACCGAGTTCGAGCAGGCGACTACGTTTGTGCGGCTGTCAGATGCCGGGCTGCCGGGGCCCGAGTACGATGTGCCATTCTGGGAGCGTGCAAGAGTGCGGCCCAAGAACGAGCAGGCCAAAGAGGCGTGGGGCAGGCTGTACGAGAGGTTCCGGCAGCAGCGCATGGAGGTGTGCGGGCTGGACCTTGAGGTGTATCAGCCTGTGGTGCTGTCGGGCGTGACTGATGAACTGTGAGACGACGAGACGCGTGCTTGGTGGTTACGTTGTTTGTTTTGAATATCACGATGCTACGAGTGCATTCAGTCGCAATGAAGGTGATGCACGGCCATGACTCTGTGCTGTTGGCGAGATCTAGGCTGGGAGCGATGTGGCACCATGACGCAACCGTGTAGAGCTCCCCGCGGCAGGCGCAGTGCAGGCCGGCGTGGTAGGCGGCCACAGGCGGGCTCACAGGCTGCGGAGAGCGGTGTAGCTGGGTGGGCAGAGGCACATACGAGCGCCCGTGGCAGCAGCGGCCAATGCGTGCTGGGGCCGGCGGTGGCAGCAGCTCGGCGGCGCGAGACAGCTTCGTTCTTTGATGCGCCGATCGCTGGGCCGGCCGCCTCGCACCTTCCCCGCGAGCATCAACCAGCCCCCTCACCCATCTCTCGCGCGCGCCTGCAGCCGTGGATGCCCTGCACACGCTCGCCCTCGCTCGCCCTCGTCCTCGTCCCCGTGTCCGGCCCCAATTGCTGCTGCACGCGTCGCCCCGCTGCCCGCCTGTTGCGTGCCGGCTGTAGAGTGACGGTTGTAGCGTGACGGACGGCGCTGGCCATCGAGCGACGGTATGCCTACCCTCGGTTTCCTCAAGAAGAAGCGGACCAAGGATTCGACGGGCTCGGCCGACCTTGCGTCGCCCACGTCGCCCACCAAGGACAGCCACCGGCCCATGACGCCCACGTCGTCGAAGCGCACCTCGGGCTCCTTCCACCTCACCAAGACGCGCACCAACGACTCGGCCACGGCCGCCTCGAGCGCCTCTGCCCACAAGCCGACCGACTCGATGAATCCGGCCGCGCACCCGCCGCAGCCCGCCGGCGCGCCGTCGCACAACGTGCCCAGCATCCAGAACATGATCCACCCCAGCGGCGCGCAGGCGGCGCACCAGCAGCCGACCAAGAACGGCGCGGTGCAGTTCCAGACGCACCCGCTCAACCAGGCGCGCGTCACAAAGGGCAAGTACACCCTGACCGACTTCCAGATCCAGCGCACGCTCGGCACGGGCAGCTTTGGCCGCGTGCACCTGGTCCAGTCCAAGCACAACCAGCGCTTCTACGCCGTCAAGGTGCTCAAGAAGGCCCAGGTCATCAAGATGAAGCAGGTCGAGCACACCAACGACGAGCGCCGCATGCTGCAGCAGGTCAAGCACCCCTTCCTCATCACCCTGTGGGGCACCTTCCAGGACTCCAAGAACCTGTACATGGTCATGGACTTTGTCGAGGGCGGCGAGCTGTTCAGCCTGCTGCGCAAGTCGCAGCGCTTCCCCAACCCCGTCGCCAAGTTCTACGCCGCCGAGGTCACCCTGGCCCTCGACTACCTGCACTCGCACAACATCATCTACCGCGACCTGAAGCCCGAGAACCTGCTGCTCGACCGCCACGGCCACCTGAAGATCACCGACTTCGGCTTCGCGAAAGAGGTGCCCGACATCACGTGGACGCTCTGCGGCACCCCCGACTACCTGGCCCCCGAGGTGGTGGCCTCCAAGGGCTACAACAAGTCCGTCGACTGGTGAGTTGACTGAACCCACCACACACTGTCGCCTGCTAACGCCGCCAAGGTGGTCCCTCGGCATCCTCATCTTCGAGATGCTGTGCGGCTTCACGCCCTTCTGGGACGGCGGCTCGCCCATGAAAATCTACGAAAACATCCTCAAGTCGCGCGTCAAGTACCCACCCTACATCCACCCCGACGCACACGATCTGCTGCAAAAGCTCATCACCCCCGACCTCACCAAGCGTCTCGGCAACCTCCACGGCGGCAGCAAAGACGTCATGAACCACCCCTGGTTCGCCGAGGTGACATGGGACAGACTGCAGAAAAAGGACATTGACGCGCCATACGTCCCACCCGTGCGAGCCGGCGTCGGCGATGCCAGCCAGTTCGATAAGTATCCGGAGGAGTCGGAGCAGTATGGGCAAGCTGGCGACGACCCGTGCGTGCAGGCTCCGCCGTACACTGTAGATCACATTCTGACGTGTCCTAATAGTCACGGACACCTGTTTCCCGACTTCTAGACACGTCCGTCCGTCCTTCTCTCCTTCAGCCGCTTACACAACTCCACCAGCCATGGTTGCTTGTTTGTTTGCATCAACGACGCAACCATCAAGCCCGTGTCGAGGTCCCACTACTCTCTCTATCCCTCTTTCCCTACCAGAAGCTTTTGACAAACATGTGGGCTATGACAAAAGCGCGAGGTGGCTTGTGTACTCTTTCCTTGATTTGTGTTTACTAGTTATTCTTATTCGTGCTGTTTATGGCACATCATTGGATACGGTGCGAAGCGGCGATCGCACACCAAGTGCACGAGGTGCGCCGGAAGGAAGGATGGGCTGATCAAGTCAAAACAGACGATACAATGCAACATCAACAGTGTCATGACGAGCTTTTATGCCGAGGAACGGCTGTTGTGTTGTGGGAAGTAGAGAAACTAGGTAGACGGGTATAATCCTATAATCCCATCCTCGAGACGTTGTACTGTGTTCTTTCTGTGCATGCTGTACTGCTGAGTGATGCAGGGGATGGATAGATAATCTTGATGTGCTGTTGTGAAGACTGATGCTGGAGAGTGATGTCATGTATGTCATTCGCCAGTAATGCCGAGGCTCTATTCATGGAGGAGGCGGACCTCACTATCATCCCTATGCGTGTCGGTTTTCTTAAGTATTCTTTGTGTGAGAGAAAACATACGCGTGCATTGGAACGAGAACCATACGTGGATGGGAAGAAGCATGCTAAGTCTGGCTTGGAGAGTGGTGTAACGTGGGGGATAGAAGGCACTGTATGTGACCGTCTCGGACGTAGGCATAAGAGATTGAGAAGCTGATCTTCATGGATGTATTCGGTAGGATCGTCTTGAATCGTGGGATGCCCTGATTGTACTCTACGGTTCAGGTGCAGGCGCCCGACTAATAAGCTTTGTAGAACTATCATACACGCGTTGTTTGTGGGGGGAACGCTGAGATGAACCACACGATTGTAGAGACGAAGGAGATGGACAAGATGAACGAGATAGACAAGATGGACGAGATGAAGAGTTGAAGAGATGAAGAGATGAAGAGATGGAAAACGTGGAACATACAAAGTTCGACTATAAAGAGCATAGAGAAATTGTTTGCAGTAGCTCTAACGAACCACAGACGATGAGTACCAAAGTCCTAACGAGTATTACACTATCCCACTGAGTGGAGATATTGACGCGTCAGAAGTGTTCGAGATATCACTTCCTTGGGAAGAGGTTTGCTGTTGCCTTCCATCGATTGGATTCCGCAACAGGCGTAGTTCATTCTCTGCAACACAACACGACAATAGCACTGCGATCCAGCGCTTCCATAGGTGCTTGCGCTGCTCTGTCCGTTCATCAAGATCTATTGAATGGCGTGCTGGACTTGACCCGTTCTGTGCTGGACTTCGGCGCAGCCTCCTACGAACGAGATTGGAACAAGCATGTGAAAAGACAGCGCTGACAACCTACACAATGAGTATGTGTCAACGAATACAGTCATCTCAGCCTTCAAGTCGTCGTAGGGTCATTCGGTTGACAGGTTTTGCAAGTACACGGTCGAAACTCAGTGGTTGAGCAGGTTGCTGTGTGTGGTTTCTCCGGTGATATCGCAGTATTGGCTTGGTTCAAGCGGACAAGACGGTGCAAACAATCCTGTTTCGGGCTGACTTTTGTGCAAAGAAGCCCTCAATTCTTCTTTCTCCGGTCGAAAGGTCCGACGTCGCTCCATGTCCACGTTCACGTGGTTGAACGTACGTCTACAGTTGACAACGGCGAAACCACCACAGCCACCGCCTAGCTTTCGCGCGGGAAACAAGGGGCGTGAGGTACGAAGAGGTCAGCGAGCGACAGTTTGGGGGAGGCCGCGATATGCCAATGGTCGGACCAAGAGATGTGCTCGACTCGACACAACGATGACGGTGCCCAGAGACAAACAGATCTACACATCTTGACGCAGCAGGCGTGCTTTTCATAAATATGAAAGTTTGGCAAGCGAGATAAGGCACGACCTCTTTGGGCTGATTGGCTTGTCAGCCGTGTAATGACCCTCCCCAGCCTCCACAATCTGATCAGAAAAAGCACAAGATCCCCATTTGCGGGGAAGCGATCTTCAAGATCGTGAATTGAACCCCGGGATCACAGGCGATCTGCTTGGTTTCGCCACGATGTTGTGCTTATCGTACAGGTGCAAAGATGCACCATCGCACGTGGCTGAGCTTCACCACGACCACACGTTAGGACCAGTCCCAGTCTTCGCACGACGATCAGCCGCCCGAACCGAGAACAAGTGTCCGACACTGGCTGTCCTTGTTGTCCATGTTCCAGGCCGTATTCCTGCCATATCTGTAGCTTCATTACTGACGCTACAAAACTGGCTATGCTCAGAGCAATAGAAATCATATTACCCAGAGTTGGACACAGACTGATTGTCAGCAAGACCGCGGAAAAACAGCAATCATATTTGTCTGCTGCAGTCTTGATAAGGATTCCACCCTAGTGTCGCTTGATATTGCCAAGAGATAAGAAGATGCCCGCTCCGTCAACTAGAATACTTCCCGGGCGCCACTATCCCACGCCAAACGTCTCCCAGCGAACCACAGCTCTGGTAAGAATATTTTACCGCTCCGATCAACAGAATTCCCGCCTTAATGATGGTTTCCGCTATTAAGCTTTGGGCGTTGTCGTACGCGGTTGCCAAGCAGTTGTTCTGGTGCTCCGTAGCCTGGAACTGCGGCTGATAGGCTTGTACCTCCACCAATTCTTGTGTGGAGGCGCGGAACGCCCACAGATAACGAAAAGCTCCAGCTTCTGGTCCGGAGAACTGTCAAAGCTCTTGGCTTGGGGGACAATTTGTGTTGAACACTTGGCTCAGCGGACGATCTGCGTTACGTAGCTATACCGCGGAAGTACTATGGTAGACCAGTGTAAAGCGCTCTATATAACATCTGGGTCCGTATCTCCCTCCATGTTCATCCGCAAGCAGATCAGACTCCCTTCGTGCCTACAAGGCCCCGCAGCACACCCTTGTCTCCCCACACAAGCCCCATCTGCACCCCAGATTCACTTCCCACGCACATCATCATGGGTTTCCAATTGAAGCAACTCTGGTCTGCACCAGAGATCAACCCCTACAACAAGAAGGCGAAGTCGATTCCCATCTTCAACCCTTTCGACAAGTATGGACGGGTGTTCTTCTTCTCATACCTAGGATTCTTCATCGCGTTCTGGTCATGGTACGTTGTTCCCCACAACCAGGTCCAACCCCACATGCATCATACTAACGTCTTGCAGGTACGCGTTTCCGCCTCTGGTATGAACTCCACTCCCACGTGACATGTTCGATATAGATTCTAATTCATGCACAGCTTTCCGTCAGCATCAGGCAGGATATGCATCTCTCCCAGAATGAAGTCGCCAACTCCAACATCATCGCTCTCACGGCCACACTACTTGTTCGAGCTATCGCCGGACCCATGTGCGATAACTTCGGTCCCCGGAAGACCTTTGCGACACTTCTCTTTCTCGGTGCCGTCCCAACTGCCATGGCAGGCACTGCACACAATGCCATGGGCCTGTACTTCATTCGCTTCTTCGTCGGTATCCTTGGCGGTACCTTCGTTCCTTGCCAGGTCTGGACGACGGGTTTCTATGACAGGAATATCGTCGGAACCGCTAACGCCTTGGTCGGTGGTTGGGGTAACTCTGGAGGTGGCATCACCTACTTCGTCATGCCTGCCATCTACGACTCTCTCAGGCATGACCGAGGCCTGAGCTCCCATGTCTCATGGCGAGTGTCCTTCATCGTCCCATTCATCCTCATCACAAGTGTCGCTTCCGGTCTTCTCCTCCTCACTGAGGACACCCCAACCGGCAAGTGGTCTGAGCGCGGCGCTGTTGTTGCCCCCATCGATCACTCGCACGCCTCGGTTGTCCCCACAGCCGGTGGACTTGCCGACAAGCCATCGAACGTGACCTCCGGATCCATCTCATCTGCCGACGAGAAGAAGCAAAAGCCACTCGCTCACGGCGACGTCGAGTCAGCCACCGGCGATGTGCAGATCATCGACGAAGTCCAGCACGAGATCGTCGTCAAGCCAACATTCAAGGAAGCCATGAAAGTCGTCCTCTCACCCCAAACCCTCATGCTTTGCGCTGGTTACGTCTGCTCTTTTGGTGGTGAACTGGCTATCAACTCTATCCTTGGATCTTACTACCTCAAGAACTTCCCAGCTCTCGGCCAAACCAACTCCGGGCGATGGGCAGCCATGTTCGGTCTCCTCAACGTCATCACACGACCGCTTGGTGGTTTCATTGGTGATGTGATTTACAGGTCGACCAACCACAACCTGTGGGCAAAGAAGTTCTGGATTCACTTTGTTGGCGTCATGAGCGGCATCTTTCTCATCATCATCGGCAAGCTTGATTCGCACGACCGTCCTACCATGATTGGACTTGTGGCACTGATGGCTATCTTCCTGGAGGCTGGCAACGGCGCCAACTTTGCGCTTGTACCTCACATTCACCCCCACGCTAATGGTAAGTCCTTCTAATTCCACAAACTACGAACATCTTACTAACAATCTCAAAGGTATCCTGTCTGGTATCGTTGGCGCGTCTGGAAACTTCGGTGGCATCATCTTCGCCATCATCTTCCGCTACCACGGCAAGAACTATGCACAGGTCTTCTGGATCATCGGCATAATTGTCATTATATTGAACACTGCTTTCATGTGGGTTCGACCGATCCCTAAGGGCCAGATTGGTGGTCGCTAGGTGTTCTTGTTCTTCTGCGATTTTCTTTGTGCGTTCTTGAGTGATATCCAATACCTTAGAGTTGCGTTTGATGCTATAATGCAATAGTCCTTATTCATTGTTGAACACAAGAAAGTGGTGATTCGTGGTGTGTATTTTGCAAGTACGTGATATGAAACGACATCATCAAGCTTCAACCTATGGGAGTAATTGCCATGCGGAAGTTGAATATCATACTACTTTCTTAATTAGAGGGTCGACAACTATGGCAAAGTTATTCTTTGCTACATCCTAGCAGCACAAACCATGTGTATTTCGACATCCGCTTCCAAACAATATATACACCTTATCCAGACGACTTTCTACTACGAATATTCCCCTACGATATCGTTTGGCCCTTATGCCGCAACACTAACAGGCTTGACACCCACTTCCGTCATGTTCGCCTTCTCGCACTCCTCGACCGGACTATCAACCTTCTCCACCACATCCGTCAAGCCCATGTATTTCAAATTCGCGGCCCAGCCTAGATCCTGGCCAAAGTAACTCTGCATGACATCTACTCCGTACTTGATTCCGTTCTTGGGGTCGTATGTGAGACACTGTTTGCCGACCGCAATACCGATGACCGCCGCCCAAGCGGGGAGTTCAGTCACAGCGTGGCGATCTGCTTCTGGTGTGGAAGCAGGGAGTTCGCTGTTGAGGATCGAGGCGTAGATGTTTTGCGCCGCGGCTTGGCCCATGACTGTTGCGCTGCCGGCGCGCTTGATGCCCGTCCAGGAGATCACGTCCCCGACGCCGTAGTGGTGTGTATGGTTTGGAATCGTGGGCTTGAATGCAAGAGACTGCTCAACTATGATCTCCTTGTCGGCGTTCAGACATGAGGGCGGGAGGATATGTGTTGTTGGACTGCCTTTCTGAGTGGAGTCGATGACGAAGTCTGCGGTTAGGACGTCGTTGTTTGCGAGTGTAACGGAGAATTTTCCGTCTGTGAGAGAAGAAATGGATGCCCGGCTGCCGAGGATGACGTCGACACCTTCTTCCTCGAGGAGGAGCTTCACACGCTCTTTGAGTTCCGAGGGGAGCGGTTCGGAGGAGAGGACTTCGGCGCGAGAGTGTACGAGTGTGACACTGATTTGGGGGTAGTAGGATTTGACCTCGCTGGCAAATTCGACGCCTACGGCGCCAGCGCCGATTACTACTACTCTCCGTCCAGCGTATTTGCTCGGATCTCCGCCTGTGATTTTTTCAATGAAAGACTTTGCGTCACTTAGGTACTCCTCATAGCTTCCGCTTTTTGGTACAGCAGGCCAATGTCTCTTCAGTCCTGTTGCCACGACGAGGTAGTCGTATGCGTGTTGCTGTGTGTTGCCATTGCGATCGCACCACTCTGCAACTTTTGCTTCGGGGTTGATATTCTTGACACTACCGTGCTTGAAATGCAGGTTCGAATGCTTCAGCTCGTTCAAATGGCTGAAACGCCTCCACATGTGACTTGTGTACTTTGGCGTGACATGTGCAAGAGGTGCACCGACGGAGTGAACTGTACCTAATCAGCACACAACCTTCATGCATGGCGGAAGCAGAGTGATGGATTTAGGGAAAAAGACAAATCAATGCCTCGGTTAGTGGGGCAGGTAAACGCACAATATCCATCTCGCTCGTCGATGACTGTAATTTCAACACCTCGACTGCTTCTCGCGCCCTTGAAATCTGGTCCTGGGTACACGCTCTGTCTCGCTTTTCCCTGCGAGTACTCGAGAAGATTGACAACGGCCGAGATGCCACCGTATGCGCAGCCGACAACCAGGATACGATGCGGCGAGGAGAGGGACAAATTGCCCAGTGTATCGGTAATATTCGGTAGCCTCATCTTGGGTTGAAAGATTCGGGGGGGTAGAAGGGGCAGATGGTAGATGATCTGATAAGATTAAGATCAGGCGTGGGAGCGATTTTATTGCGCGACAGAAGGACCGGGCGCCTATGGCCGGCTTCGGTCTCAGTCGGTCCACTTCGCGTGTTACAGAAATCCAAAAGTGGCCAACGGCGCATCAAGTATGAGACGTAATTGGTGGAATTCAAGGCGGAGTGTTATCAGATGGTGCAAATTTTTATCAGATCCATCGGTAGAGTGCTCGGCGCTTACGAAGCCTGCTGTCCCTAGCCCAAAAGTCCCACCCCACCATGCAAAAAGATTACGCACGACGTCCACGACGCAAAAAGATGGGATCTCTCGAGCAGGGAATTGAACCCTGGTCTCCTGCGAGCTGTCTGATGGTGACAAGCAGAAATACTAACCACTATACGACTCGAGATGCGATCGCTTGATGAAATAGTTATGAGTTTGGCAATCTATATACACTCACGTGTTGTATCGCATCCATCGCGCTCGAGGACTACTTCCGCTCCAGATCCATGCTTGAGCTCACGCTAACGGTCCCATACAGTACACTTAGCACATCATTGACCAGCGTGTCATAAATGAAATGAGTTGATTGGTGAACTTCACTAGTAGCCAGGCTCAACCCATCACCAAAATCGTAGTGGATTGTGTCATCTGTGCTTCCTATTGGGGACGGCTTGAAACATCTTCTTACATTGTTCCCACCCGTTCATACTTTTCGAGAGGCATAATGCACCCCATTCGGACCATGTGCTTGAATAATATGTCCAACAACGGTCCGTGTTATACAGATCGATTGCTGTAACAACGCGTTCACAGCCGTAGCAATTTTCCGTTCTTGTGTTGCGTTTGTGCGTAGACCATGAAGCACCATAGGTGTAGTAATTTGGTGTAATTCGAGAAGCTAACTATACACATAACGGTTGAGACGGGCATAGAGGAGGTGTTAGTACAAGGCAAGTCTTGCACAGAAGAAGGTTTAGTGTAAGGGTTTCCGTGATGACTTTTCCTCCTTCGCGACCAAGGATTAAGAGTACCATATCGATGACAGCCTGGAAGGGAAACGCCGCCGACGGCTTGAGATACCTACCTGCCTTAGAATCAACGACCGTCTACCGTACGCCCAAATGGAATGGTGGAAATGATACTTTCTTCGTTGTTACAATATTCTCAATCACGTGGCATACGTCATTCTCGATCCTCTTATGTATATCACGTGATTGGCAATCCTCGTCTGTGATCATGGTTCCCGGCAACGTACACACTCCCATAATCGAGCCGGAAAAGCACAATGACAAACATTACTTCAAATTGGAACTCAGTTGGAAGCAGGAATAAACTCGTCTATGGAGCAACATGTTATCATGATATGCTACTCAGGCCTCACTCCTTTGTTTGTGGATATTCAACAATCTGCATTGACATCAGGTCAACATCATAAGATCATCCATCCAAACCCCCTTAACGCAAAATCGTCTCCGACATCTCATGTCTAAACAACTCTCACTATGCGTGTGCTCGACGCCATGTTTCTCCAACTCTTTCTTTGTCAGCAGTGTTCCGTCCGCACAGACTCCGCACTTGAACTGCAATACAGCAGCGATCACTTTTTGAAGATCACCTTTTTTCGGTTTGGCACAAGGATCATGCCATCGAATCTGCGTTGTAGATGGAACGAAGAAATCGTCTTCATCCGAGTCCATTCTTCGTTGACTGTTGCACATGCCGTGTGTAGAGGTCGAGATATTGATATTGAGTTGAAATGGTGCGTGTGCGACGACTGCGTTGTTGGAGATGTCCCCAGAAGATGATGAGGTAGTATTTGGTAACATATCCCGTAGCGTAGCACTACTGTTGGCCGTTGGACTCGGATCTAAGAATGACATGGCAAGCTGGTAGTCGAATTTGTGCTCTAGGAGATCAAAAGTATTCCGCATCGAGATGACTTTGGTGATTTCGCTGATCTCCGAGAGGTCGAGTCTCCTCGATGTAGCAAGTTTCGTCATGGTTCTTAGGAAATTGTCGCTAACTATCGCAAAGTACGCTCGTCGGAAGGAATGTTGAATGTCTTCCGGCACCATATTTTGCATGTTTGTCATGAACTTCCCGCGTTCCTGGGTACACGCTACTACTTGTGCGTAATTTTGGTCTTTCGATATGGGAAAGTGGCTTTGACTCCATTCATACGAGATGCCGTCTATGATTTCGATGTGATTTCCACAAATGTACGCAACTAGGAGCTCTATGACCTCTGAAAGCAACGACCCTTCTAGTTTGCGAGCTGCAATAATAAATGGCTGGGTACCAGTCAGGCCCTCGAGCTCTGGATCTGCTCCACCGTCTAGCAAGGTTTGCAAACAAGGGACTATATCAGCAGCCGAACACTGTTCGATGCATCTCATCAGCGGCGTTCTCCCGTCACCATGCACTGAATTCAGATCAACGCCCCGTTGAATGAGCTGATTGACGTCTCGCAACATATCAGCGGGATGTCGTTGGGCGTCTGGGCAAGATCCAAGCACGTCGTGAAGTAGACAAGCGCCATTGGTTCCAGGGTCTTGCGGGATGCTATCAACAACAAGTCGGGCGATGTTTGGTGTCGAATGCCAGAGTGCTTGATGCACGAATGTATCCCTTGAGGCAGATCTGCATGGATAATTCGAGAAAGGCGACTCCAGATTCGCGCCTTTCTGGACAAATATACGTAGACAGTCCAATTCGATCGAGCTTGTTTCTATAGCCCAATATGGTATCTCCTGCCACGGTTTGACGAACATTTGGAAAGGCGTGAATGCATCATCTAATGCGGAAATGCTTGCTCCAGCATCCAATAACATCTTCAGGATCTCATCGCATTGTGCTTTCACAACCGTGTTTGTGTATTGCATCGCTCGATGCCGCAAGCACAACTGCAACGCAGTATACTTACCCGTGCTATCAGGGGAAGGCCCCACGATGTTGACATCTGCTCCTTTAGCGAGCAAGATACGAACGACACCCGGTACCGCCCAAAACACGGCTTGTAGGAGAGGCTTCCACGTGGTACTAGGGAGCCCATTGACATTTGATCGACCGGGAACGAGTAGCGCTTGGACGGTATGCGATCTTCCGTTTTTGATAGCGTTGTGTAGTGCCAGGTCTGTTCCCAAGGGATGTCTTGATCCTGTTGCACCATGCGATATCAGCACCCAGACAATGGGTCCGCATGGCAATCCGCATGCAATATCAAAGAGCGTTTGTCCTGGGTGTTGAAGAATCAATATGCCATTCATTGCTGGATGACCATGAAAGCGACTGCTGGGTGTCTCGAAGGGTAATCCAATGGGGTTGTTAACATGGTCCATGTTCTCAGCAACGAGTTTCTCAAGTCCGTGCGAATCTTTATCTAGAACAGCACCTAGCATCTCCATGACGACATCCGACTCCACCGCTTGATCATCAGGCGAAGGATGATTCGACGGCTGTTCCAGCAGGCTCTCAGATACTGGCTCGAGGTTTGATGCGCTCGTTGTGGCTGTATGCGTACGTTCGGTAGCAGGAGCCGTGAACATAGTCTCCATAGGCATAAACTCAAACATCGAAATTGACTCCCTTTCACGCTGCTCATTTTCCTTGCTGCCGGAAAGACAATGTCTTCTCGTTTCACTGCGGTTACTTGCTATCTTAGAATGTCGATGTCTCCTGAGCCCCCACTCTTTCAACTTCATACGATATGCTCTTGTACTGTTCGAGCATTAGTGAGTACACAGCACTCGTATGAGAAGTGACTTACGAAGCCTTAAAGTTGTACTTATTCTCCATCAACTCCTTGACTTCTTCTAGGGGTTTCTTCTGGTTGAAGGACAGCTCCTTGATCTCAGCCTGCACTATATCCCAATCTTTGGTCATATTGAATCATGTAAATAACGTGAATGGGTATAACACGCTTGATGCTGATAATACTATTCAAGCTGTGCAATGGAACGTATAGTTTGCTTTGTGGGTGGATTGCCGAGTGCTATTGTCATATTCCTATTGAGTCAGGCAGGGCGAAGTAAGTTGTGTTCTCCGATCGGTGACCAGACCTGCTAATCAGGGTAAGTGTAGTGGTAGGTATTTATACAACTCACATCTCAACTTGTGATGTGTAGAGGAAGTGTGCAAAAGTAGACAGGGGACATGGAACTAACAGAGTGCAATTCCAAAACTAGGCTCGGTCTGGTCTAGCTCGGTCACGTTTTATACAATATCACGAATGCACGCAAAATACTTGATTTAACCGTCTGATAGTGGTGTACTCTTGTCATCATCATTGTTGACTCGTCAACAAACCTGAACACCGGTTACAAACCGCTCCAACGGTCATGGGCGAAGGTTGTAGCGTACATCTGTTGCTTTGCAGAATCGTTGACATCAAGGTATTGAGACCTTTCGCACAACGATATCGCAAGACGCATGAAACACGCAATATGTTATTCGCAAAAGACACACCGCACACATATCCCTCTAGATGTGCTAAAGCCAAACCGATAAAAGAAATCAAGAGAAGACCTGGGGTATCAAAGGCTTATGGAGGAACTACGGGTCGAAGACGCACACTCCGACCAAAAAACAGAACATTTGCTGCGCCGCAAAGATTTTACCCAGCTATACCAACCAACCTGAACTGTACAACCATGTTTGCAAAACGAAGAGGAGGAATATCAGGGAAGCGTGGAGATATTGTAACATGCCTCTGTACGAGGTAACAACATGTAATAGGCTTAGCCGTACCAGCCGCTCGGCCCAGCATTCACATCTTCGTTCTCGCGATGCGGAATAAGCGGTTCTTTGATGTCGAAAGCGTCGATAAACATCTGCCAGTTGGCGTAGTTTATACTGAAGACGGCCTGGTTCTTCTGAACATTCTTTTCTCGCTGCTCAGACACACCGTGTGGTACTCCAGGCACTGTTCACAAGTCAGCGAGAGAAACAGATGTATACGGGGGTAAACTCACTGAGTAGAGGCAGGCCATCGTCATCTTTCATGATCATGGCGTTGCCTTCTCGAACCAGAAAACTGATGTAGAAAAGATTTTCCACTGTCTGTCCGAAATCACGCGGATTGATTGCAAAGTCGAGAAGTCCGACAGCTAGTTCTCCGGTTGGTGCTGGATCCACTCGGAAACGTCGACAGGCTGCGCGTTGGTCCTCTTCACCCACATCGTCTTCTCCAATTTGCGACAGCTCCTGTTCGACTCCCTCCTGTGCGCGCTCAATGTGGCGTTCGAGATGGGACTTGATGCCTTTGACGAGGTGGGACAAGTTTGAGTTCTCAGACTCCTGGAGGTCGGCTTCCCTGATCTCCTGTGGCCGTGTTTCTGGTGCCAAGGGCTGACGCTGTGACCTTGCCTTTCGTTGGGTGGTCCTGACGCGCTTCTGAACAGACAGAGGGCCGAGGAGAAAGCCCGATGTTGGCGGTCGCCTGTTGAATGGAAAGCATGCTTGTCGACCGAACAAGGCCCAATCGAGGCCATCGCCAGTGTCGTCTTCTTCGTCGTCGTCTGCCACTACCGGTGCGTCCTCGATGTTTCCGCCAGTCTTCATAAAGTGAATGCACTTTGATACAAACTTGTCCAGATCAATGCTGACACCGCTGCTCCCATGCAGACTGTTGTCTAGCTTCTTTGTAGCCAAATCGCTGGCGTGTACCAGAAAACGGGAATCTGCCGCAGCGTCGATGGTCTGTCGGACCTTGCCAAAGATGCTGTTCTGCTTGAGGAGGAGGTCGTGTAGATGGCTGTTGTTCCCAATCATGTCATCGCGGTTTTCTGTGTCTATGAGCGCTGTTTGCGTGCTGATACCCCACAGTGACAGAACATACCCTCAAGAGTGCGATGATTGTCGCGCAAATGCGCGCGCACTCGACGGGCCTGCTCAGGAGGCTGGTTGGGGTCGTAGTGCTTTTGGTGCTCGCTCTCATCGTTCTCGACCTGCCCGGTTGTGTCGTCATCGTCCACTTCTTCATCTTCGTCCTCCTCCTCTTCTAGCTCCTCCTCTTCATCTTCGTAGACCTGGGGGCCGCCCATGCTGTAGGTCCCCGTTCGTCGCCTCTTGTTGCCGCTCCCTCCTGCAGTCGACCCAGAATCTGGCGTAGGCATGCGTACAGACGCGCCTCTCAGGCCCCTGGCTTTGCTTGGGCGGGGCGTGTTTTCACGCGTTTCAGGCATTTCGTTTTCTTTGTCCGACGCCATGGACTGCGACGGGCTTATGACAGAGTAGGTCGAGGGGCGCGCATTTCTGGCATTCCGTGGCGCAACGGAGGGGTCGCGATAAAGAGTGTCGGCTGTGGTCGCGCGACTCTGTTGTGGGGTGGCAGAGAGGTGTGTGTTGAGACGCGCCATGTTTGTTTGTCGACGCAAGTGAAGGCAGAGATGGCGACGTGAGGGGGTGCCTGTTCCTGCGTCGCGGCTGCTCCCATGGAGAGGGCGTCGCTAGCGCGATTTCGCCCTGGAAAGTGCGACTGGGCGTCAGCAATCACCACAACACGTGCCAACGCTCTCGCGCGTATCCCTGCTTGCTCGGCGTGCACGTCACCCCCTCTCGTCCCGCCTGATGTCTCACGGTGCATGCGCTTGCTGGTGACCCCACAGTACGCCGCGGGCCTGGGACGAGCTGCGCTGGAGACCATAGCCTTATACCTAGATGACGCGCGCTTATGGCATGCGGTAGCAAACAGCTCCCTCATCGCTCACGATGGAAGCCTTCAACTTCGCGACGTCGCTCGACCTGACCGAGCTGTCGGTGCACGTCCGCATGTGAGCGTTCCTGCTGTGTGTGCTTGGCCCCTACTGAGACGTCGCATAGAGACCGCCTTGATGGCAACCAGAAGCCTGTACCGTACTCGGTACTGTTGAAGCGTCCGGATTTGAGACATCGAGCATCCAACATCAAGTCAGTGACGGTGCGCCGAGCGAGTGACAAATCCATGGCTGACGTCAAGGCAACAGCCCGCACTTTGAGCTATATGTCACCGCGCAGATATGGGCCGACAGCAAGCCCCTCACCGTCCCCGTCCAGACAGCGTACAAAGCGTTCAAGAATGCGCGAATATGGAACGAGTGGCTACAGTTGCCTGCCACGTACGCCAACCTCCCCGTGTCTGCTCAACTAGCCGTCACCGTGTGGGACCTGTCACCCTTGGAGGACAAAGACTCGAATCTCCATGCTGTGCCTTTCGGGGGTACCACGATACCATTGTTTGACAAGGACAACACACTGCACATGGGGAGGCAGCGGTGCAGGCTACATCGTTTCAAAGCAGCAGATGGACTGTCCAACACCACCACGCCATGGGTCATACCGCCAGCGCGCAAGAGCAGGAAGAACGTCACAGTCGAAGACACAGTAGATGAGCAAATCGCTGAGATGCAGAGGCTCGAAGAACTGCTGAAGAAGCAAGAGATGGGCGATCTGCCATCGAACCACTGGCTCGATGGGCTCGTCTTCAAAAAGATGATGAAGATACGGAACGAAGCCCTCAAGGCAGAGGCAGCTGCTCTTAGCCGGCAAAGCGAGAACAACGTGACAAACGGTGGCTCTGTCGAGGGGGGTGATCCAGAACTGTTCTACCTCGACATCGAGCTTCCGCGCTTTGATCACGCAATTGTCTTCACCGATGTCGAGTACTCACCGCCTCCTGTCTCAGACTTGAGACTGCCCACAGAGTCAGACATCAGGCTACGTCCACCTCCCGAAGTGTCGTTTGGACCTGGTATCGACATCGATGGCATTGGTTATGGCGATGCAGATGCAGGACGGCTTATCAAAGTCTACGATCCCGAGATTGGAAGAAGAGTTAACCCAGCTGAAGACAAGCATCGCGAGTTGATGCGCAGTCAACAGACCGACTCGCTAGACCGGGACAGAAAGCCCAATGTGCATGTACGAGACAAGTTGAATTTGCTCATGGCCAAAGGTCCACTAGAAGAGATCACCTCACACGAAAGAGACGATATCTGGAAGTTCAGATACTTTCTCCTGCGAGACAAACGAGCACTGACCAAGTTTGTCAAGTGTGTAAACTGGAAGAACCCCAGGGAAGCACGACAGGCAGCTCCTTTGCTCGACAAATGGGCAGAAATCGATGTTGACGATGCTCTCGAACTGCTCGGACCTCACTTTGACCACCCTGTCGTTCGGAGCTACGCCGTCGAACGCCTTAAGAAAGCCGACGATGAAGAGCTGCAACTCTACCTCCTTCAGCTTGTGCAAGCTTTGAAGTACGAAGCTCCTGGGGAAGGCGACGACTCGTCTCTAGCACGCTTCCTAGTCACTCGTGCCGCGAACAGCTTCACGCTTGGCAACTTCTTCCATTGGTATTTGATGGTTGAGATTAGCGATACCAGCAGCGATCAGGAACCTGAACATCGCGATCTCTTCGCAAAGGTCGAGTATGATTTCATGGTCGAGCTCGAAACAACGCCCGAAGGCATCGAAATACGCAACACCTTTCGTCGACAAGGCGAACTACTCACCATTCTCGCAAAGATCTCAAAAGATGTGCGTTTCGGTGGCGGCGATCGAGCAACAAAACTCGCACGCCTGAAGAAGGCATTAGCAGACCCCAAGAACGAACTCACAAATTTCGAACCTCTACCGTTACCACTTGATCCCTCGGTGTATATCACAGGAATCTACACCGATGACTGCAACGTCCTAAAGTCATCTTTACTGCCGATGGTCCTCAGCTTCCGTACCTCATCCGACACGAAATATCCCATAATCTTCAAGACTGGTGATGACTTGCGACAAGATCAGCTCGTCATTCAAATCATCACACTCATGGACCGACTACTCCGAAAAGAAAACCTCGATTTGAAACTAACGCCATACCGCATCCTCGCCACCAGCACATCAGCAGGGGCCTTCCAGTTCGTCCCCTCAATGAGCATCGCCGCAGCATGTCAAAAGCACAAAGGTTCGCTCCTGGCCTACTTGCGCGCAAACAATCCAGATGACGCCGCCCCGCTAGGCGTTCGCAAAGAGGCAATGGACACATACATCAAGTCATGCGCCGGTTACTGTGTGATAACCTACCTCCTGGGTGTTGGTGATCGCCATCTCGACAACCTCCTTCTAGCGCCCGATGGCCGTTTCTTCCACGTCGACTTTGGCTATATTCTTGGTCGCGACCCCAAACCATTCGCCCCGCAGATGAAACTTTGCCGTGAGATGATTGAAGGTATGGGCGGCGCTACACATGCAAATTACCTCGTTTTCAAAGAATATTCGTTCACGGCGTGGAGCACACTTAGGAAAAGTAGCAACTTGCTGCTAAATTTGTTTGCGCTCATGCAGGGTGCGAATATTCCAGACATCAAGGTTGAGCGGGAGGGCAGCGTGAGGAAGGTGCAGGAAAGAATGTGGTTAGGGAAAGGGGAGAATGAGGCAGGGCGGGAGTTTGAGAGGTTGATTGAAGAGAGCATGGGAGATTGGAAGGCGGGTGTTATTGATTGGGCGCATGAGTTTGTGCAGACTTATTGGCGGAAGTAGTACACATGACGTTTGGTCTTTAACGTCTCGCATCACCTCACAGCCCACAATTCCCACTGTTGTATTAGTTTGCAAACTTTGCGGCTCGTTTCAAATATGCGGTTGCTGAGATCTGTCCATTTAATCTATCGTAGTCGCGTGGTGTATATGACCTACCCTTGCGGCTAATATGGAAATCCGGAAGATCATCGCGACCCACACGTCGCAGACAAACATACTTGAGAAGAGGACAGAACGCAATAACAGGATTATCATGCGAGATCGGGAAAGTATAATTATATGCACAAGTAACGTTTAGACGATAGTTTTCAAATTCTATTTTTCGCCCAACATCTTTCTCGTTGAAATTCAACCTCACTTTACTTCCACCCTTCACAACAACAAAGAAAGTTGAACTCACATCACAAAACCGACGACCATGAAACTCCTCACGCTCATCTCCCCAGCCTTCCTGGCTGCATCCGTCTCTGCATCTGCATCCGAGTCCGCATCCGAGGATCCCACACCCGTCGGCCAACTTTGGACCGCATCATGGACGTCGGACGATCTGGCACCATATGAGCAGTCTTGCCACACAAAATCAACTTACAAGGCGTCGATTTATAAACTAGGAGAGATGTATCCTGCACTGGAAGACTACACTGCGAATTTGAAAATGTTTTATAGTCAACAGCTGTGAGTCTCCATCTACGCTTCCCTTCCTTCGAATTCTCCACTATGCTATGTTGTATATCCAAGTCTTCTTCATCATTTTTTCTGTTCCTTCGCCTCTGTGCGAGCTGCTCGCGTTCTTTGAATGAAACAGTTATTAATATATCGAAGCTACCCCGGCTCCTGGGCTGGTTACGATGCGCACGGAAACGACCGCGAACTCCTTAAAATGCCACTCGCGTCTCTCCCCACGAAAATGCACCGCTGGCTGCAGACTTCAAGCACGCAACGCCACTTCAGCGTGCATGATGATGTAGTTTTCTTTGCACCGGGAGCCATTTACCCGCTTCTGCCGCTGTGGGTCAATGGGAAAGGGGAGTGCGAGGGCGCGTTTGCAGGACTGGAGGAATATGCGAATGAACCGCGGGATGGGGCGGTAATTGGGAAGGTGGACTACAAGAAGACAGGAGAGCGCGAGGTCGAGTTTAGTGTTGAGGGATTGAAGGTGCAAGAGAAAGAGGGCGGGAGACAGGAGTTGTAAGATGCTTTTAGCCCTCTGATTCTTTTATCATTTTTCATTTATCTTTCTTGTTTTTAAGAAAAAGGTTAACTCACCCACTCGCATATTTTCATGTTTGTTCACACTTCCTTCCCCTGGCTTCTCCCCTCCGCCATCTTTTTCCTCTTCTTTTGCTCGCTCTTCGCATGCCCAATCGCAGCCGCCATGTTAAACAGAAATATTACTACAAAGAACACGCACACAACTGCCAAAACAGCCACAACGCTCATCATACTGAACACCACAAACACATACGACCCCTGCAGAAATGCATGGTTGGTCTTGAGCTCATCCAGCCCAGCACCGACCTGCATAGCGCTCAACACCAGGCTGAAAAACACAAAAACAACCAAGATCCAGCTAAAATTCCGCTCGAAAAACACCACGTAGCGATTATACCCGTAGAGATATCCGCGCACAAAATGCGTGAAACAGAATCTAAACCGGTAAATCGAATTGATGCGCCCGAGACGCAAGTCGCCAAATTGGTACCGCATGTTCACCTGATCCAGCGCATTGACATCCACATGGCACACAAAATCCGCGACAAACTCTTTCCACCACATCCACGTGACGAAACTTGGGAGCAGACTGTGCTCGTGCGCAAATTTGAGGTCCAGCGGCGTAGTGATAAGCCAGATGTAGCTCAGCAGCCAACCACAGGCGCTTTTGTGCAGGTCGCCCGCTCCGTCGTGGCATAAGTACTGCGCCCAGAACTCGTAGCTAACCATCCATTCTGGCAACGGCTTGATTAGGATCTCATTTGAGAACTTGAGCAAATGCAGATCCATTTGCATTGTGCCCAGTACTTCGTAGCCCAGCATGCGGTAGCGGTGGAGAGGACGCGCGCGCATAGGTCGTCCAGCCATCCAGAGATGCGAGTGGATTCTGTTTAGGCGCGAGAGATCGAGGTCTGAGGCGAGGAACTGGGGGATATCCGAATTGGCGAGGTAGCAGGCGTTTCCTTTACCTGCGATGGTGGGAAGGGAGGCCAGCGGGGAAAGTGGGAGCGACGTCGCCGTGTCGAGGGCAACATGTGGGGCGGGAGAGGTGGGAGATGAGGAGGAAGGGAGAGTTGGAGGTTCCGGGGGAATTGGACGGGGTGAGAATGGTGGGTTGAGGTGGTGGAGGTGCTGGGGTGGACTTAGTAGGCTGCCATCTTCTTTGAATGTGATATCGCCTTGCGTGCATGCACATGTTCGATAACATACCATCTCGGGGATTTTCTCGTCAGCCATCTTTTCGTGCAAAATCAATGTCAGCGGTTAGGTCGTGTGCGGACATGGGAGTACGAGGAAGCATATATGGTTTATGTGGTGAGGCTATGCGACCAGTGGCACAAGGCTGACACTCCCGTGTACTCCATGATGCAGGTTGCGCCCGCCTACCGCTGCAGGAGCCGAGCGATTGTGGGGGCTGAGCATCGATCAGACGAATAGAATGCGATTGCTATTTATACCTTGCGAGCTTGCAAAGCCACCCAAGCCACATATGAGCATTGGTGCCTGGTACGATTCTTGCCGATACAATTTTGAGTGTTGTTCGAGCCTGCAACTCGATTTTGGTTTACGATGACGGTCATTACTTGCAATAATTCGCAGGAAAGCTTCCTTTCACTCCCCCAACTTCTCCCTGCCACCAATCTTGCGAGCTCTCCGTCTTTTTGACCACGCGGATGCGATCGCCTTCCCTAAACGACAGATCTCCTGGAGTGTGGCTGTCAAAGTCGTACATAGCTGTGACATACTCGGACTGGAACGATCCGATCTTCTTTGGGGGCGGAGGTGGGGGCTTCTTCTTGCCTGCTGCTGGATTGGGCGACGTGCCAGGAGTAGAACCGAGCGAGGTGTTTGAAGGGACCTTGCCAAAGTAGTCACCATGCCCGTTTGTACCGCCATTCGAATACGATGACCCATAGGAGGGGCGGCGGCCATATTGATCTGCGCCGGATGAAGGACTCAACATCGAAGAGCCAGCCCCAATCCTTGGTTTGGTACCATTGAGGGAGTTAATTGAAGGCTTGCTAGACAGGCTTACAGGAGGGCCGTTCTCGGATGGTGGAGCCAGGTTTGTTGATGGCCTTGAAAACCTCCCGGCAACGGGAATGCTGTCGCTACTACTCACTCGTCGACCAGGTATGACCTTGTTGCGTAATCCAAGACCGGTCACCGTGTCTCCCTTGTCTGGCAACCTCATAGGCTGGTGGATTGCTTTGCCCTGCTTGAGCAGGGAGAACTCGGATTCCATCTCCATGCGCAAGGAGGTGAAGCTAGATTCCCAGAGGGGAATGACTTCTTCCGGCTCAGGTGGCGGGTCTGGGTATCCCTGCTCGTGAGAGTACTGATGTAGCACCGTGTACAGGTTTCCGATGAGATTGTTCTGTAGGATAATCTGGTTCGCGAGGAGGTGAGGCAGGAGGGAGAAGGTCGCGGTGTTTAACGGGGGCAGCGAGACCCGGAGGCTTTCGTCTGCCTGATGGTATGCTTCTGCAGAACGTTCAAGATCAGCTTCATGCTTGTGCAAGGCAACATTCTCTCGCTCTGAGCGCGTCGTCTTCTTCTGGAGAGCTTCGCAGCGACTCTTGTAGCGCTCGTAATCAATCTGCAAGACACGGGGTCAACAACGTCAGGAGTGGGAGGTGACATGTGTCGTACCTTTGCGTCGTCGCGCTTCTTCATAGACTTCTTGATGGGTCTCAGCGAGTCTTTGGCCAGCTTGGCGGGTACGATCAGCTTCCGTTCGATGTCCTTGACTTCCTCCAGCATGTCCGTCTTGAGCTCAGCAAAGGCCTCCTGGAGCGCCGAAACACGCTCCAAGGTTGCCTGAGGGGTGTCGGCTGCGACATGCGAGCTGTGTCCGCCTTTCTCATCGCCCAATGGCTTGAAGATGGTGTGCAGGTGCTCGACAGTGGCCAGCTGGTGGTTGAGGATGTTGGTCCACGCGTCACGCCATTGCTTTGCGCAAGTTTCGAGCTGGGCGCTGATCAGTTATCCGTTCGACATGACAGTACTGACTCTGTTTCGGCAGAGTATGTGCAAATGAGATCAAACATGGCTCTCGGTGAGATTGCGCAGGGACAGGGGAGTTTGTTGAACAAGACGCAACCCCGCCTGTTCGGACCTTCTCAACATGCCACATCTATGCAGCGGAAAACAAACGCACCTTTTCCAGCATCGTTTCTGAGTCGTTAAAATCGCGCAGCATGGCTTCAATGTCGGCTTCATTAGGCTGCCTGGGCAGGAAACGCCCGATGGATCTCTGCACACGCTGCATCTTGGACGGCGACGGGAGTTACGGCTGGGTGAAGAGTTGGGGGTTCAGAGGGAAGTATTGTTCAACGTGAGGATGTTTGGCCAGCGACGCGAACTAACAAGTGGCTGTGCTCTTTGGCGTAGAGTCAAAGGGTCGTGGACCAGGGTGCTGGATAGGCGGCCCCGCGTTTCACAGCCCAGCTGGCAATGTGGTGCAATTGATGAGACAACAGAAGGTCAGCCTGGTGAAGCGTCCCAACAACACACAGACGTGCCATAGTCTGTGGTCATGATACCGGGATTGACCGCGGCCTCTCCTCTTCTGGGAGCCTGGCCGCCCTGACCGGTGAAGGAAGGAGCTCCGCACGCTAGACGCATCACGTGTGTTCGCGGAAAGGCAGTCGCGTCGCCGTCATGTCCACGACGCCTCCACCACCCCATCCAACACTCTCGACGCCAGTCTCGCCCTTGATGTCTGCCGACATCGGCGCGACGCGCAGAATTCGAATATTCACGCGATGACTGCTCCTTTGCGAAGCACGCCCCACTCGTCCGCCGTCCCCGCCTCTCAGAATACAGCACCCGTCGCAGAGTTCCGATGTCTTTTTACGCACGACCTCAGACGAAAGCAAAAGAGGTGGCAGGATGGCTACCTCAAGTTCCACACTTTCAACAATCGCGTCATGGTGTACGATCAGACGCGCTACTTTCTGGGAGACACCTACTACAAAGAGAGCAATGAGCTGCACGAAGGCGATGAGCTCACGCTTGACAAGGGCATCATGGTGGAGGTCTCGGAGGCAATGGGAGTTACACAGACGGACCTGACACCTCTTTTTGAGAACAAGACCAAAGACTCGCCCGCGCGCCCGAATGCGACTGCCCCACCACGTCCATTCCAGCCCCCATCCAGCGTGGCGCCTAGCAAAACCGTACGATCAGGGTCCCAATTGAAACACAAGTCTTTAAACACATTGCTCGGCGCTTCAAAAGGTCCCATCGGCAAATCCGTGCCAATGGAGTCGCCATATGAAGCTCGCAAGGAGAAGGAGAAGGCGAACGAGTGGGAGACAGAGAGAGCAACAAAGAGGCAGAAGACGGCGCAGGATTCAGCAACCTCCAGAGTCTCTAGCCCTCCACTAGATGACAGTCCTGTACCAAGGAAGAATCTGCCTCTATGGGCGAGGACGTCAGACGCGAAGACTGCTCGAGTGTCTGACAAGTCAATACCACATGGGGCCACCGTCATTACTCTCGACTCCTCGTCGGATAAGTTTTCTGCCATCTTATCAGATGTAACACTTCCATGCACGTCTCCTGGACTAGTAAGAACAAGGCCCAGGTCTCCAGTCATGCCAGCGCTACCATCGGTCACCCAAATCGTGTCTGAGAAGCCACCTGTGCAAACACCAAGGATACCTCGAGGAAAAGTGCCGGTGCCCCATGTCAAAGCTATGAAGACGCCCCAACGACCTGCACCTGCTTCCTCGCCTCCAGTCAGTGCATCGAATCGCTTGACCAATGTCGACTTCGCAGTACAGTCTGCACAGAAGTCACCGGTACAGATGCCACACGCACAGCAAGTGCCTACAGACAAACCGCAAACAGCACATTCACTCCCATCTGCTCCGCCTCGAAACCCCAAAGCCAAGTCCCTACGCCTATCTGCTGGAGTGAAGCGTGGGATGTTACTCTGTCAATCGTTGCCACAGCAGGTACAAAGTGCTGGAAGCCAATCTCGGGTATCAGTTGGAAAGCAAAAGGCCGAGAGCGTGCTGAGAATTCCAAATAAAGATTCGTCAGCTAGTGCCAGTTCACGAAGCTCACGAAGCACAGCTGCAGGCGACGCACTGCCTCGAACCAAACGAAAGGCCCTCACCTCATCTACAGGTGAGGTCTCAAAGAGGGCAAGGATCTCAGAGTCGCCAGCAGATGGATCCCTGGATATTTTCGATGATCCAGAAGTCGTCCATGGTCTTCTGGATCAGCAGTTGATGGTCCCTTCGCCACCATCAGAGCCTTGGCGATCTCCTTCTCCACCTGTTTCAAAAACACCAAAGCCAAAGCAGACTACGACGAAGAAACTTGCAAAGAAAGATACGGTTGTCCGTAAGCCTCCTCTAATGCTTGCCGACCCTGAGGTTGCTCAAGCAAGGTCACTTTCGCCAAAAGGCGCAACACGAAAAACTCAACCAAAAAAAGCGACCGTCTTGAAACCTCAACCAGCTCGCAAAGTCTCGCCGCTTGCAGCTCCCGTACTGGAAGCTCCTCAACAACCTTCCAGGGAGGTATCTCTCGCACGAACCGACGTCTCTGAAAGTACTTCAAGGGCCTCCTCCACATCACCTCGGAAACTCGCTCTCTCCACAGGTGGCTTCCGCAAGAAACCCAAACGCAACGAGCCCCACCCCACAATAGTAAATCCGGATCTAGAGGTCATCTCAGCTCCCCGCAATGAGAGCGTAGCCCTCCCTCCACATCCCCTTCGAGCTGGCAAAAAGGGCCCGCTTATGAGCACAACTGAGCTCGCCGCACTATTGCAGAAATCGAAGAAGACTTCGAAGGGCCTTACTGTAGGCAAAGAACACAGCGTCGTTGCTGGTAAATCTCCCAATCGCACCTTCAGACGCGTAAGGAGCGAGAACGATGCGCCGATCCCGAGTACAAGCGAGGAGTGGGAGAAGCGTAATCTGCCAAAACCTCCTGCTGATGACGCCGAAGGTGAAGGGGTACAAGTAGAACCGAAGACCAAAGTTGGTGGTCTGGCGGCATTGATCAAGAAGACGGATCCGAGGAAGAAGCTGCAGCGCGCGAGGAGTCTCACTGTTGATACGAATGCATCGGTATCAGAGGCGGAGAGCAATTTGCCGAGTCCGGTCGTGGATAAGGATGTTGGGCCGTGGAGCACCGAGGCTTTTGACTTGTTTGATTGGAGGCCGCCGAAGATTGGAGAGGGAAAAACTTGATTGAGATGAGATTGGTGTTGGCATGAGGTTATGAGTGCATGATGTATTTCTATAATGTCGATTATGTGACGAGTCTGACGGATGATGGCCTTGAAATGAAAATCGCATTTAAAATTGATATATCATCGCGGAATATTCGCACGATAATCTCTAATCCCTACTTAACTCCATCAAAACATAACGCTCAGTATCGCTGGAGTCAGCTTCACGCTTTTACACACAATGCGAAGATCACTCAAACATGATGTTGATGGAGGTATATAAGACCGGGGTATCAATTGACTTGATACACCTTTTGTACATGTCTATGTAATTGACACTGTGCTTTTAGGTCCGAATGTAGTTACAACGAAGAGGCTTACACATATAGCCGTAATATCACTGTTACAAAATAGGACGTTGATGCCGAGACCTAATCGTTGAGTCGAATCATGGTCCACAAGGAAAGCTTGTTTGAAAACTGAATAGTTGAGCTACACGAGCGATAGAAGAGAATTATATGCAAAGTATATATACTCAGCATCAGTACCGGGGGAGTTGACATGAATTTATTCGACTTCGTGAAAGCTCAGATCGCCATTATTAGAATTCTTTTTCTTGCCATTGGTTTTGTAACGTCTATTCGCTACTAATGCAGCCAGGTATGTCTCAAGATTAGGGCGCTTGTCCAAGATACTCAACGGACAAAGACTGAGTGCCCAAGGTACGATGATGTCTAATGCTTTTAGACATGCTCTGCTCCTCTTACAAATCGACAAGCTTCTTTTTTTCTACGCTGATAGCGAGGTCTCAACATGCGTCGAACATTAGACCGAAGAGACGCGTCGAAGGTAGGTGATTTCAGAAGGCTGACTCTGAAATCGGTCTGCTAGCATCTACATCCTCAATCGTCTGATTGAAGCAGTGCAAACCGACCTCAGAAGATATAGTCGTACCAATGGTACCCTGCCGGAGCGATCCACCGCATGTGGTTGTGCACTATGGATCTTTTCAAACCCTTTCCGTGAGCGCCCACTTTATCTCCGTCCCTCATATCTCTGTTATTGTCTTGATCTCCATGACGACCTAGATCATCACCTAGCCCCTTGGTCTGCCAGTGTGTATCCGCTACCAGCGCTATATAACAAGGGACATCCTGTTGACATCCGGTCTTAAATAGATAGATGGGTATATTGGAAAGCTGAGAGTACCACGGATGGATTACGTAGCTAGGCTCTGGCTCGAGTAGTGTAGGGGTTTGTCCATGGATAGCATGTATACTATACGACAAATTAGCGACTCGTAAATTTTACGCGAAAGTCGTAAACTTACCTCATTGCATGGTGAAAAGGTTGATATAATCTTTGTGGACTAGGCTGAGATCGAGAATCCCATTCTCTCTGTACACATATGCGAAATCCATTGTAAAGACCCCGATAATATCTTTGATACTCTGGGCTCCATATCCAGCCCCCAGGCATCAGGTTCATTGCATGCATATGCTCCCTGATTGTGTGTATGGAAGAGAAGAGGCTGACGTTAAGAATAAATTCACAATAACGCCAAGGTGGAGTTCTTTGCTAGCTATCCATTAGGGGACGTGATCACTAGGCGCAGCAAGCAGTATCCCATGACGACCGGCTATACTTGCAGGGAGTTGCTGGTGTTGGATATTGAGGCGTCCCCCTTACGTATGTAGCCGACCAATCCTGTCGACTGATACAAAGGTCCTTCAATTCTCTCCCATGTCCAGATATCAGTTGTACCAATAGGGTGAGCTTGCACTTACTCGGTTAACCGAAATTGCAAGCAAGAGCCTCAAGTGCCGCCTGATGTGGAAATGAGAGTTGACTTGCCGTACTATGCAGGACAGACTAGCATTATGTGAGTTCCAGATACGGGGCCGTTATTCGAATCTTACGTTCTTTTACTCAGTATTGCTGCATCGGCTGACAACAAACCTAGGAAATTTCCATAAAACGAGCCATGGTAACAATAACAACTTGTGAAGGACAAGAGGTTCCCACTTGATCTCATCACTTTTCATGACTCCACGATCCTCGATTTCCTCATCATGTGCTGTTTGACTCTGTAAATTTTGCGGTTGCATCTGGGTTTGCGGCAGAGCTGCCGTCGTGGATGTTCCAGCTGTGGGCGTAATTGTGGCTGCTACTGCGGTCAAGCTTTGATCCGTGGCCCCTAGCCCTGACGTGTTTTGCGAATTCAAACTCGACTGACTTTGGGATGCTCCGACTGGTTGAGATATTTGCCCTGAAGCAGCTCTGGAGGCTCTGGTGTGGGAAGTAATGTTCGTGAAAATATTCCTGATGCTCTCGGTACCTCTTGCTACCTTAGTTTCAATGGGAATCCAATCCAAACTGACAACGCAAAGGACTGGAAGCGAAAGGCAGATGATAATGAATGCCACAAAATTGAGACCAGAGTAACCTTCAGGCGAATACTTGAACTTGCCACAAAGATTGCCGTAATTCTCTGTGATCTGATAGTAGCCATCTTTCCCTTCGTGCACAGAGTCTTCCCCACTTGCGACACTCCATGCGTTAATCTGGGTCCGAGCATGCGCTATCGCAACCAGGTTTTCCATTTCATCAACCCAGTGATATTCGCCTAATGCATCAGAGAAGTATTTCGATACACCTTTTTGGGCTAGAAGTCCACGACCTTGACGCTTCTTGATCGAATCAAATATGTCTGTACGATGAAGCGATGTGTACAAGAGTGTGAGTTCCGGTGTCCACTCAAACTTGGTGATATCATCCGGTGCCCTGATAGACCAGCAAACCATTTCGTCTGCTGAGCACACTTCTATAAGATTGATGCATGCGAGTGGGCGAGCTCGAGGATCAGAATTTCGAAACCAGGGTTTTGGATCTTCCGGTATCCACACTGGCGTGTCCGCAGGAAAAATTGCATCGTCGCTTCGTTTTTCGTAGAGTATTCGGAGTGACGAGACAAATACTATGGTTAGAGTGCTATACTTCGGTATCGTAAGTTCTGATCGTGGCTGCCATAGGAGTGGCTCTGAGGCCGAGTTGTAGGCACTTGGACATGATGTTAGTGAATACGTTGACATTAAAGAGCTTGCATACTGACTAGAGATCATACACTGGAGTAAGACGATCCCAAGGGTCTCCAACAGTCTTGTATGTATAATTCACTGGAGGGTCATCGCCGGGTTTTCCTCCATAATAGTAGTAGTAGGTTGTGGTTCCGTTCTCAGTTACATTCTGTACAAAGGGATACTCCATGCTGAGCGGGGTGCATTTCGTGCTGCGACGAAATTTATGAGTCGTGGGGCTGTTGATACCGAGGTCGCTTGCATCGATAGTCGGGGTAGTGAAAGTAACTGTGAGGTTCTGACGACAAATATCGTTTTGAAAAGGACAGTCGTTCGTGTAGTTTGCTGCACGAAATGGAAGTTTAGAACGGTAGAACAAGTTGCATCGTACGGCATTAATTCCAGAGACTGGGCCGTAACAGTCTTTTGCATATTCAGCTGCTCTTTCCTCTCTTTGGAGGTCGAGCAGTCCTGCCCGTGTAGCTGCTTCGGATCGACTTTGACCGTCAAAGATCCAAAGTCCGCAACGATTCGAGGCCAACCTGGCTGGCTCTGTCAACCTGATTGTTGATGCATAATATCCTCCAACGATCATCCCAGATGCACAGAGCGCCACTACGGCTGTCAGGACGATGAGACGTAGTCGTTCTCCTCGAGTCAGGTCTTCGTTGGATACGGATTCCGAAAAGAGATCGCGAACGCCACTTGTTCTCTTGATAACCCTGGCAAGAGCTTGTGGATCTGCCGTAGTGGTCACTCGTGATCCATGACCTAGTAACGAGGAGCGCTCCGAGAGAGAACTATCATTGTTTGAACGTTGTGATGGTTCCTTCTGACGCAAATGAATGAACAGTGCGAAGTTACCTAGTATTTTTTTGAGGTATTTCACAGACCACGACAGCCATACAGTCGCGATAGCAATCATAGCATAACCCCATGAATCCGAGACCGACAAAATAATATCTGAAAATAAAAGTGAGGATTAGCTCGGATGAGTGCTTATGCGATATTTGCGGCTGCCTCACCTCCAGTGGTATAATCTTTCCACACACCAGTAATGGCGCGATTCTTATTAACGTTCATTCTAAACCCAAGTAACTGACAAATGAAGGTGGTGTATCAGAAGTTACGGCTGGAGGTACGAGTTACAGGTTATGAGAAAGAGTGCGAAAGTTCGAACTCTTGTGTGTTTTCAAAGCGGTGGACGGAAGGCTGACACGCAGGCGCGCGTGCCAATGCCTGAATGCCACGAGTCGTTTGCCTACTGAAGCCTGTGTTAATTTCGGACTGAACTCAAGCTCAACGTATGAAACGAATATTGGAATACGCTCAATTTGGCATAGGTCGATGGAGGATCGATGAAGCCCCCAAGTCGTCAGGCAGGTCGACCTGGTCAGCCGGCTCGTGCTCCAGCCTCGTCACAATTCGAGCCAGTCAGGCACTGCTGGTACGCGATCTTCTTGTTCGTGTCATTTCCATGCCTCATTCTTGACTGGCCGCTAGTAGCTTATGGTACTTCTGCCATCCTGTCATACTGCCGTTCGTTTCTGTCATAACCATATTGTATGCAGCCACATCAACTATATCGTCATTCGTGGTAGGGTGATCGTGAGGCTTCGAGGCTAGGCATGAATTGTTCGTCAATCTCGTGGAATCACTTACGCGGATAAACAAGCATCTCTTGTCTGTTGATTGAGGGATTCCGCGGCTGATGAGATTAGGCTAGGATGACATAATGGTCGTAGCTAGTCCCTATTTCAGAAGTCACAGCTCTCTCCACACTTTTCATGATCTGAAAGTCAATCAATATGTCAACATGTTCCTCAATCTGGCGGACATAGACTCCATCTGACCTACAAGTACGAATTGCCAATCGATAACTTGCCTTCGCCACCCAATCCACTGAGAGCACTATATGGCGCATGATCTTGAGAATTTTAAGAACACCAAAGAGTATATGTGGGTTTCATTTCAGTTCGTGAAGTCCATCTTATATCTATAATAGACTAACGGCAAGCTAATATATGTGCTCTTACGATTGCGAAAAATACCGAACATTGTGACAAAAATAGTACCGTTAAGAGATTACAATACTAAGAGATCTTACTACCCACATATTCCAACTTTCCAGCTCAGGACTCGGTCAGCCAATTCCACGCCATACTCAACGAGTCTTCTAACATTTAAGACTCTGTCGTCACCTCCGGAACAGCAAACCTACTGGTCGTCTTCGTCTGCCCTTTGGCTTCCGCAACACCCAAGACTGCCTCATCAGTCTGCGAAGGTTCCACAGCCATGATCTCTATCGGTATCAGAGAATGTGAGTCGGCTGAACGCATCGCCACCATTGCTGTTGACGACACAACCAACTCCTTGAGTGGAAAATTATCCATCGAAGTAGTAACAAAAGCATGGGTCCAGCCCTCCAACAGGGGATTCCTCGCCGACGCATTCCCGCTTGAGCCGTGACCAGACGAAGTATATAACGGTCTCGGATTCCACAGCATAGAATGATACAGTAGCGCAACGGTCTGACCCGTAACATTCGGATGTGTAAACGCCCACGTCGCCACCACACGCGGCCGTCTTGCTGCCCCAAACCTCGTATACGGCCAATGCACCGGCAGCTGAGCGAGATACTCCGTCGGAACCACAGCACCACGCGTTAACTCACTTGCCCACCACTCTGTCGGAGCCGCCGGTCGAGTGACGCCTGGCGGCGTGGTAGACGGCACGTTCATGCCTGGCTGCGACGTGAAGCGATCCGCGAGCGTCGTTATGTCGGACACTTGGGCGGGGAGTTGAGAGAAGGACGGCGGTTGGTGTGTGTCTTGCATGAAGGTTAGTGTGGCGGTAAGGAAGAGGTAGAGGTTTGGTTGGAGAGTGTTGCAGAAGTCGTTGATGGCCCATGTCCATTTTTGGATGGGGCTGGTGGGTGCGAAGGCGGACTTGCCGGCTTGGGCGAAGCAGGATATGCAGTTTTGAATTGGTGAGAAAGGAGGGAGGCGTGGTGGCGTTAGTATACTATGGTTGTGATGTGGCGGTTAGCTTGGAGGGTGTCGATAAGAGCTTTGGGAGCAGGGGAACGCACTTCTTATACTGCGTGCCCTTGTCTCGGCAAAGACATTGCTTGTATACGTTGCTCTCGAGCCAGGGATCTGTGGGGTCTGTTATCGTGCCAAATGCCTTGTAGCAGTTGGTTATGTCTGTGAAGACGATACTACATTCGTCCAAGGCCCAACAAGCGTCATATTGGCCTGTGGGTGGGGATGTCTGTTACTTTTAGTTCCATGTACATATCCCGAGTTCATCGACTTCGAGGCTTACCCAAGGTGAGGCTGTACTGGTTGTCGTTCGGTCAGGACTATTCAACATCAGTCCATCAACATAAACATCGAGACCAGATTTGATGAACAACATACACTTCCCACACACACAGCGTCGTGGTCATCGTCTCCAAAGTCGTAGTTTTACAACTCCTCACTAAGCTCGGCGCACTCGTCACCGTCTCCGTCACTGTTCGACATGTTGTTCCGACACCATCAGTCGGGGCATTCAGGCTCAACCGAGGACCTGTCAGAATGGGGTGACATGTAACGCTTAGCCTGAGCGACGCCTTTGGAGACGGAGTCAAAGTTGGAGTAGGAATCAGCGTCAGACTTGGAGTCGTACTTTTCCACCTTGACGTTGGCGGCCTCGGGGCGAAAGTCTGTCCCACAACAGCCAGAGGTACTACAATGAGCAGCAGAAGATAGCCTAGCATGGTGATGTGATGAACAAAAGGCCTGGCAGAGTACGCGTATGAAGTGGGCGATCATATCAGCGATTTGTGTGAATTTGTCGAATTCCTTCACATCGGAACAAACGACGTACAACCGAACCTCAAGTCATTTTCCAAGGCCGTGTCTTCCCACCAGCCCAATTGCCGGTCATACCTGAACATGTCAAAACATTCTGACTGCGTTTCTCCAGTACGCGGCGGATACACATCGCACTACGAGACTAACGCTTCCCTCTTCCCCATATACATTAAGATTCCACGTTAGATCCGGAATTCACATCTCGCAGTCGTTAGTCAACACGCACGAATGCAAAGCGTGTTTTCCAGGTAACTGATGTAGTCGAGAGTTCTGTATAGCGTAGTGAGTTATCCGATATTGGCACAATAGACACTCTCTCACAGGGTGGAAACACATGGTGCTATCTCTCGTCGACTAATTGACATTGCAAACCCCACGAACGCACATACACGCGTCGCCCACGCACCCGACTAAGCTACCAAATCTCGTGACATGCCATGCCATCCCATGGTAGACGACCACACCGACCCAGAACCAAACCCAGATTCGCACCGAGACGAATACGAGTACGACCGAGCCGTGCTCAAACACCTTCGGCAAGAAAAAGGAAAAACGAGGGGACAAAGCCCGCCCACCGTGCCGCGGAGACAAAGATGAGGACGAAAACAAAGCCGTGACATCACGAGTAAAAAGTGCGATAAAACGATACATAGAATATTAATACCGAGATGGAATTAGATTCAGCGAAGAAAAGCCGAGAAGGATTAAATGTGTAACTGTAATACTAAGAAGAAGAAAACGATGAGGAGGAGCAATAGGAGGGAAGAAAATTAACCTCATCCCGCGGTACATTTCAGAATTTCAGACCTTTCGACCACGAAACGGGGATGAAGGAAAGAACAGGACGAAGGGGGGGGAATTTAAGAAAAAAAAGAGACCACTTAATAAATCTCCAGCCCCTCAAAATCCACACACAAGTTCCTCGCTCCCAGATTCCCATTCCCACCATTCCCACCAGCCCTCCTCTCAAACATACTGAGCCCAAAGTTCGCCGGCCGCGACGCATAAACGCCCACCCTCACCAGCTTATCCTCGACGCCCCAGAAAAACCACGTAACCTCGCGGAGTTTCTTCCAGCCGAGCACCTCATCTTCGTACCACACCCACAACCCATACCCAATGCGTTCGATCTTGACGCGCAGATCGAGGCGGCGCGCTTGGTGCGTGGTGAGCGATGTGAGAGCCCAGTCTGCGCCGTCTGAGTTGGCGACGACGGATGTCGCGTGGCAGGCGTTGTTGCAGAATTCGAGGCCGACTTTAACCCATTTTGCGGCGGGGGCGGGGGGTACGTATGCAGGCGGGGGATCGCGGGGGTGCTGGGAGCCGGATTCTTGGGGGATTTGTGTTGTTTGTGGTTGTGTGGCGTCCAGGGGGAGGGAGACGGTGCTGGGTGCCGCTACTTGCGGCGAGACGATGGGTATTTGGACGGGTGGTGCACCGGCGAATATGACGAGGCCTCCTTGATCCCATTCCAGCTCCCAATCCGCTGACACTGTGACCTCGGCGGCTATGAAGGGGTTGCGTAGGGCGGTGTAGAGAATGGGCGCCGTCGATGTATCCCGCGAAGGGGGCTTTCTCCACAAGTCGGTGTTTGGCGGCGCGGAGAGGGTGAAGGAGCCCATCCATTCGGGGACGGCATCGTCGGTTACGTTGAGGGGCGTGAAGGAGGAGCTCGCGGGCGGCATGGCCTCTGTTGGTGCGCTGAAGTCGAGGATAAGCGCTAGTCTCCAGACACGTCCTGGACACGGCAAGCAGTCACGTAGGTATATAGCAAATCGTGCAGTGTCGGCAAAGTATCCTGGTTGCAACGCCGATTCGTATATGGGAGGGATTGTCTAGCCCGGGGTGTGTGACAGTCGTTGCAAGGTCATTCGCTTTGTCTCGTGCTGTGGCAGTCGCGGCAGGGACGCCACATGTAAGCTGACACGGACAGCTGGTCAAATTAGCTGTACCACGGTACTAGATCTGCAGAAGAGAGATCGTGAAGGGCCGCGCAGATCGTCTTGAGTCTGTTCCGTCGTCAGTGGTCTGGTTGCGCGTAACGCCCTCGCCAGCCATCCCCCTTGGAATAAATAGTGCCCAGCACTACTTTATGAACGCTGGTGCGCATCCTGACGTATCCTGCACGCGACGATTCTGCTGCTTACCTGAGAACGAGCGCAGTCCAAGGTACCGGATTGGTTTAAACAAGCTGACCCGAGAACAATGAATATCCTACGACGTCTCAAGTCGCGAGGAAAAAGAAAGCCGGCGCGAGAGGGTGAAAAAGAAACTCGACAAACTTTTTGCCATACATTCATGCGTCTGCACAGTATAAATACGCTGGGGGCAAGAACTTGGCCAGCACGGTTAGTTGTGTTCCGTGCAAGCTGAGCGCTCGCAGCAGTGGGATGCCATCGTGGACGCCGTCTGGCGGGGGCAAACCTGTCCCTGGCACCGTACGGCCGTCGGACAAGCTGGAGGCTTTGAGATGGCGAACCAAAGTCTGACAATGGGCCGGATACGGGCTCGAGGATGGTGCAGTAGACGGCAGAAAAAAGTATCAGTCGGGCGTACGCAACCGCCCCGCCGCTACGTGGACGCTCGCTCGCACCTCATGGTGGAAAAGTCGCATCGCATCACCTCGTCTGGCGGTGGTCGATTGGCAACGCTGTGCAGCGGGAAAGGCAGTCTGTGGCCGAAGGAATGATGAGCTGTCGTTGTGTGACGGCTGGGCAAGGCCAAAAGGTGTTCTTCTTTGAGCATGCATCAACAGGCTTGCTCTGCCATTGGAGCATCGTGCAACTCGCCTCGATTACGTATGCATCGTCTGCTGAAGACGGCAACAAGCATGCGCCGCACGTCAACCGCAAATCTGCGAGAACCACGTTGGAATCGCGGTAGTGGCTGACGGGAGCGCTTCCTACTGATTGCATCATGTGCCGACTACCTACATAAACACGTATGTATTCCTCGCCTTGTTGAGCCTTCCCGCGACATACACAGTACCTCCTGTCTTTCTTCGTCTCAACCTCTAGCAATCCAACCCCTGCGGCAGCAATGGAGAAAAGTGCAAAGTGCAGCAATACTGCATGCTGGAAAGAGCTGGCATGTTCTTGATAGCCATATGTGGTAGATACGCCGACCGCGCTGTTGTACTTTGTGCGTGGTGTTCAGGCAGCTACCCGATGTGCTGTGCTGTGCTGTGCTGTTCGTCAAAACAAAACCTCGCGCCGGACTTGATACTCAGCGAGCGTGGCTCGATGGCGTGTCCATCAGAACGTAATGCACATCAGAGGGTAATGCACGAACTGGCTGTTTCTGTTTGTGGGGCGAGTCTAGTTGGTACTGGTTGGCAATACCTTGCATTGCCACCCCATACAAGATGCCGTCCATGGCTACGCTCCAAAAGTCTGCAAGGTATCGAGCACCGAGACACCGACGACCAAAAAATAGCCGTATAGACCCTACTCGACCGAACAATGCCACACCACACCAGCACACCAGCAGCCCAACTCACTCCCAAGTCATATGCTCAACAAACCCAACCGTCGTGCAACCCCAGCCCGCCTGGACGCACCCTCCCGATAGGCCCCACTCCCTAAGACTACCCTTCCCTCCGCTTATCCCTTACACAAAGTGCGTGTCATTCGATGCTCATTCGACCGTGTCTGCTTGCACTGCGGCACTATCGCAGCATCTCCGTCTGCTGCTCATAACGAAGGCCATGGCACAACCGTAGTCTGTGCTGGCCTACTCGTCTGGAAAGCGTCGAGATCCGATCAGGGCAAACTGCAGACCTGCTTGTCGAACGCGGCGATGATGATTCTCGTAGGTCACCAAAGTGCAGTGCAGTAGCTAGTTGGGATCAGCGACATGTGTCCAAGGCTATGGATATCGGATATGTGCCCGAGCGTCGGGCTTTATGAGATTCAACGGTTAGGATAAATATCATCTACCGTCTATTACTGTTGCGTCATTGTTGACTGCAAGGCGTAATAGGTCTGGTCTTTGGTTGACGACTATCATGTGTAAAGGGCCTCTTAGCCTGTGTCTCGATCACTCAAGCTCCTCTGTAATTGCCTGTGAGCTGAGCTTGGAGGCTCGCCCTTGTGAACAACTTTGCCTACAAACCTCTTCCATTCCCCGTAACCCAGAATCAATAAACAACCCGTATTTCCTTCCCACCTTGCGCGTGCAGTTTTGCTGTCGTTCTGTTGCTGATCGTACGCTACTCGGACGCAGCTACCCGCACAGGAGCTCGCACAAACAGGGGCGTTTAAGCTGTCGCAGAATCGGAACCTAACTAGCTATCAGTGGGGAAGAGGAAGACGCTGTGGTACTAGACGTTTCTTTATAAGAGTACAGCTTCGTTGTACGTGTGTGACGACCGGTGAAGACATGTTGAGTGTAGCTACTGCTCTGCTGAAATGTTTGTCGAGGGAATATTGAGATGCTCGCTGATAAGAACAGCTGTGTATTTGGAAACAATCAGAAGCATAGAGCTCGTTTCTGGTATAACGAATATTGTGTCTGAGTCTGACGGCGCTACTGTTTCAAAACTCGCCTTAGCACCCAAAAATCTTCTTGGAGGATTGCTAACATGTATTTATTCTCAGGCCATGCATTCATAATAGGAGTTTCCCGAGTCAGAATTAAGCAGACGAACGAATGACATGTACATCATGTAGTTAGAGCCGCCTCTAGGCGCTGTATGCATCCCGACCCGCTTTGCAAAATGTGCAGTTCTCGGCTCGTTCAAGTAGTTTTCCTTTCACGGCGAGTTGTCGGCTGTATATGATGACCATTGAGTTGCACTATCGCCGAACTGTAAGAATCTAGACGTCTGATTGTGAACTATCTATTGAAAGTGGATGGATGGGCACTTTTGACCAGGACCTGACTCATGACTTTTGTTGACTGCATCACGCATGTGTTGTAAGTGGAAGCTCGCCAGTCAACGAACGTTTCGAGGCGAGACAGCCGCCCCGCTAAGTTTTGAAAAACAATAACAAGGTTGATCAGGAATAGAGTGTGTGAGTGGAGGGTGATTGACCCGAAATACCGGTAATCGAATAGAGAGGGATATCGGGAGAAGAGTGGAAAAGCGGGCATCGTATGGACCGAAAAAGAACGATAGGACACCATAATTGGGCAGTCGATAGGTCCTTGCCGCTCTAGATGTCTTCACACTCCACGCATTGTGGGGGGAGATGAGGTTGAGTGGATGGAGAGAGGTTGCCCAATGGATCTAGGGTAGACCCTGATCGTAGCTGATCGAGATTGAGATTCAAGCGAACTTTCCACCGCTCTCGCCTGATTGGGAGTGTTGCATGCTTGCATAGCCTGGATTTCCGAGGGGCACCACCTTGCCTCACTCATCCGACGTCGCCATCGGCACGCAAGTCCGCATCGATCGTCCTTGTTGACGCGCCAAACATAGATCGACATACGTTGTTTGGCAGCTGGATTCCATTGGATACCGTTTTTCTAGTGTGTATCATGCGACTCGTAGAGCGGTTCGTACAACGGCAGGAGTTCACAAAAGACAGGGAAAGTCCTTGTAGTTACTGTTGAAGCTCAGTTTGCGTAAAGCTAACACCTGCCGTTTTGATCAGTCTTGACGGGCACACGGACTCCACGGCGGATATCTGCGCGAATCATCTGCAGGGTATGACATGTAGACAGTACTAGATGGGTGGAGTTGACAACGGATATTAGGTCCTCTGCAGAAATTCTGGATCGGTTTCCAGATTCGATTCAGATCTACAGTGATAGCCGAGACCGACGGTTACACATACCGAATCTCAATCCTTGCGATATACGCTTATGCGGCGTGGTAAGGCAGTCGATGAAGCGCAAACCTTGAGCCCCTCCGCTGCTAAAAGGTTGTCGAATGATGTCTCAGGCCGATACTGCAGCTTCCTCAGGCTCTCACTGAAGTGGGGGGCAGTGTTGGGGCGAATGGCTTTTTCGTATGAGTCCCAGGTCTGTAGCTCGATGACGAGATAGCCACCATTTACCAGGGAGGACGAACACTTGCGGAAGAATGTCTCCAGTCCCTGGTCGAGATGCTCAAGGTGGATCCATTTGATGACACTTAGAGCCAAAATTACTTCGTAGACATCTGGGGAGTTTGAGGGTTCTGTCAATACCCAGTCTGCAGTGGAGAATTTTAGGCATGGCCACTTTGGAAGGGTAGGAGCGGTTGATGAGCGACGCGCAGCTTCGTTCTTTGGCTCGATGCGGTACCCGTGATTGAGGACAGCTGATACAGGGAAGTAGTCGGTAATAGATTCCGTGTTCTCTGCCGCAGGTCGGACGCGAGAAGAACGTAATGCTGAAAGTTTTTCGGCCTGGGCTACTAGTTCTGGATCGATATCAATACCAGTGACAGACGCTGCATGAAAATCGAAGGCTTGGCACATGTTAATACATACGAGGGAATTTGAATGATCGGATGCGGGGACCAGGATATCCCTTCACTTACCGAGTTGGCAAGACACGCTTCCAGCGTTGCAGCCAATATCAAGGCACTTCTTGCCCTCGAATATGGCTGGGATTAGAGTCCGGAGCAAGTTGAGGCGAGCGTCAAGAACATGGGTCGCTGATCCGGGGACTTTGGAGGGACCGCTATAGTCTGCAGGGAAGTGAACAGGGTTAGCAGGAGAGCCGAATAGGACAACGAGATGCGAATAGAGACGGGTGAAGTCCGAAAGTGGGGACGAACCCGTGTAGTTGCCATAAACGGTGGCCATGGCTGCCGAGGAGCGATATGGGGCGCAGGTGCAAGTGCGTGTTGAGCCGCCTCTATTGAGGTGACATGTGAAGGCAAAGAGTGGGTCAGCAGGCGGGTGACGATGTGATTGATGCGCCGTCGGGGGATTCGGGGATCGGTGATCGAGGCAGGAGGGGCGGCGAGAAGGCCGTGGACGGTGGACGGTGGGTGGCTCGCGGCGGGCGGCTCGCGTAAGGCTGGGGTGCCCCTCGAGCCTAGCGCAGACGTCGAGCCTAGTGCAGACCACACCCAGTTTCAACGACAAGCGACAAGCGACACGCTCTGGAGGGAGACGAGCCGGCGAGGAGTGCCTGGCTGAGGGCGGATCGAAGGGGCAAGACAGCCGGTCGAGGTGGCACAGGGCGGGCCGAACTGCTCCAGGGTAGCGCGTACCTGCGTGGGTGCCAATGTCACTCTGGTAGGCGGTGGTATGGCTAGGTACCCCCTAAGCGACAGCAGTTTCAATACTTCCCATACTTGTACCTAGCGCATCGCCGTGCAAAGTGGCTTGCCGGGATGGCAGTGCAACTTGCAACTTGCACCTCGCGGTAGCACGCCAGGACGCTCGTGTGAGAAAAGCATCGTCCAGACGCGTCTGAAAGCGGAAAGTGCGCGCTGAACATGGCAGCTGTCGCGATGGGGGTTTCCAGGTCACGCCCGCGCCATGCACGCACTGCTTCAGCCATGGCACGGCGAGCCTGCCGCATTGCCTGCGCTGCATGGGGAGGGCCGTCGAATGGGGAGGGCCAGTCGTCGAATGGGGAGGCACTTGGGCGCGATGTGTCTCCTGCAACGCTCGCTACCAGCAGCCGTGAAGCCCTCACAGGCAGAGCCAGGCACAGCGGGCTCGGGGTGACAGCGAGAGCGGTAGATGGCGTCCCGGAGGGGAAAGGGCGGTCTCAGGCCGTTGATTGTGGTGCATGACCGTTCTGCACGTTGCACCAAGCTCGACCAGAACCCTGGAAACGGGGCTTCGTTTTGAGTGGCCGGCGACGCTGTGTGCCGAGGGAGGTCGCCCGTCGACGACCGAGGGGACGAGGCCATTGGGCTTGCGGAGAGCAGACGGCAGCGAGGAGGGCTGATTCGCCCGTTGGCCAGTTGACACATCGACTTTTCCCGGTTGCCTGCCCTGTGCCGTCATGGCTTCTTTTTTGTTTTGCAGCGATGCGTCCGTGTTCCCCCATGTTGCTTGTGCTGCTCGTTCTGCCCATCGCATCCCCTCCCACACGATGCTCCGCGGCGCTGCCCGACTCGTGCTGGATGGCATGTCCCTCTGCCAGGTTGTCTCTGTCTGCCTACTGCTGGGCTGTCCATGTTACTAGGCCAGGTAGGTTTCGCGTCGCACGCCGTAGCCACACACCCCCTCTGCACACAGACGGCCGATTGTTTGTCTGCTGGCTGTCTGTTTGACCCGGGCATGAGCCTATTCGGCAGCGCCCCACGAAAACCCAGCGCAGTCACACCACAAGAGCATCCGCGCCCGTGCAATCAGAGCGTCGCGAGGACCCCTCCTGCATGCACAGCCAGCACCGTCCTGTCGTCTGGTGTGAAGGAGTGGATGCCGCCGCAACACATGCATTAGCCGGCTCGCCCAGCTTCCATCCCGGAGCCTTTTGATCATCGCAAACTGCACTGCACCGCTCCTCGACACCAAGCCAGCTTGCTGCATCCGCCTCCCTGGCTTGCTCTCGTACGATCCTGGTCATCATGACCTGCCCACCACCGCCTCGGATATTGCCTCTGTCTAGTCCGCGTTTCGTGCAAAGCCGTTTATTTTTCCTCGTCTGTTCCATGCCCTTGACCCCTCCGCTCCTGTGCACCATTGGCGTGAGGCTTGCCACTCGACCAGGGCCTGCGGGACATCCCCGTCTGCATCCTTCTTCGCTCCCGGGTGCCGTTGTCTGAGCGCCTCTCCACCCAACGTCAACGTAACCGCAATCGAAGCAATCCGCCGCCGATCTGCCTGTTGACCGTCCAGATACGTACAGGGCCGCCTACAAGGGGACTTGGGACTATAAACCTCTCATGCCGCCACACTCGATCTAGTGCCGCATTCCTGACGTTCTGTCTGACACTGCACCACTGCCTGGCCCTCTCTAATTTGAACAAGAGCCTCGCAACGTGAACACAGGTGGTGCTCCCAATGCGGCTTCGTGCATTGTGGCCCGGCTCGAACAGATAATAACACACGCATGTCCCAACCACCACCACCTCCTCCTCCCTCACTGCCGTCACTTCCTTCACCAACCTCCCCTCGCTCACTGTCAGACATGACTGAGACTCAGAAGCTCCCCGTCTTCGCGCCGCCCGGCTTCCTAGACTACCCTCACCGGCAACTGCCCCCACCTATCCAACTCAAACCGCTGGAAATCCCCTCAGACGCTGTACCACCGCGGATGGATTACCAGTTTCGATCGCCCATCAACCACCTTCCTTCAATCTACCCAGGGCCGCCTCCTCGACACGACTACCATCAGCCACCACCGCCTCCACCACCCCCACCACCATCGCACAGGTCCGCCGCGCCGTTCGACAAGCTACTCCACCCGTACACGCCGTCTCGATTAGATCCACCGTACTCTCCCCGCCAATACGGACATTCGACATCACCTCGCTCGGAGTTTGATCGTAGAGGATCAACAAGGCCAACGGATCATCGATATTCGTATGAAGAATCCCGACCAGTACATCATCAACTCCACCAAGACCAGTCGTATGCGCCTCTTGCGTCTCCAATCGAACCTCCCCGACCAAGAACATACGGTTCGATATCATCGCCAGGCTATGCGCCAAACTATGCGTCGAGCAGCGCGCCATTCAGGGGGTCTGTCGACTCCCACTCGCATTCACAACGAGCGTTGCCACCCTCCGGACCAATAGCCTACTCTGCACCTACTCTTGCGGCACCTCCGCCCCGGAAAGAGCCCCGGACAGTCCGACTGCCTGGGTCTATACCACAACCTGTATACAATGAACAATTGTGAGTGTGGTTTGCGTCTAAAAGAAGAAGTAAATGGTCGCTGACAGAGTGCAGAAATCTCAACTATGAACTTCGCGTGCGACAGCAGCCCATAGCAGCCAGAGCGTGCGGGTTTGGGGAACGTGATCGCAGAGTCATTGACCCTCCACCAATCATCCAACTCCTAGTCACAGACCCAAAGACTGGCGTTGCTGAACAGGAAGAGCTACGGTACTCGCTTAACGTGGTGCACTGCACCCTCTGGAATGCAGACGGGACGAACGAGGAGACAGCGCTGATTCAACCCGACCGACGAACGACGCGAAGATTGATGGGGCAGCTGGTAGCGTCACCCTCGGTTGCAAAGGACGAGCACGACAATGAGGGTTGCTTCTTCTGCTTCCCAGATCTGTCTTGTCGCACAAATGGCAAGTACCGTTTGCGGTTTGTGCTGATGCGAATCGATCCTGTAAACTTGCACGTTGGAGGGTTCTCGCCTATCCTCACAGAGGTAATGAGCGACGTGTTCACCGTCTACACGGCCAAAGACTTCCCGGGCATGCGACCCAGTAGCGCTCTTACTCGAGCGCTGAAGCTGCAGGGCTGCAATATCCAGGTCAAAAAGGGCAACGAGAAGGCTTTGCAGCGCAAACGACTCACTAGCAGCCAAGAGCATGATACACACGAGGAGGAGATGAAGCGACAACGCCGGATGTAGCGGGCGTTTGCTGTCATCATTCGAGGTTAACGGATCATCTCTTCCAGGGCAACAAAAGGCATCAATTTTATAGCGATGGGCGGTACATTGACGTTAGGGACACCTGAAGCATTTTTTCACAAATACCTACTTGCATCATTACGATATTACGAATAAGACACATTCGTCCTTCCTGGTTGGATCGCACGCATTACAGACAATGCAGACGGACAGTCGACCGACTCGGCGGAGACTATGGCGTAATGGGGTTAGAGCTGGCAGGAAGTGGAAGTACGATACCAATTGATAGGCTTTACTGTGCAGATAACATACCAAAGCTGCACACGCAGGCGCATGATTTTCTTGTCTGAGCAATAGAGTAATAGAGTGAGGTCGAGTGAAGAGACGAGTGATTGGTTGGTTGGCGCTAACTAGGTCAGGGTGCCCCACCAGAACCGTAGGCGGTGGGACAATTTTCTTTGCGAAGGCCGACTTTGACCTTTCCTCTCTCCCTCTTCCCCAAACCGCACTTCAGACACCCAAAGCAATCATGAAGTACGTGCTCGTGTCTGGAGGTGTCATCAGCGGCGTGGGGAAGGTGAGCTACTGCGTGTTGCCGCGCCTTTGATCCTAGAACTAACCAGGCGAACGTAGGGCATTATAGGTAAGACTCGAGGTTGTGTGATCAAAAGTTTTCTCCGCGAGGACTGCTGGTTTGGCGAGGGGATGATTTAGTATTTCGTCACGGTATCTGCTAGTAAAGGGCAGACTCGACTCGAGCCAGCAGATACTCGCAGAGAAAGAAGTCCATATTGGACATGTCCATGTCCACTGCTAACCCCACGCGTCATAGCCTCGTCGACAGGTCTGCTGCTCAAGACGATTGGCCTCAAGATAAGTTTCGCGACTTGACGCGCGCAGCTCCTACTGACAGCCCGGCACGTCTCCTCGATCAAGGTCGACCCCTACCTCAATGTCGACGCGGGAACAATGAACCCGAAGGAGTAGGGCACCCCTCTCCGACTCCCCCACTACACCCCACTAAACCACTCGACAGGCACGGCGAAGTCTTTGTCCTGTCCGACGGCGGCGAGGTTGACCTCGATCTCGGTAACTACGAGCGCTACCTCAACATCACCCTGACGCGCGACAACAACATCACGACGGGCAAAATATACCAGCACGTCATCGAGCGCGAGCGCAAGGGCGACTACCTGGGCAAGACGGTGCAAGTCGTACCCCACATCACCGACGCGATTCAGTCGTGGATTGAACGCGTCGCGCGCGTGCCTGTCGACGACACCAACGAGGAGCCCGATGTCTGCATCATTGAGCTGGGCGGCACCGTGGGCGACATGGAGAGCGCGCCCTTCATCGAGGCCATGAGTCAGTTGAGGCGCCGCGCGGGCAAGGACAACTTCATGCAGATTCACGTCTCGTATGTGCCCGTCATCCACGGGGAGCAGAAGACGAAGCCGACGCAGCGCGCCATCAAGGATGTGCGCATGGCTGGTATGATTCCGGATCTGGTACGTACAACATGATCTATGGCGGAGGGGATATATGTCTGTTTGGAGACCTTCAGGCCATGTAGCTGATGTGCTACAGATTGCCTGTCGCTGCGAGGGCGAACTAGACGCCTCGGCCATTGAGAAGATTGCCCACTTCTGCCAGGTTGAGACGGAGCAGGTTGTAGTCGTGAAAGACATGCCCTCCATCTACCAGGTCCCTATGCTCCTCGAACAGCAGAAGCTGATCCCCATGGTACGACAATTCCTCGCCCTTGATCAAATCACCGTAGCTCCTGCCATGACCGATAAGGGCCGTCATACCTGGGCTCAATGGCAATCACTCACTGGCCATGATACCCGATTCCACGACTCCGTCACTATTGCTCTCGTTGGAAAATACGTAGAGTTACAAGACTCCTACCTGTCCGTCATCAAGTCCCTGGAGCACGCGACGATGCGCTGCCGCAAAAAGCTGGACATCCGCTGGGTCGACTCGGACCACCTCGAGCCCAAATGCCAAGTGTCGAATCCCGCAAAATACCACGACGCCTGGCACAAGGTCGTCCAAGCCGCGGGCATCCTCGTTCCCGGTGGCTTTGGCCAGCGTGCCACCGAAGGCATGATTGCCGCCGCAAAATGGGCCCGCGAGAACAAAAAGCCCTACCTCGGCATCTGCCTGGGCATGCAAATCGCCGTCATCGAGTACGCGCGCAACGTATGCGGCATCTCGGACGCAACGTCTGAAGAATTCGACGGCCAGGCCGCCAACAAGCTCATCATGTTCATGCCCGAAGTCGACAAGACCACCATGGGCGCCAGCATGCGTCTCGGGCTGCGCCCCACGCTCTTCCAGCCCGGCAGCGAGTGGTCGCGCCTGCGTGCCCTGTACGCGGGCAAAGACACCATCCTCGAGCGCCACCGCCACCGCTACGAAGTAAACCCAGACTACATCGCCACGCTCGAAAAAGGCGGCCTCAGCTTCGTCGGCAAAGACGAGGCCGGCGTCCGCATGGAAGTCATCGAAATCAAAGACCACCCCTGGTTCGTCGCCGTCCAGTTCCACCCCGAGTACCTCTCTCGCGTCCTCGATCCCAGCCGTCCGTATCTCGGCTTCGTTGCTGCGAGTGCTGGTATGCTGGAGGAGATTACGCGCGATTACCAGCATGGGAGTGCGAGGTCTGTCGAGGGGATTACGAATGGCGTTGATGGGATAAAGGGGTCGAGTATGTTTTAGAGATGGGATGACGGTAGGTATAGGTTTATGAGTGAATTCGAGATGAGGGGCTTTATACGGTTATGTTTGGATGATTTGGGTTGGATTTCGGGTACTCATGGAGTTGAGGTGGTGCGGTTTGAACTGGACTGATTGATCCGGTGATGGTAGAATTTATATCATGACTAAAAAAGGATATGCACGTATGGCATGGAAAAGCCGAGACAGAAATAGAATCATGGTATCATGATAACTCATTCTTCATACCTACATATTCTTTCCAAAAGTAACCATCCATATTCATGTCCACGTACTCCATTCCAGAACTCCCTGATACTACTCCTCCACCTACTCATCGCTTCCTCTTCAACCAAACCTTCAGAAACTCAATCTTATCCTCAACTCCCAACCCGACTCTCTTGACTCTCCCCAACCGGGCCAAATCCTCCCCAATCCGATCCAATACTTTCTTTTCATCTGCACTCACGTCCTCCACTCCGCCAACACCAGTCTCAACCTGCATGCCCGCATCCGCATCCCAGTGTTTCCCATTGACCCCGTTGCGGAAATCCGGTTGGTCGAAGATATTCGTATCATAGCCCGTGCCCGTCGCCTTCTGCACAATCTTCTTGGGCGAGTCCTGCGACGGCGAATTATAGATGCGACTAGCGATCCTTACGCGCATCTGGTGCGTGGGTTTAGATAGGAGGTTGTAGAACCAGCTCAGGTAGTTGCCGGGGACGGGGGTGGTGACATCTTGAGGTGTGTAGCGCAGGTTTACGGGGTAGATTTTCGTGTCGCCGGCTGCGCTGAGCAGGCAAGGGGACAAAGGTAGGATGCCGCGGCCGTTTGTGGTGGTGCATTCGGGGAAGACGCAAATTATGCTTGTGGGGTTTTCCGCAGTGAGCTGCGCGAGGGTGACGAGGTTGCTGGTGTCGGGGGGAGAGAGCGTGGGGTGGGAGAAGGCGAGGAGGATGGCGCGGAGGAGTGTGATGCGCTCGACCTTGCGAGTGTTTGGATATGCGCGGGTGAAGATTGGTTGGAAGATGCCGGCGAGGTAGAGGGGGTCGAGGGGGGAAGTGTATGACGAAGCGATAATTGTGCCGGGCTTGGGGAGCTGTTCTTTCGCCGAGGAGAGCTGTCTAAGAGGATGCAATTAGCACATATTTTTCCGTCTCTTGTATGACATATTCGAGGATTGCGTGGAGAGAGAGGTATACATACCCCCGCTTCACACCATCGACCTGAAAGTCCACCCACCACACCCCAGGAGCCATGAGCATAGACCACAGCACCGCATACTTGATCGCATGCCCCACAGGTAGCCAGTCCAGAATGCCAAAGTAGAGAATCGAAAACCCTATGACAAACGGTAGGCGCGTGAAGAAGAGGAACACATGTACGGGTGTCCAGAGAAAGCTCGATGGAGGGGAAGGCACGGGCAGGAAAGGCGCAATCGCTGTGCCTATGCGTGTGTTAGTATCTGAAGCTCCATTGGAGGTCCTGGGTGCATGATGAATGTACCTTTATCGCGGAATTGGCTGTACTTTTCCATGATGGGTGGTGTATTTCGGCGTCGTGCTACCGGGCCATGAAGAACTGTGAAAGAGGCGAAGCAGAGCGAAGGGAGGCAGACAGTCGGAGATATATCAGCTCCAATGTGTCGTCAGTGTCCCAAAGTTGACAGCTGCAGGCGTGGCGGCGACGGGTGTGGTGTTCGCTGTTGGCGGGACGAAAGGTAAGTGGTTGCACGAGTCATTTTGAATTTGTGCACTTGTTCACATGTGATTTTCCAAAACGTCATCAACGGGAAGGACATAGCAACATGTGACAACACTGACAACACTGACCCACAGATCGATCAGAAGCACGACAAATATTTCGGTAGAGATCTTGTATATACTACCTGAACCATCATTTCCCCCAACCCCCCATATCGCTCTTCTCGCTACATCAAATCCTCGACTACATGAAACAAAAGACACAAGTACAAGAAAGGAAACAAGATATCAGTCAATACACGCTCCAGTCGTGGAGGTTGAACGAAACGATACATGTGCCCGTGAGCAATGCCATGCTAAGAAAGGGGGTGGTATACAAAGGAAATACTATTAGTCGACAAACAACGTCGACCTACGGAAACAGCGGGTATGTGGGTATGTAGTGTGACAATATTAATGCTCTTTTCCATCTTTTTCCAGCAGCGATCATTCCACGTCGATTCGAACGCCTCTTACAATACCGAACCTGAGCAATTTTGGCTTCGCACAAGGTGGCGGGCCGCCCTGGCAACAGACAGCTCAAGAGACCCAGACGAAAGAACTGTCATTCTTCCAGCTAAGCTCTGATGTGTGTCGGGTGGACCCGCCTCATGCTGCAGATTACAAGACTGATTACAAACGTACGGTCTAAACTCCCCTTCCGGGAGGAAAGGATGACCAAAGGAAAGGGTATGTCAGGGTAGTAAAAAAGGGTATGCGCAAGGGGTATTCCTCATCCTCGTTTTCCACTTCGCTTACAAAGCGACATCAAGCACCAGACTAACATCGCTGACCTGGCTGCCAGCAAGGTCCTCAAGGACGGGTATCAAGTCGAGGAGTTCGTTGTCGTGGGCATCAGAGAACCAGCTGCTGATCGGGACGGCATGTTGCGGGTGGAAGATGTACGACGTGGGCGAGTTATCGATGATGATGGTATCCTTGAGGTCGCGACCGATTTGGGAAAGATCCTGAAAGTATGTTAGCAAAGTTCACAGAGTCACTTGAAAAGACTCAAACATACCTTGACGTAGTTGCCCTGATGGTTGTAGCAGCTCTCTCGGAACAGCCTGTGGTGTACAACACCATGGATGTCAAGCTGGTCGAGAAGTGGGTCGCCATACTGTGGTCGTTAACATGTGTTACTGGCAGAACGGGCTAGACAAATAATACCTTAGAGACGGATGCCGTGAAGACGACGACCTCGTACAGCTCGCCAACCCTCTTCATGAACTGGTCGACACCTGGGCGCTTGATGACATACACATTGTGGTACTGTCCCTCAATTTCAACTGGGATGGTGAAGTCGGCCTGGTGCAGGATCTAAGAAATGTTAGCACGACAGGAAACGGTCACCTAGCTCGCGTAATAGCATACCTTGAAGCTACTGTGAACCAGAGTCTCGTCGAGATCGAGAACCAGACACTTCTTTCCCGTGAACCTTGGTGCTATTGGGCCGAGCAGATACTTCTGTGGCTCCGAGGCTTCCGAGACGTCTGAAATCTGCTTGTGCACAGCATCCTGTCTTTGCTCAACGGGAGGCGGGGGAGGAAGATCGATCTTGGGGTGGTCAGACTGCGCTGCTGCTACCGGGTCTTCGCCTTCTTGGTGAACGTCGTTGGTCGAGATTGGCACGTCCTTCATCTCAATGTCAGCATCGATCTGCTTTTGCTCCTCGGTCTGATCTTCGATGATCCTTTGCTGATCAACAGAGGGCCTCGGCAGCACGGTGGGCAGTACCGGAGTAGTTCCGGGCGTGGGAGTCGTGACATTGATCTGGGGATGATCCGTCTGCAGGAAACCGGGCTGGCCAGGGAGCGGTGGGAACTCCGTCTGTGCCTGCATCTTCTTGGACGCGCTTCTTGTGACGATCTGAGGCGGCGAGATATCATGTGACTGGCGCTCGGTCGTGCCATCACCGTGATTGGGCTTCTCGGCAACACCCGTGCCATAAGCCTCAACACCCGCCTTCTCATCTAGGGGTTCTTTTGATTCAGCAGTGATTGATTCGGCAGGATTGGGCTCCTGCTTTTTTACGGGCGTCGATTGCGACGTGCGTCCGGCCGGCACGTTCTCAGTCCGCTTGACATTCTCTGGAGGCGCAACATCTTCTGTTGCTCGGGACTCCTTCGGCGCAAAGCAAGGCAGGCAGGAGAGAAGACCGCCGCCGCCTCTCTTTTTGCTTCGCATGGAACCCTCACGGTTGGTTGTGGGGGCGACTGGCGCCGCGTGTGTGACCTTCTCCGAGGTTGCGGCACGCTGCTGCAGGCGCTTGCTGCTCGTAGTGCTGCCCGCCCTTTTTCTGCCCATGAAGCTGCGCTTGGAGTGCCGGGAGCCTTGGCCAATGCTTTCAGTGTCTGTCGCGGTGGCGCCACTCAGCCCGGTCTTGGACGTCTGCCCTTCGTTTGGCGGTGAGCCGACGGCCAGGAGCGGGTTCGTATTACTCTCCCCGCTGCTGCCGGCGACGTGATTGTTGTCCATCGGTGGCCCTCGTGAAGACGAGCGGGGCGGTGGAACGACTGTGTTGGGGCTGAAGGCCTGTGAAGCTGCGTCACCGGGTTAGTGCACGGGTTCCGTATCGATGGCGTTGGGCTGGGGGCGGCAGCATCGTTATCGTCACGTACCAGAACCGTTGGCAGCTGAGTGCGAGGGCTCGATGCTCATCACTAGGCAGCAGTCACCTCAGGCAGACAGCGCGCAGTGCAAGACGAGCGGTAGCGATGGTGAAGGATGCAGAGCTGGTGGTGATCCCTAGCCGCGTCGCGTGGTGGTGCCTCGTGCGTGGTCGCTGGCGGTGGTCCGACTTGCGCCCGTCGCTGCTTCCGTGAAAGGCAATTGCTGGGCAACTGCGGTGGATGCGGAAGGCGCGCGAGATGGGAAGAAGTCGCAATGTCGCCGTGGCTAGGACACGATCGTCGAGGACGCGGTCGGGAGGTGTAAGGGAGGGAGTTCGCGAGGTCAGGATCGGTGCTTGGGATGAGGCTGGTTCGCTAAGGCGGGCGGAAATGAGCTGCCGTCTTTCACCGTCGTCAGCGCCAACAGCTCCGCCAACAACCGTCCTTGTGGGCGGCGCAGGGTGCTCTGGGGTGCTCTTGCGGGTCCTGCAGCGTGCCTGCGACTGTGATGCCGTTCTGGAGACTGTAGACTCAGATGGCGCGCTGGACTCGAGCATGCTTCGCCAACTTGACTGGGCTGCCCAAGAAGCGCAATACGAAGTCGACAGGGGTGCCACCCATCTAGCACTATTGCGTCCCCACTAACCGTATGGTCGCCTAGCCGCGGCCAGGCCCAAGCATTCACTCTCCACTCTCTGCACTCCACCCTGCGAGTCTATCCACAAGCGGACGCGACCAGGCTGCATTACATCACCCAGCGAGCCGCTCTCTCTTGGTGCTGTGCGAGTACATCACATGAATAAACAGCACCTTCTCAACGCCAGTAGACGTTGCTTGCGACTTGCATCTGCCTGTCAACTCCCATGTCTCTGTCAATAAACTTAGGGCCCTGCTTCCGGGAATCCCCTCCAGCCACGGAGTGCATCGCTACATCGCTAACCCTGTACGACGGGCGGCGGTTAACCAAGTCAGACCCAGCCTATCACCGTGTGGGCCTCGAGTGCGCGCCCACCGCCACATCCACTCCCAAACCATGATTCTGTCGGCATTCAACCTCAATGCAGTTCGGATATTTTCAACGACCATCTTGCATGACCATCGTCGTGGCGGCTGGAGCAGGCTAGATTCAATACATGAACCAGCACATGCCACACATCGTTCACGTTTCGCCCCGTGACAAGTGCAGTGCAGCGCAGTGCAATGCAGTGCGGGCCGCATGTCGAGGCCATCCCGCGTCGATCTTAGCCTACTACTGTAAGCGGCAAGTCACAAGTCGAACGTTGATGTTTGAGGGTGTGCTGGGTGTTGGCTTGATCCGAGATCCCCGCTACGAGAGGGTGTGTAGCAATGAGGAGGTGGCTGAAGATGCCCCCCAGACGCATCAAAGAAAGAAGCAACGATAAGTAAGCAACAAGTGGTCGATATATTGGTGGCCAACCGTTCAACGTTGTACATCTTGTACCCGAGGCAATCTTCACGGCGGCTGAGAACAAACATGGCAGCTACTGTACCACAGTTCTCGAACGACATGGTCCAGTTGACGGGAGAGGGATTTGATGTCGGAGAGAAACAGGGCCACTTTCAAGGCCGTATTAAAGATTGAAATGTGGCACAGGCGTTTGCTACACAATCTAATCGTGCAGGGTCATGCGTTAATTAGGCCTGTGGAGCTTTTAGTGTCGCACACGATAGTTGTCGTGAGGTTACTCTTCAACTAATACCTCAGCGACATCATGCACATAGCGGGATACATACGATAAGTAATACAGCAACAGCACATCCCAACTACATTGGCTCCTCGGAGATTATCGTGACGATTTGGTGAAGATGTTGGTTTTGGAATTCGAGTGCACTCCGCAAGGCTGAGGGGTGCTGGACCCTTGTCCTGGGCTAAGCTAAGCTTTCCAACGACGTAACTCCTGCCTGAACAAGCATCCGAAGTAGTCCGATACAACTACACTTCACACTACCTTTGTGGTCGAATATTTTCGGTCAACTAAACTCTCCACATACATCCTATCAAGATCGCTTTGTACGCCACTATGGCTGATTCGAACACTACCCCGCCCACCGAGCGTGACCCCGCGGCGCCGTCAAATACGGGCGAGACACACGAGGAAAAGATCGACGACCACAAGCCTAGAGATAGCAAAGGCTGGGACGGGAAACTCAGAATCGATAAGCTGGCTCTTAAGGAAAACGGGCCAGCAGATCCCAAAGTGGAAATCGAAAGTGAGCCAGAGGTGTCCGACGACGAAGGCCCACCGCCAGAGCAACTTGCAGCGGACGAAGACCTGCTAGACGACGTGCCCGACGATGAAGACGAGATCGAGCTGGTACACTGCAAAGTTGCAGATATGGACTCACTGCGATTAGAGCGGTTCACGCAAATGAAGGTAGCACACCCTCTCTAACCTTTGCGATAGGTGAGCTGACAAACGTAGCGTCTCTGCCTTCGCCAAAACCGCATAGAAGTCATTTCAATACCCGAATCAGTCGCGCCCACACTACAAGAAGTCGATCTTTACGACAACCTCATCGCACATATCAAAAGCTTCGACGCTTTCACCGAGCTCACATCGCTCGACCTGTCCTTCAACAAGATCAAGCACATCAAGCGGCTGAGCCATCTCACAAAACTCAAAGACCTGTACTTTGTGCAGAACAAGATCAGCAAGATAGAGAATCTCGATGGCATGACCAACCTGCGGCAAATCGAACTCGGCGCAAACAGGGTGCGCGAAATTGAAAACCTGGAGACTCTGACTGGCCTGGAGGAGCTGTGGTTGGGCAAGAACAAGATTACTGAAATCAAAGGCCTCGACACCCTCGCGAATCTCAAGATACTCTCTATCCAGTCGAACCGTCTGCGCACAATAACCGGCCTGCAGGGTCTCACTAGCCTCGAAGAGTTACACATCTCGCACAATCTTATCACTGAAATCTCCGGTCTCGAGCACAATACGAACCTCAAGGTCATCGACATCAGCGCCAACCCGATCGAACATCTCACGGGTCTGGAGAGCCTCGTCCACCTCACCGAATTCTGGGCAAGCAATTGTAAGCTCAGCAGATTCGACGAGGTGGAAAAGGAGCTCAAGGATAAGGAAGAATTGGAGACGGTGTACTTCGAAGGCAATCCCTTGCAACGATCGCAACCAGCACTGTATCGTAACAAGGTACGATTGGCGCTGCCACAGGTGGTTCAGATCGATGCCAGTAAGTCATCTTCGTTGCATACCTGAAGATTCAGATGGACTAACATATTCATAGCGTTCGTGAAACAAGTTTAGCACACTATGCAGAGGTGTTTAATGGAAGGAATGAGGGCTGCGCAGGCAGCGAGATATGCCTCTGCAACTCGGATTCTTCAGTGTTTGAAGAGTTGTAGGACGATATAGGGGTTTGGGACTTTCACGGCATTGAAGGAGGTTCAGCATCTGCATTGCAAGGCGTTCAGCAAGCATTCCATAGCATGGAGTTATGAGAGTCCGAAATCGAAGAAATGCATAATGATACCCGATACCGTCCGGCATCTTAGCCTGCTTGTATCGATATTGTGCCAGTGCAAGACTTCAGCATGGGACTTGAAAAAGATGATGGTGGTGCGTCTTCATCGCGCCGTGGGCACGGCCCATCGTCTAACCTGATTCCTCGTGGTGCAACGACAGGGGTCTCTTGACGTGTTTGTAAACACGCCAAAACAATCGGCATTATCAAACTCCGCACCGCCATCGCTGCCATCGACAACACGCTCGTGCACCTGGCTGGGAGCAGCATGACTTGGTGATTTTTCTCGCTCTTTTAAAGTTGTGTTGACTTTTGGAATTATGGATCCCGCAATGGACAACCAGGTACGTCTGCACACAGCGCAAGCAGTACTGTGACCCCACGACTGACGCCCACGGTCTGCTCAGGGCTTCGTCAAGCGTTCAGGAATCAAGCCGCCCTCAAAGATCAATCTCGAGCCCACGTCGCCACGCGCTCTCACCGAACTGCCCCCTTCTGGCATGAACGCGCGCATCGCAATGTCTCAGTCGACAACGGCCACGAAGCACAAGCCCTCCGGCTGTAAACTTCCCATTTCCATACACTGTGACCCGGACAGGCCACTGACTCCCCCAGTACCCGAGCCCGCCGCCAAACGGAAGACACTGGCAGAATTGGGTGGTGAACCCTACAAGCCAAAGATCCCCGCGCCCCCTAGTTCGCGCCACACCAGCAACAGCGTCAAGAGCACTGTTGCACGCGGAATGTCTGCATCGCTGTCGCGCGCGACCGGGAATACCGTCTCTCGCAGTGCTTCTGCGTCCGCCTTTGGTGGTAGCATGGGTCCTGGCGCAAAAGCCCCCGTTGCGAACGCGAGACCAAAGTCTGCGTATGGGCACAACAGAAGCAAGTCGCATCATCAGCCGTCTCGTCCTGCCACCGCCATGTCTAAGCGTGCTGGATACGACGAGGACGAGGAGGCAAACCCCAAAGGTTCGCAGCCCTTTCTTATCTCCACAAATCCCAAAGAGACTCTCAAGGTGCTGAAAAAGGCGCCCGTGACCTCGAGAGCGCGCACACAGTCTTTCGAGGTAACCCCTCAGAAGACGTTTCGCATATCACATTCTCGAGCCATCTCGTCCCCTTCGATCTTTCGCCCCATCACCCCTGTCATCGAAGAACCTGCCGATTTCGATTGCGAGGAAGTCTGCGCCAATCTTGGGGCACTCAAATTGGGTGTTTCGGATGCAGAGCCCCGTGAGAGTGAATCTGAGCGTGGTATGACTTCTGGCAGGGATACAAACCCTTTCTTGAAGCCTGCAAAGCCTCCATCTCGACTTCCTCAAGCATCGCCTGTTCGACAGACAGTGAACCGAACGCCCACTCGACATCCTCCATCCTCTACCCCTAGAGCAAAGCGGACGAATTTTTTAAATAGATTTACTAACGACCGCTGTCCAGACTTTTACGATGAACGAATGGAAGCGATGGAAACGCAATTTCGGGAGTTTACCGCTAGGATGGAGCGCGACATGCAACAAGCAACCGATAACAAAGAAACTGCTCAACAACTTCAGGGTCGAGGTACGTCTCAAAGGCGCAAAGACGCTGCGAGCCCCTTGTCGGTTTTCCTGCGCGAACACCCTTGACTAACATGGTGATCCCGCAGTTGCTGAACTCGAAGCCATCCGCGCCCGATTAGAAACTGCAAACACCAGCCTAGAATCTGATATGAAAGACACTCAAAGTTGCCTGAACACTGTGAAGATGGAGCTGGAGATGACACGACGAAACCACACTTTTGAAGCAGACGATTTGCGCAGAAAGTTGCGCAACGAAACGGAAGAACTCGAATTCCGGCAGCGAAAAGAAACGGACAGGATGCAAAGAGAGAAGGAAGAGTCCGAGGAGAAGATTGTCAGAAAATTCAAATCTCAGATTGAGGGATTACTGAAAGAGCACCGCGAGGAATTGGCAGAGCTGAGGAAGCAGATCGATGCCGATGGTGAAGTAGAACGCAGCAGGCGGGCTCGCGAGGCCCAGGAGAAAGAAGCAGAGTGGGGCTCGAAGTTGAGAGCCGCTGGACACGAAACAGAGGCCAAGCAGCGGGAGCTACAGCTTGTTCAAGGGGAACTCATCAACGTCAAGGCAGAACTCGAATCGACCAGGAACCTCAAGACTGGACTCCAAACACAATTGGGCTTGGCGACGACCAACAACCTCACATTGGAAGCCGCAAACCAAGCGATGAAAGAAAAGATCAACTTTCTCGAATCCGACAGCCAAGCGCAGTCGCAATCCTTCAACGATCTCCACAAGAGAATGCAAGACGCCATCGAAGCAGCAGAGCTGGCCAACGACAAACTCCGCCAGGAAGAGACACTACGACGAAAGCTCTTCAACCAAGTGCAGGAGCTCAAGGGCAACATCAGAGTCATGTGTCGTGTGCGACCGAAGCACGACTCCGAGAACGATCCTGCGAAGATCTCGTTTCCGGACGTGGACACAGATAGCAAGGAGGTGGCCATGCTTGGTCCAGAGAAAATGAGTGCGACCGGGAAGGATATCACACCTTCATACGCCTACTCTTTCGACCGTGTCTTTGGCCCAGGGTCTCAGAACGGCGAAGTCTTTGAGGAGATCAGCCAACTTGTTCAGAGCGCACTGGATGGGTATAACGTCTGCATCTTCTGTTATGGTCAAACCGGAGCTGGAAAGACCTTCACCATGTCTTCAGCTGACGGCATGATCCCACGTGCCACAGCGCAGATCTACGCTGAAGCACAGCGCCTGGAAGAGAAGGGCTGGCGCTACAAGATGGAGGGTTCGTTCATCGAGGTTTACAATGAGACATACAACGATCTGCTCGGTCGTGCGGAAGACCTCGACAAGAAGAAGGTCGAAGTCAGACACGACCCTGCGAAAAAGCAGACGATTCTTGAGAATACTGTTAGCGTCACCCTCGACAGCGCGCAACGAGTTGAGGAAATCCTCGACACGGCAGACAAGAACAGGACAGTAGCTGCCACCAAGGCGAACATGCGATCGAGCAGAAGTCACTCGGTCTTCATCCTGAAGCTCGTCGGCACAAACCAGATCACAGGCGAGAGAAGCGAGGGCACACTCAACCTCGTCGATCTCGCCGGCTCCGAAAGACTCGAGCACTCCAAAGCGGAGGGCGCGCGACTGAAAGAAACACAGAACATCAACAAGAGCTTGAGCTGTCTAGGCGATGTCATCAACGCTCTTGGGTCCGCGAAAGAAGGCACCCATGTCCCGTACAGAAACTCAAAGGTATGTTGTCGCTGATTCTTCTTTTATTGATTTCGAATACTTGCTAATGCATCATGACGCAGCTCACATACCTCCTCCAATACTCGCTCGGCGGCAACTCCAAAACCCTCATGTTCGTCATGGTCTCCCCGCTCCAAGCTCATCTCCAGGAAACTATCACAAGTCTCAAATTCGCGACAAAAGTCCACAATACGCATATCGGCACGGCGAAGAAGCAGACGAAGACCATCAAGGACGATAAGCCGGCGAGTGCGGGGGCGAAGGCTTGATCTGTGTGTGTGTGTGGATGTGGGTGGGTAGGTAGGATTTGTGTGCGGGGGTTGTCTTGGTGGGTTTCTACATTCTTTCTACTTCTTAGGGTTCTCTTTTGCAGCGACCGGTGAAGTGTTCGAGGTCGATTTGCTGGTTTCTGTTCTGTTCTTTTCTGTTCCGTTTGGGTTCTTGGATATCGTGGGGTGGCGTAGAACATCTGTTTGTTTGTTGGTGTGTGTGAGAATGGCGTTATGAGAACGAGGCGCTGGTTAGGCAGATGTTATGATGACGTCTTTTTCCTACTTTCTATTCATTTATTGGTTGTGCTGTGTTTGGTCTGATGTTGGCTTGATGCTTGATGTTTGGTGGTGTGTCAGTGGATGTGTTAATGAGGATGTCTCTCCATCCAGTTTATACAGCACTGTCCTCGTGCCTCGTTTTGTATCATGATACAAAACTTATCAATACCCGTTGCTTGCACATCATGACTGCGTTTTCACTGTCGATGGACTTGTCGATTGATGCGTTTTCCAAGCCACCCCTTGTATATTGACTTACACACTTATTGAACTGCACATTATAACCTATGAGCACCATTCACAACGACACGCTGTCTAATCCATCGCTTGCCAATATGACCACACGCAGCTCACTGCACCGATTAGTGAATACATGCCATTGATGCTGATGGGGTGTGAGAGGACTTTGGTCCCGCGGAGTAAGCTCTGCATGTCTGATATTCATCGGGGTGGTGGTGAGAGTTTGGACAAGTCTAGCTTACATTGTGTGGATGGATACTGGATATTGGATAGATGACGTTGAAAGTTGGTTGCATTCCTTGGTTTGCTTGGATTATCGCCTGGAGGTTCTGCAGATATGTAGAGTGCTGGGAGGATAACGTGTTGGTTGTGGGTGTGGGCTTTATGTGATATGTATGATGGGTTCTTGGGTGGTTTGAAGTGGTTGTTTTTTGTTTATGAATGGTGGGGTATGGTTATGACGGACACTGAGGGGTGAGCGTGATTGAGATGATGAGAGATTGTTTAATGTTTGTTATCGGAGTACGAGAAGATGTATGGAAAATAAAAGAGAGTAAAGGAACGCGATTGATAGGAAAAGATTAATATCATCGCCTATCGCTGTTCTGTATGGCTAGCAGATGATAGTCAAGATATACTGGTAGGGTTGTCCTGAGTTCAAGGATCAGGGGTTGGTGTTCGAGAATGGGGAAGAGGAAGAGTTTGCAGGAGTTCTCCGAACCCAGCTGCCAGGACGTGGATGTGCTGTGTGGGCGTCGAGGTGGAGTATCATTGGCGAGCTGGTTCATCCCACCGCGCTAGCCATATCCGGCTGCATATGCATTCACATGTCATTCATACAACATGCTTACCTCGCTGTGTAGAGTCGTCAAGCAGTCCAACATGCTTCTCACGAAAGATGATGGCCCGACATGCACCGGATGGAGATGAGATGAGCTTCACGCCACTCCGGCCGAAGCGGTGGCTAGCGCCAACGACCCCTGGCAGAAGGGCCTCACCGCCCGCGATTCTAGTTCGCAGGACGAGGGTTTAAGATCGCGAGTCGCCACCGACGGGCCATTGACGCCTCTGCCAGCCTCGTAGTGTGTGCTTTTCCGACTCTGTAGCGCCTGCAACCCTCGTTCACGTCCATCCACGACATCCCGGGTTCTTCAACAGGCCCAATTCGCCGCCAAGATGCTCACAATCTTCTCCACCAAAATCACCACCCTGCCCCCGGGCGTCACCACGTCGTCGCACTCCCGAGCCCGCGGCGCCTCGACCTCCTCCATCCCCCACACAGACTACATACCAGAGGTGGACTCGCGCGAGGAGAGGCGGCGCGTGCACCATGAGGCAGACATTGTCATTGTGGGCGCCGGCATCGTGGGATGTGCAGCGGCGGTGGCGTTCGGGCGGCAGGGACGCAGCGTGATCCTGCTCGAGAAGAGCCTCAAGGAGCCGGACCGCATTGTGGGCGAGCTGCTGCAGCCGGGCGGCGTCGAGGCCCTGGAGAAACTGGGCCTGAGGGGTGCGTGGCTCAATTCGTTGTTAGACCAGTCCACCATGCTGATACATGACAGACTGCCTCGAGGGCATCGATGCCATCCCGTGCTACGGCTACCAGGTCTCGTACAACCGCGAGCCCGTGCAAATCGCCTACCCCGCGAGCCTCGTTGCCTCCAAGAAGCAGCCAGAGGGCCGGTCCTTCCACCACGGCCGCTTCATCACCAAACTGCGCGCCGCAGCCATGGCCGCTCCAAACGTCACCGTCGTCGAGACCACCGTCACCGATATGGTGAAGAATGAATGGACCAACCAGGTCTTGGGTGTTGAATGCCACACGGCCGGCGAGAAGGACTACTACTTCGGCGCCATCACCCTCGTCGCCGACGGCTACGCCTCCAAGTTCAGGAAAAACCACCTCCCCCACACACCCCAAGTCCGCAGCAAGTTCTGGGGCCTGGAGATGATCGACGCCGAACTGCCCATGCCCCAACACGGCCATGTCATCCTCACCGACGCACCCCCTATCCTCATCTACCAGATCGGCACACACGAGACGCGCATCCTCGTCGACATACCCGAGAACCTGCCCTCTGCGAGCGTAAAAGCCGGCGGAGTAAAGAACCACATGCTCAACGTCGCCCTCCCCAACCTCCCCGAATGCGTCCAGCCCGCCTTCCGCCGCGCCGTCGAATCCGGCAAACTCCGCTCAATGCCCAACTCCTTCCTGCCGCCCGCGGTGCAGAAAACCGCCGGCCTGATCATGCTCGGCGACGCAATGAACATGCGCCACCCCCTCACCGGCGGCGGCATGACCGTCGCCTTCAACGACGTCGTCACCCTCTCCACCCTCCTCTCCCCGCAAAACGTCCCCAGCTTCGAGGACACGCCCGCCGTCGTCGCCGCAATGTCGCGCTTCCACTGGGCCCGCAAGAGCGGCAGCTCCGTCATCAACATCCTCGCCATGGCGCTGTACTCGCTCTTCGCCGCAAACAACCCCCACCTCACCGCCCTCAAAAACGGCTGTTTCCGCTACTTCCAACGTGGTGGCCGCTGTGTCGATGAGCCTTGTGGTATGCTCTCTGGCCTCATTCAGAACCCCTGGTTGCTTGTCTATCACTTTTTCAGCGTCGCGTTTTATGCTGTGGCGTGTAGGCTTAGGGAGGTGCCTGTGTGGAAGGTGCCGTATGTGTTGACGGTGGAGATGTGTGCTATTGTTTGGACGGCTGCCGCGGTTATTGGGCCGTATCTTGTTGCTGAGGTTAGGAGTTGAGTGGTGTTCTTCTGTTGTTATGCATGTTTATGGGTCGGCGTGTTATGGTTTGGCGTTTGGTTTGGTCTGGTGGCTTGTTGTTGTAGATGGTGTATTTTAAACTGGGTTGGGATGAGTGAGACGCGATGCGATGCGACGCGACGCGACGAGTTTACATAGATAGATGAGATGGGATGGGATGAGATGGTAATGCATAATATTCTTCATATTCACTTTCACATTCACAGTCACTTCGCTTGTTGTTATCTTGTTCTCGTCTCAGATTATGATGTGTTCAGGGAGAAAATAGGAAATACTCACTCTTTTCTTATTTGTGTAAACTCACATTCGTCTTTTGTTCTCTTTTTTGATCACATATAATATAAGGAAAGCAAAATGAGAAAACAGGGTAAGGTAGGATATGCAATATCCTCTTTCAACCTGATTCATCTTATACATATACAATATGATCTTCTGCCCTAGACTTGGAAGGTCACGTACATGGACAAAACACTCCACTGCTTCCCTGTTACGAACAATAACTCTACTGGGAAGGAAACGGTATGTGGTACTTGGCTGCTCTCCTCTCTTCTGCCCTGCCCTGCCGCCTCCAGTACCGATTAGACCAGACCAGGCTCATCGAGGAAGCACATCCCTAACAACCTACTCCGCTCTTGTCGGGATGATATCCAGTCTACATCCACATATACAGGAACAGCGACGTAGTAATACAAAGAGGGGAGGAATAGGGTTGATATGTCACCCGTACCTTATAACCCCCAGTCTCCGCGTTACCTGTTCCTGCACAATCCCCTTGATATCTACAAAACTGTCATGCTCTTGAGAAGGTGTTTTCTGCGCGCTGATGGGTGGGTGGGCGGTGCTGAGAGGGGATCTGGATGTTGGGGTGTGTTTGGAGGGTGGGGACGTACGGGGATTGAGTTTGTACGACTGGATTATATTGTGGGTTGGGATAGAGCGATATAGACAAGTAGGAAGATAGGTGGTATGGAGAGGTGACAAGGAGAGTATTGATAGCAGAAAAACGGAGAAGGGTACGCTCTGGATTTGATATTGAATAGCTGGCATGACTGTATATCTACGTAGTCATCTTGGTTTGAGAGTTATTCTCTATTTCCGCATTAAGTAAACATGTAGCAAGTCTCTACTACATATCTTCGGCGCTGGAAGTCCTACCATTTATCCATAAATAGGTGAAACTGTTTACCAGGTCTTATCTTCAGAGAAGTGTGGGAGGTACGCGAGTTAACCAGGGGGTCAATAGGTTTGGGGATGAGCAATCGATTAGCTGTAGTAGGTGGATGGAAGGGGATGTTGGTTGGTAGAGCAGAAAGAATGGAATAAATGCATGGATTTTGTTATGGATCGGAGAAGTGAGGTGAGGGTTGTGAGAATGGATTGGGGATATATGGACGAAGAGATAGATAGATAGATAGATAGATGGAAAGACAAATGAGCGGGGAAGTAGATGGGCTGGAGTGGAGTGAAATGAAGATTGTGATAGGGGGCGTGCGTTCTGTTTTGTGAGGGGTCGTGTTTCTAGTATAGAAGGTGTATCCCCGTGTAGACACTATCGACTGACTGATTCGCACAAAAGGGTAAGAATTGCCGTGTTGTAGTGTCTGACGCGTTATGGGGGCTTGTGATGCGGGGGTTGTTCCGTTCACTGTCTCATGCTGTACTGTACTGTGGTGGATAGTATCACAAGAGTTCGAGTTCAAATCCACTCCATCTCCGTCCCTTCCCTTCCCTTCCTTCCCCCCCCTCACTCATAGTCCTCCTTCCGCGGCGCCCTCCCAACTCCCCACCGCTTCGCCATCTCGACCCCCTCTGCAATCGTGCCCACCCTTGCATCAATCGCATGCCCCGTTTCTTCAAACTTCCTACACGCGTCCCAGAGATGGCGTAGCTGGACGGAAAATGTCTCGATGAACTCGCTGGGCTCGAGGTGTGGGGTGGGATTTTTGTTCGCGGGGAGCGACATGTCGATTGTCATGTGGATCATGCGGAGGTTGGTTGTGCAGAAACCTGGGTCTGTGGAAGTTAGTTTGATGCGGTGTTGGAGAAAAAGTAAACAGGTCGTGTTGGGTTCTGGTGGAGGGCTGATGCAATTTCATGAACAAATTTTGGGACTTGACTGAATGAGAGGAGCAGCGTGTGAAATTGTCGGACTTTGGTTGCAGAGAAAAGATGACGAAACACGTAAAACGAGTGTGGAGCTTTTGAAAAGTGAGGAGAAAATGGGAATCAATGGAAAAAAGGGAGTAAAGAATAAGTAGTAAAAAACTCACCACTAAACATCACAGGACTAACAGCAAAATCACGATCCTTCACCACTTCCCCAATATATCCAGTTTCTTCTTTCAGCTCACGCAGCGCACATTCCTCCGCGGACTCCCCCGCATCCATCAAGCCAGCCGGAACCTCAATACAAACCGCATTGACAGGCGCTCGCCACTGCTTCTGCAGGACAATTCGCGGTTCATCATACGGCTTCGACGGATCTTGCAGAATAGCTGCGATGCCTACAGCGTCGATATCACAGCCCTTGGGCCGGGTTAGGCGCTCGGCGGACTCCCATGTGCGCTCAACACCTTCTGGGTCGGAGTAGGTGATTCTGGAGATGATCAATTGAGGGTTGGGAGGTGGTGCGTGGTTGTTCTGACTTCGACAGTGTTACCCATTTCGCGTCTTTTTGGTCCTGCGGGGTATCAGGATGGGACTGGTTCTAGCGGTTTGTGGTTTGTGATCAGTACCAGAGGCTCTGTCTTGAGGACTTTGGACTTGTTTTGTGATTTGTTGGAGGCCATAGTGAGGTGGTACGCCTAGTTGTAGCAGGGCGTGGGGGTTGAACGGGTTTTGTTGTTGCGGTTGAGGCTGTTGTTGAGATTGAGGCTGATGTTGAGGTTGCAGTTGTTGTCGTTGCGGATGTTACACGAGATTAGGAAAGCGAGAGCACTGGTGGGGCTCGATGACGACACACATCGCGACATTTTACCGAAAGCTTCTTACTCACTCATCCACCCATCGACAACATGTCTTAAACCATTACATCCCCCAGTGTCACCGGAGAAGCAGCCCACAATCTCAAATGCGGTTATCGATTCCAAGCACAGAACACCCCTTGACGGCTCAAATCATCCTCCGGCCCACTGTGGCGATACTGGTCAACATCGGCGGTAAGAACAGTCTTAAAGCAAGCGAGAGGCTCATTTCCTATCTGCGCGCGGCGCCAAGTCGCTGGCCGTGCCCCTGCGTCCGACGGACCCTTCTAGTTCGGTGGGCTCACCATCCAGGCGTCCAGTCAACAAATCCCTGGCGCAACGAATCGCGATGAATGCGACATTTGCAATTTCTACACTTTGACACCGCGTCCTTTTGCAAGACAGCGCCAACATCGGGCGCTCACCAGCACCCACTAAGGTGTGGAACGTGGAAGACGCCCCAACCAAATGTTCTTCACCCTTGGTCAATAGCGCTATACGAGTCCTTCTCTCGCGCTTTTCCCAATAAGTCAACAAGGATACCCTAAGTCCCGCGGAGGCCCATGAGTTCCCCAATCCGTGTGTTGGTGTTTTGCAAGCACAGGATTATGGCGGAGTTGAAAAGGATGAGAATGTTGAAGTGTCAACCCACACACGCGATTCCAGCCTTGTCTTGCATGGATTGTTGTTGCAATCCAAAGCCGTCAATGCCGTCCATGCCGTCCATGTTTGCCGCCGGCTACGCCTCCCGGTGATATTTGAGGCGAATACGAGTTTCGGTGAGGAACGAGAGTCAGGCACAAAAACATCATGTTTCGATTTGACGGTTGGTAGCCTATTCAACTCTGGTGCGACACATACACGCGCAACTCGTTCCTGTCACGTCCCTATATAGCAGGCGAGTGACACAGTGTGTAAGTGTCAATCCGCGTGGCTGGATTAACGCACCTTTAGCATCCTGTGCGCCGTCGATTAGATCGAACTTTACATGTCACTTCATACGTCTGCGGCGCATTATAACGGAACCTCTCCTCGCGCCCCTGCGTTGGCCGCCGTTGGTGCAAAGAAAATACGCAGAGGCGAATTCTCCTCCCCACTTGACTGTCTTTGGCCGATCGGTGTGATGATAATCCCCTGCCAAGGCGGACAATAGCTCAGCGCTAGGTTGCCGCTTTCCCTCTTTCTTCCTGCTCCACACCAGTTCAGGGGCATGGCAGCGGGATCATGCTTTTTCAGCTCGCATCAACTTCAAGAAAGACGCCTGCCGTTGCCACATGCGTTTTCAACGGTTCTTGACACCGCCAACGCCACACTTAGAATGCACAACATCGGTGTCAAGCTGAACAAAAGCAATTGTGGAAAGCTGAATTGCGAAGAACCACCTCTCGACTCGGAGCGCGTGGTCTTCGACATTGGTGTTGCAAGCGCATGGTTGGCGCCTCCTGAGACAGGCTACCAAGCCAGGACATGCCAGTGTTAACATGGCCAATATGAAACGGTCTAGGGTGCATAAACTTAACCTGAATTAGGCATTGCTTACCTCAGAATAGCACCGTGTGATTGGGCTTCGGTTCGGTTCGCGGCCCAGCATGGAGACACCCCGTCATATTGTTACGCTTTTAGACTCACAACTAGATGCATCGACTCGGTACGACAAGGCGCGAGACTGAAGCGGACAGCGCGCATGCGTAGTAGCTTGCCTCGGACCTCATCTACCTCCTTTCCCTCGTCTGTTTTCACAATTTTCCGATCTTTAGATATTCGTGCTCCAAGTTATTCTTCGCAGTGTGCCTTGTCACACGTCCTTTCGTTTCTAACCCGCGCACCACTCGCTCTTATCGCGCTTTGCAGTTTTCATACATCTGTCGACTATCGCAGATTACACACTCTCTTCCAATACCTTCTCGACCAGCCAGGAAATTACGTGCCATTTTCCACCGCGATAATCACTGTCGATCGACTTGATCTGCTAGACTTGTAATCGATATACCCCGGCTCTCTCGCCCTGAATCAGAACACACGCAGTTGTTGCTAGCTTCAGGTTTCTGCCCTGCCAACCCATCAAGATGTCGAGCTGGTTCGGAAACCTACAGTTGGCGTACAAGTTCACGTAGGCCACATAGAATCAATATGGTTTGCAATCGGCTGACCGAGATAGAATTGTGTTTGTCGGTCTACTTGTCCTCACAATCCTTGCTGGGTTTATCAAGGTGCTCTACAACCGTCACAGGTATGTATATTCTTCAATCAAGTCGATTCTGCGCTAACCTTTGGTAGAATGGCGGGCTTTGTTAAGCAGGAACAACTGGAAGCTGGGCAAAAGGAGGACACCGTTGAACTCACCCAACGCGAAAAGGACGAAGGAGATCTGTTTGGTATTCGTGCCATCGAAGCGGGTTTCTATGCTGGCGTGGCACAATCGGCCCCGCCTTCAAGAGCAGGATCAGTCATGGACCTTTCTATGGCAAGCTCTCAAACCCTCACCAACGGCGCTTCTTCTCCCTTCATCAAGAACTCCATGGCAAACAACAGCGCTCTCAGTCTACAAATGGGCTCGACAAATCGCGACTCGGACACTCTCGGAGACAACGAATCACGCAGGCCCTCACCTCCCGCTATCAAACTCCGCCCATCTGAAGCCGAACTAAGCGGTCGCCACAATCATAACGGAGCAGTCGACATGACACTCAATGTCCCTCCCTCGCCCGGTTACCGAGGCTTTAGCGGTTCAGATGATGGTGAAAGCGACGGCTTCACTTCGCCACGCTCCATGTCTCCCAACGGTAACCCGTCACACTATGCACCCGTACCAGCTGGAGCTCTACAGGTATCCTACCACGACGCAGACAGCAATGCGAGGTCACAAACGGGGTCCTTCAACACACTCTCACCTCTGGGGTCGCCCAGCAACCCACCTGAGACCCGACTTCCCACGATACCCGGCACAGCATTGAGGAAAGAGTCACGGTCGCCATCGCCCCAGGACTACTCTCAAGTCCGTAGGTAGAAATTTTTGTTTCGGTGCGTTGCTTTGTATTTTTAGCAAGTAATAAACGTCACGACCTCTTTTCCTGACCTTTTCACAAGACTCTTCTCATATCAAGACCACATCTCCCCCTCCTCGCCTCCAGCCTCTGGACTTCGACAGAGATGACAGCGCTTCAAGCTCAGGCAAACTCTACCTGAAATACTCGGAACGATCGCGAGCGGGAACTGTGACCCAGTCGGACAGGGTCTAAACCATACCATCTATTGAAACTGCGCCAAACCAGACAACCGTTCTTAGCCCCAGACCTGGACGCAGCAAAGGACGCGCGGCTCAGTGAGTTTCACGCGGCGTACTATTGGACCCCGCAACTCAACCCTGTCCGATCGATATACCGAGCAGCGTGTCCCGAGCCAGTCAACTACCATGTAGGCAGGCTGACACCATTGTCTGTACCAATTCCGTGCGGCAGGCGTACGTATTCGTCTGCATCATGTTATTCGTGGACGTCCGGTACCGAGCTTGGCAAGAATTGGCTTTCGCCTGGCTTGTTCAAGCTTATCTCAGTAGAGTTCCGATCGGCGTTCTGATTCATTTTGCTCGCGTGGTTATTTTTCTTGGATTGTGGGTCCACGGACCGGTAGATCGCTCTTGAACATGATGTGCGTGTTCGACGCGTAATGGGTGACTGAGATTGGGTCGAACGAACAGTTTAGAACAGGCTGGGGCATCAACGAGATACGCTTGTCTTTATCACGCCGTTTATACTTTGGCGCTCTCACGGATTATCGGGCTTATTCGTAATTTCTATTTACCTGCATTAGGGTCTTCATCGGAGTTGTTCTTGCATATGCTCTGCGGGGCTTCACTTATTGAATATCTATCATTTACTTTCAAATGTGCATTGGGGGTTTGTTGATGCTGTATATGACATGATCTGTATCATGGAGATCCTAGGATAATTAATGTTCATATTCAAAGTCTACCAATAGTCATGACGTTCTACAGATCTCTAGCTTTCTCGTCCATTCATTCTCCTTTCCATTCGTCACATACCCAGACGCCGAAAACCAGACCATCAGTGCTTCCCATTCTGTCCAAGCTCCACAGACTCATATGTCTCGCCCCTAGGCTGTGTCCTCAGCTGATCCGGGTACCAGACCATAAACAACACCATAACAAACAACATCAGCACCCCGTCGAGGACATACACAGGCCACTCTACGCTGAACAAATAACCGTCGTGCCCTACACTGTACTCAACCAGACGATAAACATTACGGATCGAGATCAACAGCGATGTTGCGTACAGCATCGTCAGGCACGATTGCCATGGTACACGGGTCGCGGCGCCCTCTCTGGAAAGATGCGCCTTAAACCTGCGGTGGAAGATCCAGCAGCAGCCCACGAAGCCGGTGAAGACCACGATCTGCACAAGCAGACCCCCGATGATGATCCTCTCGCCCATGGTAGGGTCGTCGCTTTGCGCGAGCAGCCCCGCGCCAGACGTCTGCATCAACATGCATAGCACGTCGCCGGCGACGAAGACGCGTGTCGACCAGTGCGGCGGGATGAGCGAGAAGCGCGCCCCGGACACGGCTTGCACGACGCGCGAGTACACCATGTAGAGGGTTGCGGCGAAGAGAACGGGCGGGAGCAGGAGGAATGTGGATTGGATGATGTAGGGCATCAGTTTTCCGGTGCTGTTTGTGGCAGCGGCGTGACCTGCGTAGCCTATTACTTCAACTGCGTGGAATGTTAGTTTTGTGGGGTTTTGCGGGGAAAGAGAGTCCTCCAAAATTGAGGGGCACGTACAGAAGCCGCCGATCACAAAGGGGAGGCAGAACCACATCCGTGCTCTTGCCATCTTCCATGTGTGGGCAATGGTCACGATGATGAACAGGATGGCGAAGATAATGGCGGCGGGGAGACTGGGTATGTAGTGCCATAGATAGTAGTTGCCTCGAAACGCTTCTAGGGTCGGCATCTTGAGAGTATATGAGGTGTGATTACTGGGTCTGCAAGATTGGCGAAGGAAACGCAAGCGTGAAGCAACAAGCAGTTATTGCACGAAGAAATTGATTTTAGGAACGATAAAAGCGAGATAGAATGGTATGAAGTGAGATGAAGATGCGAATGAACAAAGGGAAAGAGATCAACATCTTTCTTATCTATCTTGCGATGCATCTCACCGGTTTTCTTACCACCCATGTTCGTCGTGCTGCGGATACGCGTATTGCGACGACACCAGAGTTGTTGCTGTCAGATTGCGGGTTGTGGTGTCGAAGCCTTGACAGAAGGCTTGATACGCGTGTTACCTCAGCAATACCCTGCGCTAATGCCGTGTTAAAGTGGTTAGCGTTGCTGCCAGGCATCCACACCTCTCGAGCTATGTAACACGCGTATTCGCCAGTTCAATCATTCCCAGCCACCAAACATGCTTCGTCGTAGCCACAAGAAGTCAAGGGGAGGATGCCTGGAATGGTGAGTTGCACGCAAAATGGCTCATGGACCCGCCTCGCTTGCTTCCTCCTGCCATCTACTGATCTTAGACTCGCAGTAAGAGACGCCATATCAAAGTAAGACTATTGGTACCATGCATATATCTCTAAAGCTGACCTCGGTCTCTTTTTCCAACCCATCAGTGCGATGAACAGCGTCCCATATGCCTTCTGTGCATCAGATCCGAGCGGGAGTGCAGTTATGGATCTCGGACCTCACGGGACAGTCGATCGGCAGAACATTCACCCTCACAGAATGGATACACAAGTTCAAACACCGCTCAAAGCCAAACTGGTACGCCTTCAACACCAGCGTCTATTTCCGATGTCGACTCGAATGTTCGAAATGTCAGGGACGATCGAGACTTGCCACCCGATGACGCCGTTAACATGAACCACATGGAGCTCGTGGCGCACATCACCCTCGACAACGGCATGTTCAATCTCGGTGTCGGCATGGAATGGTACCACCCAGCCGGTCTCTCCCTCGCGCTCAAGACTGGTCTCGAGGCACCGTTCCTCATGCACCAGCTGCTCGCGTTCTCCGCCCGTCACCTAGCATTTCTGTATCCCGAGCGTTCGACCTTGTTTCTCCACCAGGCCATGACCCTCCAAACCCGTGCCATTTCGCTATTCAACTCAACGTGGGCTCAGGTCGACCATTCCAACTGCGTTTCCGTTCTCCTCTTCTCGTCAGTACTGGGCCACCACCTCCTTGCCGACACGCTCGCTAAGCGCGAAACGGGTGGCCTCGACGCTTTCGTCAAGTACTACGCTCACTGTGCGGGGATGCAGAGGGGCGTCGTAGCCGTTGCTAAATCCGCGTGGCCGCTGCTAATGGAATCGGAGCTCGAGCCCATCCTCTCCCTGAGCTCGGCATTCACGAGTCGCGCGCCCACAGGCACGCACTGCCAGCGAGCTATGGAACTCATCGAAAGTGCAAACAACCTAGACGCCGAAGACCGGGCAGCATGTCGACTGGCAGTCCATTACCTGCAGGTTGGGTTGGACGCAGTGCTTTCCGAGGAGGAGCAGGGCAATCAATATCAAATGGTGTTTTCGTGGACGACACTGATGGCACCGGAGTTTATGGGGCTCTTGACGTCAAAGCGACCGGAAGCTTTGGTCGTCATGGCGTATTATGCGCTGTTGTTGCATCATGGGCGGAGTATGTGGCAGGTTGGCGATGCGGGCGCGTATATAATGGGTATCATCTCGGACTATCTTGGGTCGGAATGGGATCACTGGCTTGAGTATCCTAGGCAGGAAATAGCAAAAGATACCCGGTGAGCCATCTCAAGGTCTTGTTCGGGGTGTTTGCTTAAGATACTCTAAGCCATATTTGACATGAGCATAACTAGTACTAATTTTAATCTTCGCTAACTTGACGCGAGCCTTGCCCAATCATCTTTTCTCGCCATATGCCAATGATTGCTAGGCAAACTTAATTGGCCTACGATCTATCCAGTCCACATGTTGCCTCGCGAACGTACGTTCGCCAATATAGGCGCTGCCAAGTAGGCGATGAGTCTGTGTATGAACTGTATGCGATTGCAACTCCACCACTCGTATCGCTATCATACACGGCATCAACAGTGAGGGATGGGTGAACAAATGAACGAAGAGAGAAAGAGAGTTGTAGAATATGTAGTATCTGTTATTATATTGCATGCAGGAACATTCAACACAAGCGTGCACCATACAGGTCTAAACGCAACTACCCAACGTACGGTGCCCAGCACAATGCAGCACCAACCCCTAGAACAGGATATCCAAACTCCCGCAATGCAATGCAAGTCGCTACCATCCAACGCCCAAAAACTACCCAACCCCCACACTCTAATCCGTATCATACCCCTCCGCCCTCTTACACTTGACCTGCACGACCTCCGTCTTGCCATGTCCATCCACAACCAACGCCGTCAGATGGCCACCACTCACACACCCAGAGTCCAATCCATAAGTATACTCCTGCAGATTAAGGCCCCTCTTGCGATTATGCCCATACACGATACTCGTATGCTCGTGCCCATGCCCATGCACCTTGGCCTGTCTGTGATTCCAGAACTTCTCCCAGGGCGTGCCCGTGTGCTTTGAGCTGGGGATGTGCGTCTTGGGGTCAATGGTCCGCATGTTCATCACATGGAAGGGGTCTTGCTTTTCGAGCGCGATGTCCGGGACGAGGCCGGCGTGTACGACGACGAGGGCGCCGAGGTGGGGCACGCTGCCGATGCGCAGGATGACGGGGCATTGCTGGAGGAAGGCGAGTTGCGAGTGCGAGAATTTCTTGGCCAGGTGCTGTAGCTTGGGGTTGCCGGGTGTGTGCGAGGCGGCGTCGAGGGCGTCGGGCGAGTCGGTGTTGGGGATCGAGCTGGATTGCGCGATGCTGAGGAGGAGCTTGTCTTCCCAGTTGCCGCGGACGCATGAGGCGCCGAGCTTCTGCACGAGAGAGATAACACCGGGGGAGTCGGGGCCTGGTTCAGTTCCGTTAGCACATGATGCCTGCCTACCTCGAGAGCAGACGTGACATACCCTTCGCGATCATGTCGCCAGTCAGGACAAGATGGTCGTGCTTGTGGTCGAAATCCACCTTCTTGAGCAGATGCTCCAACTCCTCCCTGCACCCATGCACGTCGCCCACAAACACCAGCCGCTTCCCCTTCTTAGGCAGGTGCTGCTCGTCCATGTCGCTGACCTGGATCATGCCCTTGAACTGCGGGAGCACATTGCTCCCATAGCCCATGACCGGCGTCTCCTCCATGATCCTCAACTCTTGTGCTTGCGCGGCGCGTGCGGCGTACTGTGGCCCAAAGTATGTTCTCCAGCTCAGGAACAGAAGCAACACGAGCGCGAAGCCGATGACGACACAGCGCTGCACTCTCCGGGGGATGCCGTCTGCTGCGCGTGAAATGCCCGATCGCCACTTGGGGTTATTCAGGTAGTCGTCCTCCTTGCTGTAGAAGTCGTCTTCCTCGTCCGACACGTCCAAGTCGTCGCGCTGATGGGGGATCAAGTCGACGAGCGGTGGCGGCCGGTTCTGCGCGCGCGGGTAGTCGCGGTATGACATCAGAGCGGCCGTTGGATCCTGGAGCAAACGGCGGCGCGTGGAATATCTGGATTATTCGAGAACGTTGCGGGATGGGAGCCTTTTCAAGGCGATTGATGTAGTCAGGCGCGTTGGGATCACCACTCCACCCCCATGCTCACGCTAGGTAAGTGAGTGGCCATGGCTTTCTTGAGTCGTGAACTGTGCAGTGGCTTTTCACGACCTGAGGAAGGCGCTCTGCTAATCAGGGATGGGGAAAAAGCATGTCTGTCTGCTGCTTGAGCGGGTCCCTGAAAATCTGAAAATGTCCGCAGCAATTGTTGAAGGGCGCTTAGCGGTTGCGCGTCATTCTTTGCAGGGTGGTCTGACTCTTTTCACTCTCGAAAGGACTAACGCTTGCTCTGCGGATTTGGTCACTGTGCGGGGCGAATAATGAGTACTCTAGAAGAGGCTCGAACATTTGCTTGTACCCTTGCAATTCAACGACGTGTCTCGAAAGTCGCGACTTGTCTCACGTAAGCACGTGACCCAGCCCTCTTAATCAATCCCCCATCTCAAGAACAAGCATCACAACTCTTATACCCAACAATTCCCTACCCCCAAGTTTCCAATCCAACCCTCAGTCCCCATCATGTCCCCCTCCCTCCTCGAAACAATAGCAAGCGTAGTAGTCCTCGGCGAGTCCGGTGTAGGAAAAACATGCTTCACAGACATGGTACCCATTCACTCCTCCTTTTCATCCCAGTCCATTCCATCTCTACCATCCACTCTCGCAAGCACCCCCCCTGAAAGACACCCCAGTTCCTAACCGGCAAACACTTCACGCGCTACGACCCCACGCTCCCCTTCTCCAACCACCGCACTCTCCCCCTCGGCACTCAGACCTGGGACATCTACCCCACAGACCTGAGCTCCACCACGCTGCGTGATCCCGCACAGTCCAACACGGAGTACTTCCAGCGCCTGCTCGCCGACGCAGACGGCATCGTGTTACTCTACGATGTGACGGATTGGAAGAGCTTCGAGTGCGTGACTGAGCTTGCGTATGAGGCTGTGCGGACGTGTCGGGGCGGACGCCCGTTTGCGTGCGTGCTGGTGGGGAATAAGGTGGATGTTTTGGATAAGGGGGGGCGGAGGAGGGTTGGGAGGGAGACGGCGGAGGAGTGGGCTGGGGAGAGGGGGTGCGGGTTTGTGGAGGTTAGTTGTTTTGATGGAGAGGCGGTGGTGGGGGCTTTGGGGATGATGGTGGGGAGGATTAGGGAGGAGAGGGAGGGGGAGGGGAAGAAGAAACGCTCGCTGGGGGGTAAGTTGAGGGGTGTTTTTGGGTAGGGGAAGTAAGAGGGTTTTTTTTGGAGATGGTCGCTGGAAGAAGAAATTTCCATGTTAGGTTGGATTTGATGAACGCCAGTTTATGTTTTTATAGTTTACCTGTTCAATGTTCGATACTCCTTGTAAGTTAATCATCTGCAGTGGAGAAATACTTCCAAATCTGCTCGAACCCGCCTTCCGTGGAATTCGAGATACCTTTCACGCAGTTCCAACAAAAGAACGCACACCAAACTACCTAAATCCAAATCTTGAAGAACAACGAAACCTCGCCTGGCGCAATGAAAATGGAGAGAAACATTGATCAACGGTGACTTGGACGCCTGATCGAGCCGCAGCGTCCCAAGTTTGTGGCTATATAAAACGCTCGTTTTGGCTTCTCACAATTGGAAATTATGGCGTTGAACGAGTTTTTGCTTGATGAGCATATCAGGTTCCCGTTCCTCTGTGATTGGCCTGCTCACACACCCCCTTGTAACAAGATGCTGGGTATTGCTTACCTCGCTAGCTTACCCATTGGCATCCAAAGCTCCCGCTGACGCTGACATCCCCTCCTCACTCTCACACTCCGCGTTTGCCGCCGAACGCCACAGATCCGTCAGTCGAACGAATAGTTAGCATGGCTGACAAGGTTGAGCAAGAAGCTCGTGGAAATAATGCAGCGTATCCCTTAGCGTAAGTCACGCACATGCGGTGCCACCCAAATCATGTTAATGGAAACTTCCAGCTTTCGTCTTCGCGATCTACCGCTGGAGCTGCGAGAGCATATCTATGGATTAACAATCGAGCCGCGGGCTATCTTTCTGGCCACGACAACAGGACACGGAGGAAAGATTCCAAGCGATTTCGCCCTACCTAACATGGTCAAATGGCAAGGTATGACCAACGTAGCGAATTGGTACTTTCGAGCGAAGCCACGTAGCTAACGCCGCTGGGCTAGAAAATATCCATGCCCGCCAAAGGAAACCTCGTAGCATCACAATGCCCGGCGTGGGAGTCTTGGTCTTCAAGGTGTCACTCTTCACCTCGCTCATGGCAGTTGCTAAGGACGTCAACACGGAAGTCCAAACGTTCATCTCGTTGCATCAAAAACGCTACGTTGAATACTACGAGGAGATCTTGCGATCGGCAATCTACCTTGATCGCATCGTATCACCGAGCCCAGCATTCCTCAAGATATGGGCCACATGCCGTCTTGTGCTCGAGAAACGTACTATTGATACAATACACTTTCTCCGTATCATCCCAAATGCGTTGAAAGAGACGCTACCTAGCATCGTCATCACGGAAGGCCCTTTTGATGCGTGGTATGATCCATCGGGCAAATCGTGGAATCCTCCCAACGAAAGTATTCATCCCGCGATTGTTTTTGTCCTCGAGCAGTTTCCCAATATCAAACATCCTGGCTATCAGAGTCGCTCCCAGTCAACCCAAAGGTCAATGGTTTGAGGGAGGGAATTGAGATGTATATCGCGGGTCTGCGTCAGAGTTTTCTTGTGAACTGCTGGAGGGTAGTCGTATGCATATGGGGTTGAATAACTACCACGACTCGAAGTCAACATTGAGAACAGACATAAACTCCGCGCCTCCTTCGAAAACATCTCATGCATTGGGCGTGCAACGGATGGACAAGATCATGCGACAAGGTTATACTCAGAATGACAGCGCAGCGTGTATGAGATGTCGGCATGTATATATTTGAATACTCATGTCTACGGCCCAGGATTATAATGTCTTTCGAAGGCCGTAGATCAAAGGTACCGTCTTTGTGGGCTCATACGACGTCACGGTACAGACAACGTACGGACACAAGACGTCTCACCCTCAAATCCTTATGCCTTGCATCAAACACAGTCAGCGCTAAAGAGGCTGACAAAGTGGTCTGGAAAAACGTTTCTGACGCCCTCACACGGTAGATCATTTCTCTTGAACCATCAACTCCTCTGTTTGGCGAGTTTCAACCCATCCCTCGCCTGCCCGAAGCACAGTTAGATTCTTGGTTGAACGGCCTGTGTTGGATAAGAACAGGACTTGTTTTGCTGACCTACGGTTGAAACGTATATTCAATCGAAAGGTGTCCATAAAGTTCTATGGTTGTCAGACATCCCATTTGGGTGAGAGTAAGCCACGTCTTGCTGCCGTTGACGGACGGGATGGCAATCGTCACCATCGTAAACTGGAGGATGTACGTGCATCTGAATGTCGGCTATTATCTGCAGGCGTGATGAGTTAGAGTTTAGTAGTCCACCGAATGATGTAGAGACAAAGAGCAGCTGAAAGCAAGGAAACAAGCAGATGTATGTTTATGAAGCTTGACCCCAACCGGCTCACTACAACCTTACATCTTCCTGCGATAACTCGACTTAGTCTTCCTACCGACTACTGTTTGAGCGGCATCCAGGCCTTACAAAAGAACTTGTAGGAATTTCGCGTAAGCGTTGACCACGCTGAAGGGATACCAGCGCATTAGGCATCCCTAGCCGCGTCATTTGAACATCCGCATGCATTCAAGATTGCGTTGCCGTTTGAGGGCTTACTTTGTTCTGGAGTGAGCCTTGGAGGGCGGAGTCGAAATTGACGAAACATGGGGATAAGCACTAACTGAACGTCAGCCACTTTGCGCGGCCCAAAGTTGAAGGCATATTTAAGCTCGGATAGTTCGCAACGTTATAAGCTTATTATACGATACAGTCTCTTCGTAGTTGTTTAAGATCATGTTTTCTTTGTCTAAATATTCAACCCTTCCCTTTCTTACGCTCCTGCTTCACACATCTGCTGCGTATTCCTCGGCGAACTCTACCGATGAGCCCGAGGAATTGCACACAATCGACTCAAAAATAGCTCCTGGAGCGACAATTTCGTACAAACAAGTAAGCATCACTCACTATTCACAATCATAGCAGCGAACTGGGTCCGACAATTAAGAAGATGTACCAACAAGTCATAGACACACATCTGCGAAACAACCCCAGGCGTCCAAGCCTTCAGCGGCTACATCAATCTACCAAGTTCTCTGATAAGTGATGTCGGCGGAGCAGCGGAGTACAACGCAAGTATCTTCTACTGGTACTTCGAATCCCGCAAGGATCCCAAGAACGCACCACTCTCCATCTATGTCGGAGGCGGACCAGGCACAACATCGCTTGGGGGAGTCACAGCAGAGAACGGACCTTGCTATATCAACCCTGACTCAAACAGCACAAGACTGAACCCCTGGTCATGGAACAACAATGTCAATATGCTGTATATTGACCAGCCAGTTAAGGTCGGCTTCTCTTACACCGATCTTGTCCCAAGTGTGCTGGATCTTCTCACCGGGACTATTGCTCCGATGGAAGCGTCTGAGATCTCAAATGCTACCTTTGTGACTGGCATTCTTCCGGGTCAGAATATCAGTACCACTGTGAACACCACGGCGAATGCAGCTAGAATACTCTGGGGATTCACTCAGATTTGGCTGCAGGAATTCCCGGAACATGAGTCTTCAAACGATCGCATCAGCCTCTGGACAAACTCGGTAGGACTGTTCGTTCGTCTTCTCCACGTACGACTGCTAACGTGTGTTAGTACGGCGGCCACTGGGGCCCGGGGATCATGGCATACTTCCAATCCCAGAACGAAAATATTCAAAATGGCACGATCACTAACACTCAAGCAAAATACCTTCATCTCGATACCCTCGGTATAACGAACGGTTGTATCGACGTCAAGACGGAGGCCCAGTTTTACCCCGAGTTTGCTGTCAACAACACTTACGGCTTCCAAGCCTACTCTGAAGACGTCTATCTCGAAGCACGCAACAACTTGACCAAGAAGGGCGGCTGTTCCGATCTGCTCGACCAATGTCGCGCTTTGAGTGTTTCAGATCCAAAAAGCCTTGGGGCAAACGAGACTGTCAATGCAGCGTGTGCACTGGCGACGCAGTACTGCTTCGGATATGTACAAGGCGCCTTCACTACAGCGTCTGACGTAAGTTTAATTCCAGTCATTGCAACTGCAACATGTCTAACCCCGGCAGCGAAATCCCTTCGACATTTCGCGGGAGAAACACTCGGTCTTCCCACCGGAATACATCATCGGATACATGAACCAAGATTGGGTCCAAAGGGAACTGGGTGTACCACTTAACTTCAGCATCAGCTCGAACGATGTATTGAACACTTTCTTTGGCGTTACGGGCGATCCAGTCAAAGTCTCAATCGACAACATCAATTATGTTGCTCAAAGCGGCATCAAAGTGGCGCTCATCTATGGCGATCGGGATTACAGATGCAATTGTAAGTGCTCTTCCTCTTCACGTTACCTATCAACTTTCCTAAAGCATTCCAACCACCGATGCATCTAACCATTCTGACACTACGCAGGGCTAGGCGGCGAAGCAGTAAGCCTCGCCATGTCCTACTCCTCAGCTCCCAGCTTCCGCTCCGCAGGCTACGAGCCCATACACACCAACTCGACCTTCAACGGCGGCGTCGTACGTCAACACAACAAGATCTCCTTCTCGCGCGTATTCGACGCAGGCCATGCTGTCGGTGCATACCAGCCCGAAACCGTGTCCAAGATCTTCGACCGCGTCATGTTCGACTCGGACGTCGCTACAGGAAACACCAGCACGGCTGGGAACTCGTCGTACAGCTCGACGGGCCCGGAGAGTAGCTTAGGGATCAAGAATGTGTTGCCGCCGAGCCCGAAGAATGAGTGTTATCTGTGGGACGCGTTTCTTACGTGTGTGGATGATGAGCTTTTGGCGCTGGCTAATGGGACTGCGGTTGTGAAGGACTTCATCTTGGTCTCTGGGTAGGTTGTGCAAGTTTTCTCCATTCGACTTGTCTCAATATCGGAGTAACAAAGTGTTATAAGGCCACAACAGAGGTTAGTTAGCCAACCAACCTCTTGCCTCTAGTAACCACTCAACTATCGATTCATCTTTGTTGTCTCTCGATTTTGTTTGTCGATCACTCCACTTGATATCGTCCAATACCGGCAATGCATCCAAAAAGAGTTAGCGCAGAACTACTGCGCCGTATTGTAGCAGGCAACCATGGCACTACCATCCTTTTAAACTTCGATCAACCCAGCTTTTTCCTTAAATCTTCAGCTATTGTTATGTATCTTTTAACCCTCCCACCTGAGCTCAAGCTCATGATCGTCGACCAACTCGATCCCATTTCAAGTTTCAAATTTGCGATATCATGCAAGTCTCATTGGGCACTTTGCAAACCACTTATGGAACGCGCACATTCCTGTGCGAAATACCAGACACTCAGTTTTGATGTGTATTCAGGCCCGGAAGGCCAGCTACTTTGGCACATTGCCAAAGAGATTCTCGATGACCCTTATCGAGGAGAATTTGTGCAAGACATCAGTCTCCCCTCTCAACGGCATCATTGGGACGAAAATGCGGTATCATATCCAATGCAACCACAAACAAATTTGCGATTACCACCTATACCTTACAATGAGGCTTTCTCAGAGTCTGTGCAACAAATCACACGAGTAATACCGGATCCACCAGGGGAGATCAGCCTCCGGTTGTGCCTCGAGGAAGCAATTGCTCAAGGTGAAAGCGATTGCCCGTTGGTTTTTCTTGTGCATAACGCTCCGAACTTGAACACGCTGCGGGTCACAGGCTTGGAATATGGAGGTCTATTTTACTTCTATATTCGAAATACAATTAAGGCTTTCGCAGACCCTGTATGGGCACCAAAGCTTTCATTGCAACACCTGACAACGGTGGCCATGGCACACCATGACACAGAAGGACATATACCAGCAGATTGGTGCCGATATATCATCTGTATTCCGTCATTGCGTGCATTTGTTGCATCGATGATAGGGGGTCGATGTGATAGGCTGGCGGGGGATTCTGAGGCATTCGACGAGGATGAGCAGTATCTTTGGATGGACGACGATCCAGCATTCCAGGAAGAAGATGACGAGAGCGCGGACGAGGAGCGTGAGCGGCCCCGGCCCTGCCTTCCCATGTCTAATGTCGAAGAGCTCATGTTCTCCTCATCTGCACTAGATGTCAAAAGAGGCTTAGAGAGAATTCTTTGCGGTGTCACAGCTCTGAGAAGGTTTTACTACGATGAAGGCGGAGCATTGGTCGATGATGAACCCTACACCCCCAAAAGGATTATCAATGCGCTCGTCAAACATACTGGACATTCGTTGGAGAATCTGGTCATGGAATACGCGATGGTCGAAGATTATGTGGTATGAACTCTCTCTACATCACTTACAGCATGTGTTGACGTTACATAGGACATGCAGTTCGATTTCGAACGCGTTTCCCTACGTCGTTTCAAGAAACTGAGAACTCTAAGATGCGACTGGAAGATAGTTTATCCCAACAATTTGACAGCCGAGGAAAAGGCGACGTTTGACCTCAGGGAAATTCTTCCTTCCTCACTTGAAGCACTACATCTTCACGGCGATTTTGACGATGCCGAATGGGAGGCCATCAAGAAGATCCTCGTAGGCACAAGAGAGAGTGTGCCGAATTTGCACAATATCTACATTCAAAGAGGTTCTAGGAGATCAGACAACGTTGCGAAATCTGAAGCAGGAGAGAAGGTTTCTTCGGAATGGGTACACCGGCTGTTTACCTATCTAAAAGGACAAGGCTGGTGATTGTGATGCGCAGACGAAACTCATGTAGCCTGATTGGAAGCGGTGTTTGTCGTCCTCCGCTATCTTGCTAGGATGAGGTTCTCCTCAAAGCGTTAGAGTTCAGAATTTGAACACCAAAACACATCATTGACAACCAAGGTTAACAAGCTATCTGATCTTGTATGTGCATATGTTGCAAATCGTCTTGATGCTTTCGTAGTGTCCAAAACAACAAGCTTGAAAATCTCTCGTAGTTGAACAGAGCGTAGCATCGAGGTGCTTGCTGTCTCTGTGAACACGCCGTTGAAAAGTAGTTTTTTTGAACGCGAGTGCGGTCGTCCAGCAATGGAATTAAGCGAACAGTTCGGTCTACTCATCCTTTATGCAATTTCGTGACTTATCTCGGATCGAGGTACAAATTCCCTTGCTCAAGACAAATAAAAGCTCTCAACCTATATCCTCCACGGAATCTTGCATAATCGACTTCTGTTAAACTAGCTCACGTTAGCAGCTGGCATTCGTCTAGCTATCACTAGCCATTGCAGCCGAAGCTTCGCCAATCAATGCTGTCGTTCCTTTAGCCAAACACCGCCGTGAGATCGAGGTCGCCATACTCAAGACGGCTGCCTCTGCTTAAAAAGCTTCTTCCGGTCGATCACTCGATTACCTGACACGTTGTCTCGTTCTGCTGAAAGTTCCCATGCCTCGACTTTGCTTGCCGTAGTCGGCATCATCGTTGATAGTTACTTTGGGGCAGGGGATAAGTGACAATTTGATTTGAGATCCTTCTACTCCTTATGATCATCTATCCAAGATCGTCACAGTTGTCGAGATATGCTTGGGGCTTTTTGTTCACATCCTCGTCCTAATGGCTATTGATGACTTGGTTATTGGCAGCGTCAGCTAGAGCTTGCCTTTACTAGAACCAGGGTACTGATATCCTTATCGTGCTGAGAACACCAGAGTTGTACTGGGCTGCATGTTTAGGAGGAAACAATACAGTAAGATTGAGGGCAGAACGAGTGCGAAGGAGTTCAGAGGGCAGCATAGACAGTTCGCAAAGAAATTACTAGTTGAGAGTCGAAGGATCTGATACTAACAGTACCGAAGGCCACTCGAATTGGAAAGCAGCCCAAAAGCGAAAGCAGCCAGGGTCTCCCTACAGCTAATGATGACATGGCAAAAACGACTTTCGGATGTCATGCATGGTGGTGTGGCGACGGTCTATTGGCTAACATCGTTATTTGGAATGAGAATTCTCCTGATATCTGGAGTTTGGCGACGCAAAGAGTTATAGGAGTGAAGATCCATGCAAAAAGCCGGCTAGGTGTATGGCACAGGATGTATCAAGTTCTTGTTGCAGCTAAGCGTGTAAATGACTTCGCGACGTTTGAAATTCAAGTCAAGGTAATAACGACTCAGGTTTATACTGCCTTGTCTTTTCTAAAGAGAAGCACGGTCACTCATAAGGTGATAATGAACTTTTATGTCTATAATTGATCAGGACTTTGTGATATCGGTAATATTATATGTCTCTGATAGGGTCAAATCTACGTGTGCTTCCTAACCCAGCTCCTGCTTCCACCCCTGTCTTGGAAGTCTGCGATATGGTGTCTGTAAATGAATTAGTGTCATCCTGTATACACAAACAAATCTCCCATACTACTCGTCTTGTTCGCGCGGATCACATCTCGCACCAGGATCATCATCTTCCAACGAATGATATCCTCTTCTGACTCCCAAATCCATATGTTTTCGGTCGCAAGCTTGGACTTTATGAGGCTAATCACTTCTCTCTGTTGAATCGCTGTATAGAATCGCCATCCTGTGTTGGGAGAGGTCTTGACGCATTCCTCAGCGATCTCCCGCGTGATGATCTGGAATTTTGTCAACGTGGTCATGGACAGGTGTCACATACAGACTTACCCTAAAGCGATCCCAATCTGAGGAATTAAGTTTGCCGACAGCCCGGACATCCTCTGCCGATGCGCTGGTCGGCAGATGGAACATCTTTACGAAGGGGTGAGGTGTCGCCAGGACAGTTGATGATCTGGAGAGCTGTGCCGGAAATGAAATGACTGCGTAGATATTGACTTCCCAGAATATGAGCAGACGATGGGAAAGGGTACGCCGCACGGCTAGCTGAAGAAGGGGCTGCGGATTTCGTAATCAGGCTGCTTCTAGCGAAGAAATCGTAGAGGCGCATTGCCATGTAAGCGCCGTATGCACCCAAAACGCCACTCGCGTGATAGTTGCATGCAAGAATGCATCATGTTCGTCAGACATTCCGTTGGGTGGTTGCTTTTGTCAGCGTTCAAAGAAGTTGTCCCCAACACCAAAATCAACTGGCTGTAATAACTCAAGTAACTTTTGTAGCTCCTACTGGGATATGGTAATATTTGTGTTCCATTACAAGGCCTATATAAAGTTACCATTTTTGGAGAACAATTGGTGTTTCCATCACAACTCAGAGACACGATCCTCAAATTTGGCTGCATTCCTTGAAGTCGAACACATACCATGCAAATCTGGATTGAGTCATATTGTGATGGTTCACGTCAAGGACAAGCTGTAAATGTTGAGGGCGATGTCACTCCGCGGGTGAAGAAGGTAACGATGTATAATAATTACATTTTGTTATGACTAAAGCTGTAATAAGTCAGCTAGCTTTTTTTTGCCTGAGTATGGTCCACCTGCCCGGAGGACGACTTACCTCGCGTTTCGACGATTTAGAGCCTGCTTTGATAGACTTTGCCCTTTCAAACAACCGTCTCCTTCAAATCAAACATGACAGGTCTTGTTTCAGCAAACTCCTTTCTCTCATCCAGCCTCTGAAACCACTCTCTCAGCGTCGAATATTTCTCTTTCCACTGCGGTCGCAGCTCTCCAAAATCAATAAACCCAACGGTACAAACGACCGCGATATCCGCAATCGTCAATTCCTCACCCACTAGATATCCTTTGCCATCGTTCTTGCGCTCTTGCACCATGTCGTTGAAAGCACGCATCGCGCCATCCAGCTTACGGTTTTGGCGGTCAAGCCAAAGTTGACTTTGCTTGGACGAGTCGCGACGACCCTCCCATCGAAGCAGAACGATCGCATCAAGACAACCCTCGCTCAACACAACGATCTGTCGAATCGAAAGATCCAGATCGACATCCCCGGTAATGAGCTTCGGGCTCTTATCGTCATATTTCCGGACAATGTACTCTTGAATGTGTGCACTGTCATAAACTGGGGGTCTGCCATCTGAATCGGGGAAGACCAGAATAGGAAGCTTTTCAAGGGGGTTGTATTTCGGCGTCTCGGTGTCCGATTCCCACGGTATCTCGTTCTTGAGGGTGAAGGGAATGGATTTGAGAGCTAGCGCGATCCGGTTCATGCGTGCGAAGGGAGAAGGGGTCGCGGATATAAGGGTTAGAGGCTCCATGTTGTGCGAATGACTCGATTGAAAAAACACGTATTGATGGGTGTAAACTGGAAGCGGGGGAACCGGGGGGGAAAGATAGGGTATTGATATAGTTAGTGAGCGGAGTTGCTTCCGTCGAGACGTCATCACAACGCCTCCATACCGAAGTATGTTGACAGCAAGTCTGACAAATTGTAAGAGTATTTGAGTAGTCTTGAATAGTGTAAATTTGTTGATACAATGGAATTCGATGTGTGAGTTCGATACTAGTGTTCTAAATCGTACTCATACCATGTAGAGACTGCGTTGGCAGCGCATGAGGAAAAGAAAGCATCAGAGATACCACTTCGCGTAGCTTATGTTGGTGACGCGTAGAAACTGTGATGCCACGTAATAGATGGGCAACCAGAAGGAAGAAACATGCCGAGGTGGACAAAGATCATTTGAGACCAAACTACATGTAACCAGACCTCAAGAAGATGCGAAATCCAAATGCTACGTCACGGGCGTTCTTAGACCATCATGCGCTGTTGCACATGAGAGGAAGTACATTAATATAATCTGGTGCGAGTTGGCGCGAATCACATCGTGGGAGACATACACCGGAAAATACCTGTCCTCTCAAAGCACTGCTTGGGTCCGGATATCATAGCAAGATCAGATATCTCAGCTGCGTGCTCGCACATCTTATCAAATCCCTCACCAGAGCATGTCAGTTGAATCAAAGCCTATTCCTCCACCTTCTCAGAAAATTCCGCTCCGACCTTGTTCGCAACATCACGAATAGCATTGCCGACCGTACTCTGGAGCTGATCACCAGTGGTAGCTTCGTGGATGCGACTCTTGGACGACTCTATCTGAGCGACGTAGTCATGATAAGAAGCTGCCGGCAGATTGCGATACTGCTGTTGTGAATCATTCGCAGGATGATCGTACGCATTGTGGGCGTAGCTGGGGAACTGAAGCTGATCGAGCTGCTGCTTCAAACCTTGTGCATCCGGCTCACGAACGGACTCGCACCGGTCAACAAAGGCTGTGGGACGGTTTTGTGCACCGATTGTTCGAATACCTAAGGGCAAAGGGGCCGAGGGTCGTGTGGCAGATCCATAGGATGGGATGAAGGAAGGCATGCGAGGAAGGGGGTGAGCTTGTCTGACTTGGCGTAGGTACTGGTTCTCTTTCTCGAGTCGGTGATTGCGTCCACGCAGTTCTCCGATATGATGATTTTGCTGGGCTAGCGAATTGGCCTGTTGCGTAACAACGGAATGAAGCTCGCCAACGCGGGTGCGTAAGTCCCTGTTCTGAAGGCTGAGCCCGTCATAGATCTCTGTCCCAATACTAGAATGTTGATTGGCTGGAGCCTCGTGATCCATCACGTTGACTTCGCCACCGGACGGCTTCGACCAAGGTAGAGACGAGGCAAAACTATCCTTGTGAATACCACCTTGAATCCCCACAGCTGTACACGGCTTAGCCTCCAGAATATAGATGGTATCGAGATGCTTGAGCGATACGTCAGGGTACTCCATATCGTGAACGTCGTTGGGTGTCATATCGTATACCAAATCGACGTACTTCTTGTGATTTGGATTTTCCGGAGTAGGTGCTGGGTACATGTAGATAAATTTCCAGTCTGACCTGTACCGCTTGTTGCGCTTCTGGCAATAGGCCTCCAGGACGGGCCCAAACTTCTGAGAACCACGAATTTCCAAGAAAAAGAAGATTGGTCGGCCAGCTGAGTCGTGTTTCTTGGCATGTATGCGTAGCTTTAGGACCGGATCGTCTGTATCTGGTGCGGGTGAAGCGGAAGGCAATTTAGCGAGCTGGAGGTATTAGCAACGATCTGAAAAAGGTAGACATCCCACATACCGAGCGTGGGTTTTGATGCGACACGGAGAAGTCGTCGTTCTGATAAGCACAGGTCTCATCATTGTCGTGTGCATCGTTCACGTTCGAAATATCGACATCTTGGTTTTGGGGATATTCTACAGATGACTGGCAGAGAGGCGCTTCGGATTGGGAAGGCGCATATTGGTCAGGTGATGGCTGCCGAGATGGCATTCGGGATCCAGGCGCACTTGCTGCATGATTCATGTCAGCCGGTCCTTGTGATTGACCAAGAGAGCTATTCTCGTAAACCTGAAAGTTGGTGTTCGAGTTTATAGCCATACTCATACCGGCGTTGTGGTGAGATAAGACTGCGCCACCGTTGTGTCCAATATTCGTGCCCACACCCAAGCCTTGTATGTGAGGGTCAGGGAATGGCAACTGAGAACGTGCATGGTGATATTGCCCCTCATAAGCTGTCGCCTCGAAGTTCCGACGCTGCTGGTATTTGCGCATTTGCTGGGCCTTGAATTGCGGGCTGAAATCGGTTCCCGAAGGAAGTCTAGACGAACCATATCCATTGCCATACGAGTTGAAGCGACCATGGTTTATTTCCACATTTGGTTGAGCCTGGAACAAAGATTGGTGTGACTGAGCTACGGCTATGGGGCGACCGTCTTGACTCTGTCGGAACTCCTGGAGGACTGGATAGCCTAGACTCCGAACTGAGGGCAGGATGTGTCTTGGAGGTTGTAATGAGGCTCGAGAATCCTGCGTGAGTGGATCATCACGATATGCTGGCAATGAAACTTGCGGGATGTGATCGCGCGTAGCACTGTGGCTCATGAGTTTACTAAGTGGGAGATCAACTCGTACTTGTCAGCCATATGCATTTTGAGGGGTGGGTCTGAGCTTTATGTGTCACCGTCCAAGCAGGACCAGGTATGGCAGTCTGATCAGGTACTGCCAGCGAACCCTGTATAAGCTGGTCTTGGGCTGGTGACTGTGGAGTTGTGGACTCAATGAAGATGAACGTGACGACATACCTGCATCTTTAGGAAGACTCGCGCTGGTGCCCACATCAGGGCGTGTAACATCTTCCAGTTTGATCGTCTTCGGTGGTCGCTTAGATACATGTGTTGAACTGGGGCTATCCTCAGGTGGTACAGTGGCTTTGCGCTTCTTACGCTGCTTTCGCGAGGCAACTGCAGTGCGCGCGACCTTCGTGTCGGGCTCCTCGGCGTCATCTCGTTGAATAGTACGATTTCGGTAGCATACCGACATCGTTCTCTTCAGATGACGCTAAATCACAGTCAGCTGAAAGCGATCCGCAACTTGAACATGGATGTTACATACCTTGAGGCTCGCCAAGTTGTCGTAGGACTTGTTACAGAACTGACACGAGAAGGAAGTTGTGTCAACTGCCACAGCACCAGTAGAGTCGACTGTCACTCCACCGGCTTGCTCGTGTTCTTGTCCATCGACGTCTTGGGTCTCGTTGACGGAGGCAATATTCTCATTTAGAGCAAGGCTAACAGAGTCCATGAAGGCTTGCTCGCCACCATTAGAAGTATCCGGTACCAAGGTAGGGCGCGCGGCGGGACCCAGCATGTCGAAGGTGTGATGGTCTGCACTGTATCGGATTTGAGTGGCGTTAAACAATGATTAGACAAAAAGCTTACCCAAAGTCAAGCCCGCTAAGGTCAGTCTCGCCTTCGTCACCGTCACTCATTGCTGTCGGATTGTGCTGAAGAAACTGCGGTTGAAAGAAACGACGTTGGTCTCGTGAATTGTGTGCGACTGGAATATTTACGACGCGTCGAGCTTGAACCAGCGTGAAATATCACGCCAAGAATATTAGCGTTTCATAGGAGCCGCAGTGAAAGCATCAATTCTCCGTAGTGACGGGACAAGCCACAGAGATCTGAGATAGAGCATGACATTTCAAGGGTATAGAAAACCCCAGTGGAGTGGACAACCTCGTTTAGACCTCAGAAACTGTTGTTGAAGAAAGGTTGAGCATACCTACATTGCCCAAAGCTCGCCATTGACCGACCAATCTTGAACTCCGTAAAAATACTGTATTGATAAAAAAAATCGAAGAAGACAAGGAATGAGGAGGGAACATGAACAGACTCCGTATACCAGAAAGCTACACGCCGATACAAGAGTCACGGCACTGTAGCGGGATGGCACCGCTCTACTATGGACGAGGTAGAATATAAAAGAAAGTTTGGCTGGTCACATAGAGATGGCACCAGACCTTACACGTATACCCTGCTCCTAATGTGAAGCATTGTGTGACATGTTGAATTACTTCGGTTGCGCCATCAAGATAGAATTTGTGCTCGGCACGAAGCGTGTAGAAAGGATGCTGAGACAACAACTGTTGATATTGGTATCAAAATTTTTGAATGCCTGCGCGTCTCATTAAAGAGATTGGCATGAATATGGCATCCCATCTGAGGGGCGCCTTGTAGCTGTGGAGAGGTGGATAACGCGTGGAGATGAACATTCAGGGAAAATCTACTTGTGTGATGATGAGGTGGAGTGAAGTAGCGACTTTCCCTATCGCGCTAGCCACCGCCTGATCCACATCTTGTCGCCTTCTTGTTGTAAAATTATCGACTCCGTGTACTTAAAACCCCGCCTTCACTGTGAATTGCATATATGGTTTTTTGTAGCGCACATTGTGAAAGCCGTCTGCTCTGATAACCCTCCAACAAGGTGGAAAACACATGTCGTCCACGAGTGCCCAACGCCTGGCCAGGCATGTCGCTCGTACCCTCAGCTTGTGGTATCGATATATTGACCAACGTGATGAATTGCGGGAGGGTGAGGCCCGCTTGTTTTGCAGAAGACAATCATTATGCATGCGAGACTATAACTTTTACGCGAGAAGCTGCTTCCGCCTGGGGCAGTGTTTTCAACTGCGAGATTCCCCGCCACGCATGGATTGCTACCCTTCCTTCCAGCTTCCTAACACACCCTCGCATACTGATAAAACGACCATAGACTCATTTAACATTCATAATGGCGACAAAACAGTTCAACACTGGCGATGTTCCGCCACGCGCCCGTCCCGCGTCCCACGAGACTCAGCCTTTCCTCAAGCTTGATAACACTCGGCCTCCAAACGCTTGTAGAACTAGTCTTTATTACGACTTGGTAAACATTGAAACCACTTCTGTATTCAGTAAAGAACAATGATCCGTCAAACGGTTGTCTGAGGTTTGGGATCAAGCTTGGACAAGACTTACGACCCATTCTGATCATCGTCGCTCAACTAACGTCGATGCTAGAAACTTATTCAAGACTTCTCTGTGGCATTTTCTCGACTCCGTGGCTTCCACCAAACATCCTGGGATAATGGAGGACACCGAAGCACTCGTCTTGAAACTTGTCCGCAAAGTCCCACCGCCTTATACTCCACTAAGAAACGAGGAATATCGAGTCATGCATCTCCAACCTCAGAACTCAAACGGGATCGTCAAATGTAGCTTTGTGAGCGCTACAGTTGAAGAAAGGGCCGGAAAGTACAATGCTATGTCATACTGCTGGGGTCCCATGCCGCAGCCTCGGAAAATACCGTTTCTTGAAAGAAAGGCCAACGGCGGTAACTCAAACATTGTTCACCATGCTTTATGTCTGGCTGGGCCCCGAACGCGAGGATAGCGGTTATGTTCTCAAACGTATTGCCGACGAGGATTTTGAGTCCCAGCTACAGGCAAGATTTTGTAGGGGTATGGAGCGCCTTTTGTTGAGACCTTGGTTCAGTCGTGATTGGGTTGTTCAAGAGCTTGTATTACCCATGACAGTTTATCCTACGTCGGGATATTCGTGTCTTTGGCTCCACTTCGCAAAGGCGATGCAGGCACTCATGCTACGTTGGTGGTCGCTTTCGGAACAGGTCAGAGAAGGGAAGGGCAGTGGTCTGACTTGCGGCACTTTGATCATATCACGCAGGCCAGAACAACGATACCATATTCTAGGGAAGCTTTTGCTAGTACATACCTCATGGACCAACTACAAGACGGACAAGTTCAAGACCTCGTGTCGATTTGCGAGTTGTATCAAAGAAACAAAAGTTTCTCATTTTCTTTGGTCCAACTTTTCAAACGCACGAGAGGCTCCGAGGCTACTGCGGATTTGGAGACGATCTATTAATCCTATGAGTTTTGCGGTTCAGCCAATTTCTTCCTTTCCTCGATCGTCTTGAGTTACTCTGGGGTCAATCTCTTCACATAATCCTCTTTCTTGTTCTTACTTTTCGCCTCCATTTCTGCCTTTTGCACCCGGTCCCACTCATCTTGGAGCGCCGTAAGCTCTACCCGACACTTCTCTACGTTAAAGTGATCGTGCGGCCACCCATTCTGCTTGTACGCTTCGTAGACTTTCTGTGTTACGCATTAGCGGATGTGCTTCACCTCTCGAATAGCGATGACATAGTATTCACCTTCGTCTTCTCTGGCAATGGCTTGAGTTCTGGCCTCTCAAGGCGTGGAGCCGGCTGATACTCGGCTTGCTCAGCATCGTGGCGCAGCCATTCCATCTCGTCATCGGAGACTTCATCCTCTGCCTCATCTTCCCCGCCGTCTTCGTCGCCACTTAGCCGCAAGTCTTCCAAGTCTATCTCATCTTGCTCATCATCGTTCTCGTTATCAACGTAGTCATCATCGTTCTCGTTATCAAAGTAGTCATCATTGGCTTCATGCTCCGCATCGAACTCATCCTCAACTGCAAGAAGTGCTGCTTCCTCTGCAGGCCATTCAGCGCGGAAGTGGAAGCTGGGACCTCTACGGCGGCAGGGCACAGGTATGTACACCAGGCGCTTCAGGCGAGTAGATGCCCGCTCAAAGAACGCCTTAAGTGGCAGAGTTGGGTGAGCCTTCCACTTCCGCTCGGGTGCAAGGGCTTCGTATTCGTCGAACGTCAAGTTCGGCGGCGCGAAGTCACCACCGTAGTTTGGATAGCTGACGATCTTTCCAAGCTCCGTATCTAGTAGAAGATATTCCTTCGCTTCGCTGTAGCCCTGCCCAATGTAGATAACGTGTGGTGGCAGATACGGTGGTTTTGGTTGGTCTGTAGTCGAAGTGCGTGACAGATAGAAGTCGTTCACTGGTTGATCAAAAGCCACAGCCGTCGAGCTCCAAGTCTGGAGCAATGATGTCAGTGAGTTAATGTGATAGGTATACGTTGTGTGATGAGCGAGGAGTGGCAGAATTTATGGTAAGGTAGGCAACTTTAAACCAGGATACCACAATGATGTTGAACAGTATGTAATGCCCTAGCCATCCCAATTACCTTGGCCATATATTTCGGTCTTATGCCTCGATTATCTGTTCAATCAACCATCTCGATCATCAAACTATCGCTTGTCTGGTGCTCTGTTTAATAAATGAGATGGCGGGGCTCACAATCCAAGCGTGTTCGGCATCATACAACCCAGGCGCTAAAAACGGAAGATGGCGACTGATTTCAGCAGCTTGGTCTGACCAGCCTTGCTTTCTCAAGTCATCAGCATGAGTCCCAGACCAGCCCTCAGCAGGAGGCACCCGCAGGCATTCTGGCTTCATATGAGGCATTCGACAAAGCAAAGTGTAATACTCCATCATAGCGTCCTTAGCTTCCTGCAGGACGCCTTGGGGATCCTTTGTTGTAGTCGACATCTTGAGTAAAGCAAAGAAGGAGGTTAAAAATTTCAGTGAATAAGTGGTGAGGGACGACTTACGAGTGTAAGGTAACTTCAAGAGCTGGAGAGCTTAGGCCAGATCTGTTAGCGCGTTTATGAGAGCTTGGCGCGCTCCTGATCGTTAACCACGAAGCGCGTAACGAAGCAGTACACGTGCTGCGCAAGGTGAATGAGATCTGGCTAAATGCCTCAAGTCACTCAATACGTTATAGCTTTTAGTAATAATAAAGAACTAGCCTTCGTACCACTCAATCCTATCGCTCTTAAAATGGATTATACCCGAGACTTCTTCTTCCTTGATTCAACTTCCTTTAGATACCGCTTGGTACGTACATAACGATGAATCTGTAGCTTACTGAATTTCACTGGCGTCTTTTTCACGAATTTGGTCGAAGAGTTTCGTGACGTCAACGTATTCGACACCTTGGAGTCCAATCCTCAGATATCCTGGCTCCTGGAACTCGATTTTGCGCTTCGCAAGTTCCTCGACGTCCCAATTGGACCAAATGAATCGACCATGCAAGAAGGATGCAGCTGTAGTAGATGCCCAAACGCAAACTGAAGCAGGAAGATCGACTGTTTTAATCCGATTAGCATGCTTTGGGGAGAATAGATGTGTAGTTTGGAAAATCCCCATCGTCAGAGAAATGCTCTCCACTTACCTTCGTCCCATCGGACCATTTCGATAAGCTCTGGAGGAGCCTTGTCTGTAGAAGACGTGTTTGGGATAAGACCCGGATGAAGATTGATGATTCGACACTGGTCAACAGGTATCTCTTGGGCAAGATGTTGGAAAAAAGAAGAAGAAGCAACCTTGCTGGCGGAATAGGCGGCTTGAAGGCGTGCGGGGTTGCTGTGTGCTAAACAACTCGTCAGGTTGATCAGTGTTTTCCCTTGTTTGACGAGATTCGGCGAATCGAGGAACCTCGCTGCCATAAGCACATTGCCGAAGACATTGGTATTGAACATGGCCCGGAACTGAGGCCATACATTCAGCAATGGATTGGCTGGACCACCAGACGTGTCAGCGGCATTGAGAATGAGAACATCAATGACGATGCCTTCATCAGAGAAAGACGTCCAAAGTTGGTCGATGCTGGTTTCTTCATTGATGTTGGAAACTCGAGTGAGAATCTCACTGGATTTGGATTTCTTCTTGAGATCTGTAGCCGCTTTATTCAATGTCTCCGAATTGCGACCAGAGATGATGATACGAGATGCGTTGGCTTGGGCAAATTTATTAGCAGTTTCGTAGCCAACGCCTGAAGCGCTCCCAGTGATGAGAACAGTTTTTCCCGCCTGACTGTTAGATGGATTCTCAGCGGATATTGCGGGATAGGGCGCGTGATGGAAGGTCTTGGTCGTAGAAGCCATTTTCGTGAATAATAGATGTTCGATCTGTGTCAGAGGAACAGTGGATTGCTTGTAAGACGGCTCAAGGATGATGCACTTTGATACAATTAAACTAAACTCCGCGTTTTATACTTCTCAATGGGTTCAATCATGCCTTCCATGATCCGGCTCTTTTACCTTGCGCCTGCCCATTTCCAAATCTTCTTCAATTGGCTTGCGACAGCACCGAAGGGTGTGGACAATGCTCTGGGTGGAGAGTGAGACCGAGATTTTGAAATTGGCTGACGAGATTCCCAAGTGGATGAGCTGCATATAGGAAATCCATCGATACCAATAAGATACGATGGCTGAGCGCCGATCCCTGCGGTACCAGAGATTGTGGAGACGAGCGGGTCCCGAGCTAATGCATGGCTAACGTAAGCCACGTTTTGGCTGATAAAGACGAGTTAGTTCTTCGTTTTGCATCGTTGAATTATATCCTCTATTCGCCATGGACGCATTGAGCGAAGTCGTCCAGCCGAAGGAGAAACGGCTGATGACGGAAGCTCGACGGCAACAAAGTAGAGCGGCACAGAAAAGATACCGTAAGCCATGCGGGATGCCAGAGTCGGATGAAATGCTGACATGATCTATAGGTGAGAAGCAGAAACGCCGGTTAGCAGAGCTGTCGAGTTTTGCGTCTGCAAGTCATGCCAATGAACCGAGCCATCCAATACCGATGTCATCGGGCCTTCTCAAGGCCACCTGGCTACCCAGTTCGAATGGAGGTCTCAATCTGGTGGAAGAACAGAGTCCTGTGAACGCTCAAGGTAGAGCTGGTCGCTCAGTAGAATCGAACGAGGTAGAGTCTTTATCCGCCATTGAAGGTATAACGGTGAATCCAAACTGGAACATGAACATCCCTTTTGGTGGACCCAACACATTCCAGCTCGATGATACATGCTTATCTAGCGAGAACATGCTGGAGGGGAGAATGGGCAGGGATTGTCAAACGATAGCAGCGAGTGAATATCCTACTTTGAGTGAGCAGGTTGCCGATACCCAGGACATTCCAGAAGCCATGCAATTTTCCAGGGTAGCGAGGCCTTACGCATCCATTGAATCCTCGTTTTTATTTCCTGTTGATGCTTTGCCTGCTCCATCGATCCCAAGAGATACATACATTCGAGTGCATCGGTATTCCCTTCTCAACTCGTTTATGGAAAACGCGACGATGCTGGGGTACACGCTTGATTGGGTGACAACCTACGGCTGTCACCTGAAATCACTTTGGTGTCCAACATTACCACAGCCACAATCGCAAATGGGGATACGGGTTCATTGGAGAGAGGATATTCCGGCGATAATGAAAGTAGCACCCGATCTTGCTCCAACTGCAACTCAGCTGCAATATCCTCATCTTCTGTATATTGATATCTTCCCATTTCCGGAGTTCCGCGAGAAGATGCTAGCTCTTCGAGCCGTGCGGCCGAAAGTTTTTGAAGAGGAAGATTTCAGGCGAGACATCGACACAGGCGAAGCGATTTGTTGTTGGGGACCAACACCATGGGAAAAGAGGTCATGGGAGGCACAACCATGGTTCTTGCGCAAGTGGTGGATGTTGACGGGAGGAGAGGAGGGGGAAATGGGATCCTTAAGCCGGTGGTGGAGGCGTTTTCGGGGAGAAGAGATTTGAGAAGCAGACAATGAGTGAATAATAGGCATACCGTTGCTCTCGGATGCCAATCTAGTCGCATGTTATTTATCGAATCTTACTTTTCAAAATCAACAACCTCGTCATTATCTACCTCTATTGATATGTATGTCTTCTTGTACTGAACCTAAAGTTGTAAGGTGTAGCAGATTAGAAAACATACTGGCTGTACTTTTACTTGCTTGATATAAGAAAGTACGTTTGATGTTACAACTACATAAAATCATGTATGCGTCACATAGGGGAGGTACTTTACTTCAGTAAGTTGCTATAGTGACGCTACTAACTTAGCAATAAGCTTAGATGGAAGCAGAGTAGATTACGTACCAGCTGAGATTTAATAATGCATCTGACATCTTATTTATTACAAGAATAGGTAGATCATTGTCAATCAAAGCCCCGCCAATATATCAGCTGCAATTTTCTCTGCTAGAGCATCTAACAACACGTTTGTTAGCGAATGTTAATTTGAGGAAATGCAGCCATTTCATGAAACCAGACTTACAAACAGTGCTTTCTGGATGTCCAGGTGGCAACAGCGCAAAGGACGACGCATCGACAACCCGTAAGCGTTCCACGCCGATGACTCTGGCATGTGTGTCGACTACCGCCATCGGGTCGTTGGGTCGACCCATTCTACATGTGCAAGACGCATGCCAATTCTGGTAGCTTGATGCCATAATGTACTCCAAGATAGCCTCGTCGCTAGTAACGTTGGCACCGGGCATGGATTCCTCAATCACGATGGAACGCATAGCTTCTGTATGAAAGAACGACCTCGAGCGCTTGAAAGCCTGCACCGCAAGTTCTCGATCGGTAGGATGGGAGAGGTGGTTGGGGTTGACCAGGGGAAGGTCGCGCATAGAGCTAGATGTTATGTTAACGTACCCCCGCGACAGTGGCGTCACTGGAACAGTAACAATGGTTCCGAAGCGCTTGGTCGGGTCGCTTCCAGCAAGGGAGGCTGCGCTAATTTCGTACTCGATCTGCAAAATGTCTCAGCGTCGTCTCTTGCTCCAAAGTCGATGATGATAAGGTCATTCGTTGGTTTTCTCACCTCTGGCCAGTCTGCGGGGAACTGTGCTAAATCCGCAAGGGCAGCGGCGCTGAGACTACTGCGGTAAGTGTCTGGCAGCTTCTCCCATCCGATATAGTCAGCTCCCGCGTTCGTGAAGGGTCCAGTTCGATTGACTCGGTACTCCTCGATCAATGGGCCATTAGTAGAAGGATCAGCTGTCGCACCGACATCATTCTGTAACGTTATTTCAAAGACTGGCGCAAAATCCAAGTGATCTTCCATGTTTGCTCCTATCGCGCAAATATCAGTATATTGAACTCGTTACTAAGTTTTCTGCAGTCTCTGAGTACTTACCTACACCCGCTCGATCTGCTAGGACAGTGATGTTATGTGCTTCCAGTTGGTCGCGAGGTCCAATACCTGAGACCATCAAAAGTTGAGGTGACTGAAATGCGCCGGCTGAAATGATAACTTCTCGTGTAGCATTCAGCACAAATGTATTCGTGTTGCCGTATGAAGACGCTTCGACCTATCGCGTAAAGATTGTCAGCCAGACAGATTCACATGTATTTGCACCTCACGCCCCGGTACAACTGTCTATGTGATGAAGGCTGTTCTGGCCTATTGAGACATGACGTTGTAGCCGAGATAGGCTACGCATTCTCGGGGCCATTACTACTCACCTCTACACCCATAGCGGTCAGAGTTCCATTGAACACAATCTTCTTCGCGAGCATATTTGGGTAAACCTTTAGGTTTGTTCTGCCACTACGCAGCGCCGCGCGCAGGAATGAAGTTTGAGAAGAGCTGCGTTCTTCTTCTGGGTACGCAATGGTAAGGGGCGCATACTGCCTGCCTAGTAGATAACCACTTGCAAAGTCTTGTTGGACTGGAATTCCCGATTCTTCCATGGCTCCGTCAATGTAGCTGGCGAAGATTTGAGCAAAGTTAGGGTGTGAAACGTGGAGCGGTCCTGTCCCGTTGAAGGCCATTTCATTTGCTGGTAGTGGCACCGTCGCGTTTGCAGCACGAAGATTTGCATTTCCAGGCCAGTATGTGATACCGCGAGAGAAGTAAGGGAGCAGGTTGTCAAAGGTCCATGCATCGTCACCGACGAGGTCTGCCTATCAAAAGCAAAAGTGTTAGCTTAGTTCGCTCATAAACAAGCTCTTGAGATACTTCAGCTTTCGCATGCCTTGTACTTGGCTAAGGCTACCCTCTCAAAGCTTGCGCTTCCAATCGAGATGCTTCACTGTTTAGCACTTACCCATGCTTGTTGGGATCCATAGGTCCCTCTATTGTAGATCATGGCGTTCAGCGACGAGCTCCAAAGACTAAGTCAACCACTGCTTATCAAATCCAAGAATGAGAACAGGCTTACCTTCCACCCAGTGTCTTACCGCGCCCATAATGCAGTCTGCGTCCTCCAAGACCTTCTTGAGCCTCAGTAACAAATCCCCAATCTACCAGCGGATACTGAGTCGCGGACTCCACGGTAGTGGTGGCATAGCGAGTGCAGTACGCTGGCACGACAGAAGTGTTGCCGTTGTCTTGTTCGTAGAAGCCGCCCGCCTCTACGACAGCGACACTGTACGTGCCAGACTCAGCCAAGCGATATGCTAAGGTCAAGCCAGCAGTTCCTGATCGATGTCAACGGTGAATTACAAGAACCGGAACTCTGTGTAGTACTAACCTCCTCCTACTATAACATAGTCATACGATGCATTCTGCGGAATGCCAAAGTCATTTCCAGGAACATACCCAAACCTTGGCTGTGTCCAGGCCAAAGCTGGCGTAGCAGCCAATGTATAAAGGAGATTCCGCTGCATGATAAGCTATGCCCACGAGATCAAAGACAAGGTATCGAACCCTAACATATGAACGAAGTAGAATGTACCTTCTCCTAATAATAATCATAGACAGCACAGACTGCAATCATCGTCATGAGTTCTCTTAGCGCTTTGTATTGACCAATTGCTGGCGTCAGTAGTCTGCGGCTATCTCGACTACTACCTGGCGGCGAAACCATCTATTGGCAAGGCTAGCCTTCTTCGGTAGACTTCAGAACCGGCTCTACCACTACAATCGCTACCCGCTTAGTCCTTCACATTACTGTCTCAACACGTCCTTGCTATTCCACTTTTCAATGTTCTGGGATATAGTCAACGCTGCTGGTGTTACACTCGTACCTTTCGTTGATCAAGGAGCTGGTTCCGTGATGTCATGTTTGTTAAACTGTATCTCAATGCTCTACACGGTGCAGATCGTAGTAAGTCGTCGAGTCATTTTCGCATTTGCAATACAGGTTAGGCAAAATTTAGTTGCGGGCTTGTGCCCGTGTCGTGAGCTTTGCTTACCGGAACGCGAGCAGCGAATCTCGTATCGCGCCGCCGACGCACAGCCATCGCGCGATCGCCGCATGAACACGAACAGACGCCGGCGACCGACCCCTGCCCGCATTCGTTCAATTGTTTAGAGCTACTATCGTCTTGCATCAGATTCCGCGCTTCACGGCTTGGGCCGAATTCAGATGCCGACCTCCGGTGCGCATCTCATAGAAAGCGCCTCGAAGCGTAGAGTTCGAAAAAGCATGGATTAGCTTCTTATGAAATATTAATGTTCGCCCACCCTAGAAGAGATGGACTCAAGCGTTATCTTCTTCTCCGTTATTCAGGCTCTCATCCTTGGACATGGCGGTGGCAATCCGGTACCCAATCTTGAAATCCCTGGTAAAGGAGGATGTACCCTCTGGTACAGCTGTCTCAACGATGAGCAGGCCATAAGGTGGAGTACTAGTAGTCGTGAACGGTCCAATAAACTGCTTAACTCCAACTATCTTGATAAAGTCTGGCGCCTCTTCCTCGCCTATTAACAAGAAACAATTTTGCACTCAACTGGTACCTCGACCTGATGGCAACTCTACAGGATTCGACGAAACTTGGATCCGCTCTTTCAAGAATGGATAATCTACTCTAATCTTCCTGTCGGGGAGCAGGAAGCCCAGGTACGAAGGAATGTGGACTGCAAATGTCGGCCATCTTTGGTTCCGACATGTAACGACGCATATAAGCCCCTAGCGACCTACCTGTGATGTCTCAAGTGTGGTTCCCTCCCTAACGCGGCCGCCGCCAAGGTGATCACCTGCTGGCAGGTTGTTTGCCAAGGTATACAACAGCTTCCAGATATCGAGTCGTACCCTAACATCGTCTACTCGCTGGCTGTCATAAATCAGGTCCTGGAAAACAAACTGGAAGACTGGCGGAGAAATGAGAGTACCTAGACAGCGACCTGGCCGCGTCTATGAAGACGAATACAAAGGTCTTAATGAATCGCTGGAGCGACTCGTTAGTTGATCTTTAGGATTACTATACCATGAGCGGCCGCAGCTACAGGCTTGACCATTCCAAGTAGAAGCTCCGAGACTTTATGGGCCTACTCAGCGGCAGGACATATGAGACCACAGTAGAGTTGCAAGATACTATCGTGGATTAGTCGTGATACACAACGACGGCCAAAAGATTGACCGTAATCATCTTTCTACTCTCGGCGAACAACCCAACTGCAGCTCCAAAGTCATGTCTCTATCCTCTGGACTTTGCCCCAAGCTTAGGGGATTCTGCACTTTCCTTCTTGCGCCGACCTTATGTCCCCAGGTTTCAGGAGAACCAGCGGTTGTGAAGATGTGGCGTGGGTTTCTGTTAAAGACACAGAGTACGACTGGGCTTTGGAGTGCTGGAATACAGAGAATCGGGGCCGTCTTTCTTCGGCCTTCGATTGTTGAGGAAGCTCAGGAAGGAAGAATGAGACTGGTCGTGATATTGCGTCCATCACCCCACCTTCAGCCTATCCACCCCGCCTCGCACTAGTGGTCCCAGCGTATCGGGCTGATCCGCGTTCATCGCCCCTGGCGCTAGGCAACACCCGCGCCAGGTTCCTCAGGCTGAACTCATCCTATAAACATCTGCGTTCCAGCTGAAGTAAGCATTTCAAGATCATCAGATTTTGGATCTCGAACTGGGTCGGTACTCTGGAGTACCGCATGTGTATGCGGAGGGCCCATGAGGCGCGATATCAGATAACGCGCGGATGAGAATCACCCCGAGTTCTGTTGCCTAATATCTCACTGTCTTTTATATTGTCCCCTTAGTTAGCCTCAACAGTACTGCTCTTTTGCTCAAGATCCGTGTCTTCCCCATTGGCTTATAAACTCGTCGTGAAGATGGCACAGAAGCACATTGTCATCCTCGGCGGCTCGTACAGTGGTGTCTCGACAGCCCACAATGTCCTCAAACACATTCTACCCAGCCTGCCCGAAAGCTCCACCTATCAAGTCATTCTAGTCAGCACCTCTTCACATGCCATGTGCCGGCCCGCTTGTCCTCGTGCACTCATCTCGGACGACATGTTCAACCAGGATAAACTATTTGTCAGCATTCCCAAACAATTTGAGCAATACAAATCTAGCTTCCGCTTCATCCATGGCACCGCGACCGAGCTCCATCACGACCAACGAACCGTCTCGCTCGACATCGCTGGAGATATTGAGCAGATCGACTACTATGCTCTTGTCATCGCCACTGGTGCGTCCACATACTCTCCACTCTTCGGCTTCAATCGTGATGAAGTCTTCCTACGCGAAAGCTGGACTGTCTTTCGAGAGGCATTGCCAGCCGCGAGGAGTATTGTTATCGCGGGTGGCGGCCCTACCGGCGTAGAAACAGCTGGTGAATTGGGCGAATACCTGAATGGCCGCGCAGGTTGGTTCAGCTCAAAGTTGTCACATCCGAAAGTTGCCATTACCCTCGTGAGTGCCGGCGACAACCTCTTGCCCAATCTGCGCCCCGCCATCGCGCAACAGGCAGAGACCTACTTCGCTCAAGTCGGCGTCACCGTTGTCAAGAAGGCGCGAGTGAAAAGCGCAGCTCCGCAGGGCCGCCAAGCACCCGCCCATGACGAACAGTTCGACACATCTCATGGCCCAGGCATCGACGATGTTGCTGCTAAAGCAACGCTGAGTCTCGACAATGGCACTACAATCGATGCAGACCTTTACGTCCCCGCCTTCGGCTCGCGCCCGAACACATCTTTCGTCACCAGTCCCTTCCTTTTGACCGCCGATCGCCGCATCGCCACGAATGCGTCCACCCTCCGCGTTGATGCTGCCGGCCCGCGTGTATATGCAGTCGGCGATGTAGGATCCTACGCGCAGCCTGCCATTCACCAGATTCTCGCCGCCATACCGGTCGTGACTGCCAATATCAAGCGCGATCTATTGTCGGCCTCTGGAAAGAACGTTGGTGGCGAGGATAGAGTGTTCAAGGAGGACACGCGTGAAACGCAGATGGTGCCGATTGGGAAGAGCAAGGGCGTTGGCGCCGCCATGGGTTACAAGTTGCCCAGCTTCATGATCTGGCTCATCAAGGGACGCGATTATTGGCTGTGGACGACGGGAAATTTGTGGAGTGGGAAACAGTGGGCTAAGGAGGGATGAGTATGCTCGCGGCACTATGTGACGAAATGAGCTAGAGCTAGTCTAGACAAGCCTCAGTTTAAGCGACAAGTGGGATGGATGAGCGTCACCCTGAAAGCAGAAACAGAACACGATGATTACCAGACAGACGTAACAACCTCAAACAAGTTCTCAAACTTGGCTCAGTATATCTTTAAGTCTTCACAATGTGCGCCGATGTACGCGAGGCACTCAAACCGGACATGAAGGCAAGGGTAATGTAATCTCTTTGCATTTATTAATCCGGGGCAGTCTAGCCGCCGGACTCAAATGTCTTCGCCTGAAACGGATAATTATATTGCGACGTTTTACTGAAATGAAGAACTTTCTATTCGCAGATGAAGCACGCGCACATACGGCGTGGAAATGGCTTGCAACTCGAGCAAAAAATACCCCCAATCTCCAGCCATATCGCTGTGGACGACTGCATCTCTTAACAGCAGGCCTGCAATATCAATCGTACACATGTGAGCTTGAATGATCGTCCCCGATATCATTTTCAACAAAAGTATCAGTGTACTTAATGTGCGCTTCGCCGTTTGCAATGTGTTGAGTACAACGGACAACTCCAACCATGTCACCCACTATGCTACCTACACATTCTCTTATACTACCGCTTTTTATGGGCGGACTCGCAAGCGCGGCCAACCTCTGGGCAACTCACTACTCAGGCACAATTCACTCTCTCGTCTTCAGCGGAATCGACTTCACGCTGAACAGCTCACTCAGTACTGGAAACAACGTCCCAAGCTGGATCACCTATGATGGTCCTGGCAAATCATTGTACATTGCAGATGAGATGTTTTCCGGAGCAGCGGGAGGGAATCTCACCTCGTTTGCGATTGGTAGCAATGGCGCGTTGACGGCAAAAGGAAAGGGATCTACTCCGCTGAGTGGGGTTGCTACTGCGCTGTACGGTGGATCGGATGGGAGAGGGTTCATCGTGAGCGTTCACTAGTGAGTGGACATAGTTGACAAGTGCTCAAGACAGATCGGCATTAATCATAGCACAGTTCGACGTCGCAGCTGACAACGTTCAAGCTGCCACTGAACGGTGGTCAGCCACTCCAGTCACTGAAGTATACGATGAGCGGCCCTGGATATAACCCAGGACGTCAAGAGGCTCCGCATCCGCATCATGCGTTTGTGGACCCAACAGGGGACTATCTCATCGTGCCTGATCTAGGCGCTGATTTGATTCGCATCAATAAAATCGACAAAATCTCTGGCAAGCTCGCGGAGTGTGGCACCGGCAAGCCTGTTCCTGGAACCGGTCCACGGCACGGCGTTTTCTGGACTCCTACGAGATCCCAATCGCGGATCCGACGAGGAACAAAGGACACGACTCTATTCATCGCCAACGAGCTCTCCAACTCTGTCTCGGGATGGAAAGTCTCATATCCCTCGGGCTCAGGTGGTTGCCTGAGCTTGACACTAAAGAACACCCTGACTCCATATGAGGGAAACAGTTCTGCTCCATTGGGTACCAAAGTCGCCGAAGTAAAGGTCAAAGGTTCTTCACTCTACATGACGAATCGAAACGACAAGAAGTTCTCCGGAAATGACTCAATTACGCAGTACTCAATTGCGTCAGACGGTACAATCGCCTGGACAGACAACACGTCTTCTTACGGGACGTATCCGAGGACATTCGATATCAACAAGGCCGGCGATTTTGTCGCAATTGGCGATCAAACAACAGCAAATGTAGCTATTGTTGCGAGGGATACAATGACTGGTAGGCTCGGTAAGCTAGTTGCCAATTTGAGAATCGGTACCGCCGGGACGCCAGAGAACGAGGATGGTCTTAGTGCGGTTGTGTGGTCTGATTAGGTGCGAGACTTTATGAGGGACAAAACTTCCGTATAGAAGGTTGGTAGTATATGTGAAAACTGTTCATCTACAGACCAGCGTTCGTCTTTTGATTTCCTTCCAACACTTCCATCGTATGCTGCCAAACCTTCTCCGCCGTATCGTCTTTCCTCGCCTGCGCATAACTCACAGCCTTCGTCTCATCACCCCTTTGACCCACGCCGTACGCGCCGCCCCCATGCTCACGCTGCGAACTGAAAGCGACTCCACCAACAACTTTACTCTCACCTCCACCGCCCAACTCGAAGACTCCCTTCGCAGGGTACCGCGCCGTCGCAAGATACACCATGATCTCTCCACAAACATCAGGCGCCGTCATATACAAAGATGCCAGTGGCTTGAATACGCGCCATAACACACGGAACCACAACGGGTTTACGTCGCTGTAGAATACAGGCCCATCAACAAGCCCCGGGTAGATATGTACAAAGCTGATCTTACCCGCGTGTTTTTCCGCCAGCGCTTCGAACATGAATGTCTTCATGAACACGGTATGGTTTCGTACAGCTGTCACGCCGTAAGTTTCTTTTGGCGGGATCCCAATCAACAATTTATCCGGTTTGACATTGCTCTCCATGCTTCCGGCAAAGATCGATATGACGCGTGCGCCCGTAGTCGCAGAAGAGTTTGTCAATAGAGGAGTGAGATTTTGAATGAACCGCATTCGAGAGTAGTACAGTAGCGACATCTGCGCGTCAATGCCATCCTCGGTACCTGCCCGGGTCGGTAAGCATGGAACCCCAAAACGCAGTACATCATGACTTGTGGAAATGAATATCCCACTCACGTTTAGATTCTTGAACCGGCGAGAGCGCTTGACTCATATACAGCACATCCAGTCTCGCCTTTCCACCAGCAAATGGTGCCTCCTCCTCCATTCGCACGATCTCTGCAGAGGCGCGATCTACATCTTTCATCTGCGCCAGGTCTGCGACCTGCACAAACCGCCATTCAGACCCAGGACTCGTAGAACGGCCATATTGGAGCAGCGTTTCCGCGCGCTCAGCGTTGCGCCCGACGATGTACACACGTAGTTTTGCGCCTTGGTTCGTGAAAGTCCTCGCAAGTGCTCTAGCAACGTACGATCCAATTCCTGTTGTGCCACCTGTGAGTGCGACAACGAGGGGAGTGCCGTTGGGAAGCTCAGCGACGCCGGCGTGAATAATTGCAAGGTTAGGCATGGTTGGGCTTGGAGTGAAACTTGAAGCGTAGAACAGTGCGAATACGGAACGTTTTATCGTCGCCAGACAGCATCGTACGATAGACAGGAGCCATTCTTTAGTCGTCATAGATCGGTTCAATAGAGATGTGTTGCCATGCATACAAAGACATCACTGGCTACACAATAAGGGTTTGTCTCAACACGGAAAGAATGCTGACAGGTGGCTGAATTCGTGATAATGATCACGGCCTTAAGCGGCTTTAACCCGCTCAAAGGCCGTATACTCAAAAAAAGACACTATAATTCTACTTGGAGATTGAGTAACACAAAACATTTATAATAGCCAAAAAATATCTTACTGCTTGTGGAGATGTTTGTATACCAAGTATCCATTGTTGAGCTTACTGGTATCTCATAAAGAACTACTTTGGGCACGTCTTAGTTCATACCTTACTCACGTGGCTGTCTTCCCTGTCTTTTTCGTAGGTTGATATTGCAGCAGTAACCTTCGCACTCCTTCCGCAAACTCCCTACTTTCACAAACTGAACCACTGGGTGTAAAGAACGTGGCACGCCCACCCGTAATCCACACTGTCGTTCTCTCGTCCCTCAGTCTCAATTTTTGAAACTGCGGGATCAACCTCCTCAGAAGAGGCATTGGCACTTCATTCAGGGTGTTGAACCCTTCGTAGCCAGAATATCCTACCCGCATGTCAAAAATCAGATGGAGACCTTGAAGGGAGACGAAAGTTCCAACAGCTGTTCGTGTCAACGCTGCTTCCCACGATTTACTCCAGCCAAGTGGGTTGATTGTGAGTTCCTGGATGAGATGCTTTTTCGCGCTCGGCGTTTTGATAAAGTCTTTGAATGCAATAGAATCGCTAAAATAGATCGTGGTTGTCCTCCATTTGATCGGCTCGGCTTCACACCACATCTGCTTGCATACGAGGTTCTCCGTTAAGAAGGGAAACGAATTATCGGGATCGGGATTGCAATGATGGGTGCCAGCAAAGGTGCGGTGGTCGTCGAGTCCGTTCGCGGCCCATGTGACAGGGTCGTCATCTGCAGCGCCCTGGAGACTGAGATTGTAGACTTCTTGGTCGGAAAGGCGCTCGCGACACGGGTGGTATGTAATGCGCCCTACGCTATCCTTTTTTTTGGTGCGAGAGCTGATAGGATGCACAGTCCTATTTCCAAAAGCATAGGTCCAGATGCGTTCTCGCAATTCTGCTGGTAGACCAAGTAGAGGCGAGTTCCGCTGGTTACGAAGGGTACTGGCTTGTAAGGACTGGCTCAAGCTGCGGGCTGGGGTGCATACATTGTATTATTCGCCTGCGCATCGTTTTCCCCACGTGCATGGGCGGCTTGCGAGTTGCTAGCTAATCTTCGCGATCTTCTTAGATCCACGCCAGCCGTGTTTTCGGCACGGCTGCGTTTCTTGGGGGCTGCTCGAGGCATGTCACTCTGTCAATGCAAGCTAGAAGCTGTGAGTTGCGAATTGAGAGTAAGTTAGTCGATGTGAACCGATACCAGTGATGAATTTCGCATCTATTTGTATGTCAATGTTGACGAGGATACGGATTGTCAGAATCTGGCGAAGGGTTGACTGCAGCCTAGGGCCAAGGCTAAAGCTCAGGCAATGATTGGCTTCCATGTCAGCTAGTTTCAGGTCAACGGCCCGCACACGTGCAACCGCGTCATTGCCTAGAATTGGTTCAACAAGTGTCCAGAGTTTCGTTAACACTGCGCTTGAGTCGCAGACCGGAGTTTGTCTACTTGCTTACAACAGAATATGTAGGGTAGTCGATCATGTAACGAGACTGATCACGTACCGATACTCAACTTCGCAACGCTGTAACTTTACGACGAGAAGCTGAATTAACAATCTAATTAAGCTAAATTAGAGACACATCTTTGCATTAAAATTCTTCCTAAGAGTTTTTTCTTTCTCTCTTACTAATTAGGCTTAAATTCTAGATTTTAATGTGCTACTTATAGAACTTAAATCTACTATTCTGTTAGCTAGATAAGCAGTAAGGAAACTCTTCTTAGTAGATAAGTAAAGAAGATTCTACTTTTTAATCACTTCTAAAATTCTGTAATAGAGAGGGGCTAAGAATTGCGCGCAATCTACTCTCAGTACATGATAGGTCTCGTTACATGATCAACTACTCTATGTGCTGAGAAATAGGGAATATCAAAACACGCCAATCAATGTAGTGTGATGGTAATCTATCATCCGACGCAGTCTTGTCATCGGGACCTTTTCAAATGACATTGTTCTCTATCAGTTACTCAGCAATACAGGTGCCTCTGTTTCTCCTCTAGTTGCTTTGCATATTACTTGAGATTGAGACTATCTATTGTTTGTGGTACCTGCCAGTGAGATTCGAATTGGAAGGATCCAAAAGAACATCCAGGTTAGGCGTAGGGATGCACCTGTGCTGAAGTACTGACAGGGATCGAGCCTGTTATCAGGCAAGACATCTGTTCCCATTGCATCTGTGTCGTGATCGCCGAGAAGCCGTATGTTGTACGAGATCAGGCCATGATGTACCCGCGAATTCATTATAGAACAGCATCTACTAGGTCTTGCCCTCGCTTCCACCTTGATGGTTCCTAGAGATAACGTCACAGAATCGACACCCTCAACGGGCGCTGTGTGCTGTTCACAGCACACATATGATCGCGACCACCCCGGTCAACAAGAAGTCAGCTTATTACTGAGTGAATTCTATTGCGTCGCTTTGACCGGTACCATCGAGTGCTTGGGTAACGACGGCGCCTTGCGCAAGCTGACCGGGGATGGGCAGGTTTTGAACGCAGTGCGACTGAGCCCGGCGTTCCTCAAAGCCTTCTTATATCGCATACCTGCGTAGAATCGTGCGTTGGAATCGGAGATGGATAACCCCGATGGCTCGAATATGTCAGAAGCATAATTAAGGTAGCCTCATCGGAGTTCGCCAACGCCAACCAGAGAGAAGAAGAGCGAGGGCGCTGTATTGGCGAACGCGAGGGAGTTGCAGAAAGCACATGAGAATCAGCATACCATGACTGAGAGCATGAGAGATGCATGAGTCAGCCCACTCGGCCACGATTCAATGCCGAGGATCTATATCGGAGGGGTTACTGCTGTAGATAGTTGTCAGCACAGATGGAGCAGCTTCACGAAGTACTCTATAGAAGCACTGAGGTGTCCAACGTTCGTTCATCTCAGTCTCCTCACCAGTGAGCAGAAGACGCTGTGTAGAACGTACGAGAAGATTTCATCGCGTAGTCGAAATCTGCAACGTGTAGATCATGATGAAGTTTCGCCCTACTCTAAGTAAGTGATATCGTGTACTCCATTTGCCTATAAGTACCGAGTGATGTGGAGTTATTTGCTGGAGTTTTCATCACTTTACAATACAATTTCAACGCTCATCGAAAAGAGTTTCTCTTCAACGAACAAAGCGTGAAGATTGTCAATGTCATCGCTACGTCGGGACTAGAAGACCGGCAGAGTTCCAAATACATGACGAACGGATAAAATGAGCCGAACTGCTCGCAGCAATACTCATACCATCACGACTATGTTCAGGAAACATGACAAAACTGAAGATCGTAAGAAGCCGAGAAGAGTATAAATAACAGAGCAAGTACACGCTACAGATTCGACTCTTATCAGGATTGTGCGAGTATTCCCATGAGTCATACTGGTAGGAACAAGTAGTGAGTAAGTGAGAACAAAGACGCCAAATCAGTGGTATTGTCTTACCCAATTTATCTATCCGATGAAGGCCCTACTCGAACCCTCCAAACGTGGTCTTACCACATAGTATAGTATCTGCCGACGACGTTTTCACAGTTATAACCTGTTTAGCAATGATCATGCTCAACAATCAAGGAATGCTTTATAGGGATCTAGAAGCTTTGCCTTCATTCTTATAGAAATAACCCTTATATAGTAAATGCTCGGCCTCTCATCCTCAATAGCCTCCATTTGGATGTGAATACAAGACTCTCTTTCCAAGCGGTATAATGCGAAGTTTCCAACGTCCTATACAAGTGCCAAATGTCCCAAGCTACACCAGTGCTTATCTCAAGCATCCTTAACAGAAAACACGAAAACACTCATATATATCAGTATCGCGGATGTCTCATCCAAAAAGAGCAAAGTTGAATGACTCGCTCCCACAACATCGGAGTTTTGTTGTCATAACCTTGCATCACGATACAACTCGATGCTTGAAGTCTTGGTAGCGCTATTCAGATATCCTGGTAATCAGGGATTTGTACGAGAACGATGCTTCCTGACTCAATATGGGGCATTATTAAGGGCGCAGGGAGGACAACATGAAACCGATGCTAGGTCAACGAGTAAATTGCGTAACGGTTATATGAACGAGATTACGAAAAACTAAGGTCGAAGTACTCATTCGAAAAACAACCTCTCTAAAGTTCAGAGCGAAAGCACCGTTGAGGAGAAAAAGAAAGTAGCAATGGGCTGGAAATATTCGGGCCAAAGTATCGCAAAACGTAGTCTCAACGTGTACGAACGCAACGGTGCACAATGCTCCACACCCCAACACACCTCAATCACGCAGCCCACGACATAAAAGTCACATGGAAAGCTCGAAATCATGATGATATATGGTAAATTGCTTCTCGTTTCGTATCAGTCGTGTCCCAAACTCCCATTCCATCCCATCCCGCTAATCGATCGCTATTCAAGTCTTCCCTCCAGCATAACCATGCGCGTACAATTCCCGTTGTCGTATGTGTGATGTTGATTTACATGACGGTGCAGTAGCACGACTCGGCGCAACCGCAGCAGTCGCACGACTCGCCGCAGGAGACGGGCTTGGGCTTGACGATGGTGGAGATGGAGGAGGTGACGCTGGGAGGCATGTTGGCGGTTGGTTCTGGGAAGAGGGTTAGATGGAGTGAATGAATACAAAGGTGTGGTTACTTACTGTTTGGAAGTCGAGGTGTGTGGTGAAGGTGTTTTGGCGTGAAAGGTTGGGAGACAGAGATTGATGGTTGTTGATTGATGAGTGAGTGGATGCTTGCCAGCGGAGGTGATGGGCTCCCTTTTATGGATCTTACGACGGACACTGCGAGCTAACGATCTGCCACCGTTACCCTGGCGTCCAGATAGCCTGTCATCAGCCGCAGCTGAGCCGTATTCGTCAGAACCTGATCCCGACACATGCGCTGGTTTCAACGCCTGCTAGCTGTTGTCTACGCCATTGGCCATGGCTCACCGACGCACCGCCTCATCACCCATATCAGTCGATGCCGCGTTCCCAGCTGGGCCACCATGTCACCGAAAGAATGGAGAACGACCGCCGCAGTGGCTGAGCTGTATTGACATCACATTGTAATGTTTAGCAATGACGGTGTTGAGCTTCGATTGGATGGTGCTGGTGGCTGACGACGTCCAGGGCGCGCAGGCTTACGCGGCTTAAGCTTCGTGGCGTCACAAAATGCCTCAGGAAAACAAGGAACAAGCATTACCAAGCTTTTCGCCTGACCTTGGCGGTGAGCGAACGCGCCGGGTATATCGGCTCATACCCGGACTGTGGCACAGCAGTTGTGGAGACTGACACGACTGGGTTCCGGGAGATGGAACGTTGTGTCGTCATACTGGGGCTGCGAGTGACAGGTTGTGACATCGGAGCTGAGGATAAAATGGTAAAACTCAGGTGCCAGTCAGTGTATCTGAGTTATCCCTTGACAGCCACAAATGGAAGAACCCGTACTACGACTTGGTGTGGCTTGCTGAGAACTACCTAGCGATGCATGGCGCTCTATGTCTCAGGTTGTGCATCAATCGGAGCAGGACCCGGCAATCTAGACCTCACCTCCAATTCAAACATGGCACATTCTTCTCACGTGCGTGTTCACGAACACAAATCTTCAAGTGGGACGATGTGACGGCAGTCCATTGTCAAGTGCGAAAAGCCGACGTCTTGCAGCTTCATCACCTTGGCCTTTCGTATGTCGTGTCGAACCCAAGCCTGCGGATAAAAAGCGTCTCACTTTGCGTTCTGCTCGAAAAAGTAAACTCGAAAATCAATCTTTTCATCGACTGGAGGATACCACACCAAGGTTTTCGTCAACTGTCACACGCCAAAACTGTCGCATAACTACCTCGACCAGAACACACCAACCACCGCAGGGGAGGGAGAACATCACAAAATCCCATCTCGATCCATTCCTCGTACAAAAATATCTTTCCTCACCATCTCAGTCCATCACCCCCGTCACCACATCTTACCCTCCATCTCCACGTGTCTCAACAAAAATCATGTATCACCATAGTCCCCGGAAGATCACTCGACACACTCCCTCTCCCATTGAAAACGCCCACCGCAAAACAAACCAAGTACTCATCTCTATGCAGCCCTGCCACGCTCTATAAACCCAGCTCCCACACGTAGACAATACACAGCATGCTCTCCACAGCAAGAAAAACTCCGCCATCTGAATCTCCCTCATATCCCGTTCTGTTGACATAATGCCGATATCTCCTCGTCTCTTCACCGTCAACCCACTTGTTAAACACGCAACATCAATCACACCCCCACAAAGCCTCACCAACACACACATATTTTCAAAAAGAAAAAATCAAGACGAAAAGATAATCTTTTCCTACACAAAAAGAGCTGCACTGCAACCCCTCCAGCCCCAAAACACCCTGCAACAAAGCAAGTTATCCACGGCAAAAAAAATGAACAATACGCATACAAAAACCACCCTACTCAATCCAATCACAACCGTCCAACACACGCTCAAGACGTCGATGCGCCATCACGTCCCACACCCTTAACATCGCCCAACGCACCAATCAACACCTGCAAGTCGTCGACCAGCGTCTCCGCCCCAGTCTTAACGTACAATCTGCGCAGCCGTCAGCATCAAAGCCAGACAAGAGTCAAAACACTTCAAGAAGCTCAAGACCTCGCTTCCTCAAGCTCCAGCTCCAGCTGCCTGATGCGCTCGTCTTTCTCGTGGTCGGGCGAGCCGCCAGTCGAGACCTTCGCCTTCAGGTCGGTGACCTCGCGGAGCAGCAGCGCGATCTGATCGGTCTGGTCAGACATGACCTTGGTCTGGTTTTCGAGCTGGTGCCTGATGTCGCCCAGGGCGTCGCGGAGTGCTGAGGCGGGGCCGCCCGGTGTCGGTGCGGAGCTTGGGGCGGGAGTGGCAGCAGCGGGTGGTGTGGATCTCGTCTGCGTGGGGGTGGTGGGCTTTGCGGGCTCGGGCTGTCTGATGGGGACGGTCTTCTCTTCTTGCCTGGCGACAGTGGATGATGGGCGCTGGACTGGCTTGGAGACTTCCTCGAAGCTGGACACACTATCGTCGTCGGAGCTGGCATCCTTGTCGGCGAACTTGTCGGCCTGCGAGGAGAGGGAGTCTTTGTTGTCCTTGAGCTGTGGTGGCGGGGCGCGAGCAGCGGGCGCAGGTTGCGGGGCAGCCTTGGGCGTTTCGGCCTTTGTGGGCGAGAATGTCGACGCGGGGGAGATCTGGGCGGGCTTGTAGTCGGACGCAACCTCCTTCGGTTCCTCGCCCTCGTAGACGCTCTCGAGGGAAATCTTGGGCGGCAGAGCAGTCTTTCCACCGAACCACTCGCTGGCGGTCGTGCCGGGCGTGGTGCCGTTGGTGGGCGGGTAGATGTCGCTCTGGAACATCTCGGCGCGACGGGGCACGATGAAGGACACGGGCTCGATGTAGCCGTCGTTGACCGTCTTGAAGCAGCGCAGGACCTCGTTCTCGTGCAGGTTGATGCCGCGCTTGGGCAGGAAGGCGATGCCGCGCTGGGGGTTGGGCGACGAGTACTCGGAGAGGTATTCGAACTTGTCGTTTTCGTACTCGTAGTAGCGGATGTTGCCGTCGCTGCAGTATTGTTAGTTATAATTGGTCATCACATCGTCAGGTATATGACTACACACCCCTTGCCGGCGAGGTACAGGCACTGGGTGCCATCGTCCCAGAAGGGCATGCACACGCCCGAGATGCTGTCGAGGATCTGGAAGCCGCCAATGGGCTCCTTGGGGTTGCGCGGGTCCCACAGGCCGAGCTGGCGGTCGCTCATGCGCGAGAAGCCCGTCGTGGCAATGCGGTCGGCCTCGCCCATCCACACGGCGCGGCTGTTCTTCGCGCCGGGGTGGCCAGGCACCTCCTGGGCGGGCTTCTCCTGGCGCACATCCCACACGCGCAGCTTCTTGTCGCGGCTCGTCGTCACCAGCAGCGAGCCGTCGGCGCTCCAGGACAGCGACTGCACAATGTCGTTGTGCTTGAGCGTGAGCTTGGCCGCGCCTGCCTCGACGTCCCACAGCTTGACCGTGTAGTCGCCGGACGAGCTGGCCAGGACGCTCTCGGCGGCCGGGTTGAACAGCACGTGTCCGACTTTTCTGCATGTATATTAGACACTACCCCTCCATGGAATCGCACGCGTCCGCACCTCATGTGGCCGCTGAGCTTAGCAACGGGCGCAACGTCGTTGGGCTCCTCGGCGTCCGAGTGCAGCGAGAAGTCCTCGGGCACCTTCCAGATGAAGACCTTGCCATCGTCGGAAGCGGACGAGATGAGCGAGTCGTTGAAGGGGCTCCTACACCAAACATCAGCACTGTCCTCGCTGTCCCACGCGCCGTGTATTGCCGTACCAGTCGGTGTCGAGGACGGCGGCCGTGTGGCCGCGGAAGAGGGGGAGCTGCTCGGGAGCCCGGCCGCGCTCTTCAAGCGGGATGACGGCAAAGGCGCCTCCTCCGCTTGCTTCCCAGTTCACCGAGAGGTAGAGCGGGTTGGCCTGTGGAGGGTGAGCGGGCGCGTCTGGGGGTCGCGTGCGAGGCTGTGCTGACCTTGATCAGGTTCGTGTCCCAGGCGTTCTTGGAGATGCGCAGGTTGTCATAGCATGTCTCCTGGATGGGTATTAGTCTCGTACTGTTATATATACTGAGTGATTACGCATACCTTCTTTGTTCCCTTGCCAAACACGTGGCCTGGTTGGCATCGTCAGTCGTGTCAGCGCACCCCGACGTCGCAACATGGACTCACGGTACTTTGACGCTCTCACGAACCGGCCGGCCATGTTCGCAGGTGATGGAGTCAAGATGGAGAGTATGCAAAAAGAAAAAAGACTTCCTCAGAACCGCTTGGGTGTGTCGTTGGCCGTGTTTGTTGTCAGGTTCTAGTTGCGCAGTCGCGTCTCAACAGGGTGCCGCTGCATCATGGCAAAAGAAGCTTGGCGTGGACCCTTGCATACTGACCTAATCCTTGTTGATGCCCATTTTAGTCAGCTGCTACTTCTCTCCCCCACAGAAAAAACACAACTCCGTTCACACCACCATTGTCAAGTTTGAGATTCGAGACATTTTTCACCTCACAGTCCCCACTCCCCGAACCTCAATCTTAACCGCCCCTCTCCATCCCTCTCCCACACCTCCCCAAACTCTTCCAACGCACTCCTCCCCTCCCTAACCTCCCTCCGTCCCACCTCCTCGCACCTGTTCCCTAACCATGTCTTCCAATCATTCTCTCCAGCCATTAGTACGATATTCTCACTTGGATAAACACGCCACTGCACTCCACTCAACACTTTGTCGACGCCCTTGTTAAACAATCTCGTCTTCTCCGTTCCATCACGTTCCCAGATACGAAACATATCGCCCAGCGCTTCAGATATGCAGATCTTATACGCCCATTCAACGATGTGTGTGTAATATTCCGTATCTTTTTGTCGCTTTGCTTTGTGCTTCCGACTCAAACTCACCGCGTTGATGGGTTCTGTGTGTCCGTCAGTGGCGCGTAAAGAAGCTATGTAAGTGTCTACTGTGGGGACGAAGTCTGGTGCCCATGTCAGTGCCGCGGGGACTTTGTTCTGGAAATGCATGTCTTGCCCCATGTGTTCGGATACGAGGGGCGGGATGTGGTAGAGCAGGAGACCGATGGCGATACCTAGGGTCCAGGGCGAGGCGACTTTTGCACGGAGGGAGTGAAGTGTGAGGGGGTTCGTAGATGCAGACGGGGTTGCTGTTGGCATTGTGGGTTTGTTCCTGTGAGACAGGATTTGGGGAGGGGAGAAGATTAGTCTGAGGTGGGATCGTGGTGGTTGTGCGATGTGGGTTGGACTGCTGGACGGCTTTGTGAGTGTACGTTGATGTTGTGTGTATCGACTGCTAGAAGGGTTTCGTAGGATGCCTCATTCACTGTCTTGCAACTTCACTCCTTTACAGAATTGATGTTGAACGTCAAATTGTGGAATACATTGCCACGTGAAGCTACGAATAGTGCATTTCTGCCACCGGCATGTAGTTCTAGAGCGGACGTGAGTGTTCCTCGACAGCTCAAGTAATCGAGCGAGGTGGAATTCTGGGGTATCAAGTATATCCATTAAGAAGCACAGTAACTTCATCCTGATCTGCTTTCCTCCCACCTACGAGAACATGCAACTTATTCACGTGAAAGTCCAAGGAAAGAATACGTCATCTGTCGGGTTCATATCAATAAACCAGACTGTATCCTTTTTTGAAACGGAAGGTAAGAACATCCATTTTCCATTTGTCAAATAAGTAAAAACTGCGAATGACTTCATTTATTCCAGTGGAGAAGGTTACCGCAATTTTGCAATAGTTTGAATGTATGTTTCTATTAAATTCGATGAACAACATCAAAAATGTTTTTCTATGAAGAATTCATGAGCAATCCCACGCGTCATCCAAAAAACAAACAATGACAGCTGTCAGACTCCAAAATTCCAGCGAATCACCAGCCTGAACAAAAACATTTTTCCATCCCAACCAATCATAGTCTTCAAGACATGATGAATTACCAAACCTGCTTCCTAACCTCGGCCCATGACGCGCAGCCCGCTACCCATTGTGGAGCCCCCTGTCCGCCTTCCCCAGACAATCAAGCAAGCTTCCCCACAATCCCCAAACCCAACACCCAACACCCGCACCATGGCCGACGAAGTGACGAAACCCGGCGTGCCCAGCGCCGAAGTCATCGCCGAGAAGGCGGAGAAAGTCGCGCCGGTCGCAGATCCAGGACTTGGGCCTGGAAACACGCTGAGTGCGATTCGCAATGTGGATAGGACGATTTTGCGGTTGAACAAGTCAGTGCCACGTTCGACGATTTGAGAGTGAGAGATGTTGATCTGACTGGGAAACAGGCTGCTGGCGGCTCCAGGCGGACTCCCCGCTTTCCTCTCGACGTTCAATTACACCCTCTACATCGTCGCTTATCTTCAAACAAAGTCGCCCGCCTTGATGAGCGTCTTGCACAAGCTGCTCGCGCTGGTCAACCCGTCTTCCCCCACCGCAATCAAACCCCCAACAACGACCCTCGTCTCTACCGCCGGCGCTGTACCCCCTATCGCCGCCCTCGCCGTCCTCGTCTCCAAAGCGCGCACAACTCTCCGCCTCTTCGGCCTGCTGCCCATGTACGCCTGGCTGCGCACACTAGCCTCAGGCCCAAAGTTCGGCGCAGACCCGGTGCTGCACCGCATCGCAATTCTGCAGGCAAGCAGCTACTTCACGTACCAAGCTTTGGAGAACATCTCGCTGCTAGCCGACAGCGGCGTCGTCGGTCCATCCGTCATCGCGCGGATAAACCGCGGCGACTCAACAACAGCGCGTGTATACTTGTGGGCGTACCGCGCGTGGTTGGGCGGCGTGAGCTGTGATTTCTTGCGTCTGGGCCGTGAGTGGCAGCTGGAGGGGAAGAGGCGCGCTGTTAGGGCTAGGATGCAGAGTGAAGGGAAGGCCGTGGCGGAGTATCAAGATGGGGAGGATGAGAAGTTTGATTCGAGGTGGTGGACAGATGCGATGGTTGCCGCGGCGTGGTTCCCCATGGCGCTGCATTTTAGCAGTAGTGCCGGGGGACTGCCTGGGTGGAACCTGGGCTGGATGGGCGCGTGTGGGCTGGTGGCGGGGAGTACAAGGGTCAAGGCGCTGTGGGCGGGGACGGCGTAGAGATGCAAATGTTTGAGAGGTCTTTTATTGGTTTGGTTAGTTTTGTGCGAGTCTGGGATGCAGTACAGCGAGCGTTGATTTCTGGAGCAATTATATCTTTATTTGACTCCTGCATGCCCTTTACATGCCCATGTTGCCAACCAGCCCCCAACGATTGCCCACCACTACCTAACCTCCTCCATACATTCGATCTCAGCTATCACACCATCATCGCGTCCCTGTACCTTCCAAAGCAGCTCGTTCCCAACCATCACAACCCAATCGGATATCCCATCCTCGGACTAGTCCTGCGGGGTCCAACCGGGGGCATTCAGAAAGTGGGGGTGAAAGTCACAACAACAACAGCGGTAGTTATCCTGATTCAACAACGTCGTTTCGCTCTCTCCTCCACTTCGAACATCGACGCATCTGTGATAGGATAATTCAAAGTCGCGAATATGAAGTACGATAACACCGACCCGAGTGTTGGGCCAGATATGGATGCAGTCAGTAAAGCCTTCCTCCTTATCGTCGTTTTGTGAGACGGACTTTGTTGATGGGGATATTTTGAGGACTCACAGTAGCAATATATGAAAACATGCAAAGAATGATCATCTGTAAAGCTTGACATTATGTACAACAATAACGCAACAAGCCACTAACACAACGCCAGCACGACCAAGACCCCTTCAACATAACAGAAGCCAGCATCTCCGACCACCTATCTGCTCTCAACAGCGGGAGAGTAACCTGTGTCGACTTGGTAACCACGTACCTAACCCGGATCGCCCACCACGACACCCAACGCGGCCTCTCCGCCTTCACGCTACTAAACCCCTCCGTCTTCTCCGAAGCACTTGCATCTGACACCCGCCGCGCCCAAGGCCTGACCCCCCGCGCACTGGAAGGAATCCCCTACACGCTCAAAGACAGCTACAAGTACGCCAACCTCAGCGTAACGAACGGCTCGCCCGCGCTCGCCGGCCTGATGTCCAGCTCCGACTCCGCCATCGCGGCGAAACTGCGCGACGCAGGCGCCATTCTAATCGGGAAGACGAACATGCCCCCCATGGCGGCGGGGGGAATGCAACGGGGCCTGTACGGCCGCGCGGAGTCGCCGTATAATGCGAAGTACCTGACCGGCGCGTTTTCGTCTGGGTCGTCGAATGGGGCGGCGACCGCGACGGCGGCGAGTTTCGCGGTCTTTGGGATGGGCAGCGAGACGGTGAGTAGTGGGCGGAGTCCTGCGTCTAATAATGCGCTCGCGTGCTATACGCCGTCGAGAGGCGTGCTGAGCTGTAGGGGTCTGTGGCCGCTGTATGTTACGTGTGATGTGCCTGTGCCGTATGCGCGGTCGATGGACGATTTGTGCAGGGTGCTGGCGGTGATTGCTACGCCGGATGAGAGTGCCAAGGGGGACTTTTGGCGCGAGCAGAAGTTTGTGGAGATTCCTGAGCCGCCGGCAGATATCTGTACGTTGCTGCCGAATGCAGATGCGCTGAGGGGAAAGAGGGTTGGCGTTCCCAAAATGTATATTGGGTTGAGAGACTCGGATCCGCATGCTAAACATCCTCATGTTTCACCGGAGGTGATTCAGCTCTGGGGAGATGCTGCACGCCGCCTCGAAGCTCTGGGTGCAGAAGTGGTACATACCAATTTCCCGCTGGTAACGAACTACGAGAACGACTCTGTGTCAGGGGAGGCCAACAACGTCGTCGGCAGGCCCTCGGAGTGGAACAAGGTTGAGCGCGGCGTGCTCATCGCAAAAGCATGGGACGATTTCCTGGATCAGAACGCTGACGCCAAATTGAGCAGTCTGACAGATATTGCAGACCCCGCGATGCTGTTCCCCAAGCCCCCAGCTTACATACCAGACACCTTCCTCGAGGTGCGCAACTGGATAGACTATGCGGGCCTGCCCTCGCTGCTCACAGAAGATGTCAAGAACACACCACTGCAATCACTGCCCGGTCTCGCGCAAGCCCTCCCCGCTCTCGAAGCCCAGCGCGCCCGCGACCTCGACACATGGATGACGACCAACGCGCTCGATCTGCTAGCGTTCCCGGCGCAGGGCGACGTTGGGCTTGCAGACTTGGAAACCAATGTCGAGAGCGCGACGCATAGTCTGCTCAACGGGGTCAAGTACTCAAATGGCAACCGCGCGATACGGCATCTGGGTGTGCCGACTGTGAGTGTGCCGATGGGGGTGCTGCGTGGGAAGGGCATGCCTGTTAATGTCACTTTTGCTGGGAGAGCTTATGAGGATGCAGTGTTGTTGGGATGTGCGTGGGCGTTTGAACGGGAAGCGAGGATGAGGGTTAGTCCATCACTGACCAAGTCGTTGGAGACGGATTGTGTTGTGGCGAGATCGACGGGTTTGAATGGCACGGTGGATAGGAAAATTAATCTCAGTGTGGGGAAGGTGTGTGCGACGAAGTTGGATGACGGGGAATGGTGCGTTGATGTAGAAGGGAGTGTGAATTTGGGAGCTGTGGATATCACACTGCAAGTGTGTGTTGATGGGGAGCAGGCGTTCTATGGGAAGTTGGACAAAGGAGAGTGGAAGATGGCGTTGTCTCATTCATTGCAGCGGCCGGTGTGTTTGGGCTGGGACTTGAAGCCGCTGAAGCCACGGCCGATAATGGTCGTTGTTGTCGCGAGAGGGGAGGGCATGTTGTCCGAGGGCAAGTTGGCGTGGGCAGCTCTTGAAATGGTGAATGGCGCAGATTGAAGGGTCGTGGTATCGTTGTTAGTAGTATCTGTGGTGAATAGTAATTAAAGCTTTGTAAGCGGACAGCTTCTTTTTGCGCCCCAAAGTGTTGGTAGTCGTACGAGTGTTGTGGCAGTGTTGCACATATAACACGTCGTCGCATGACGACAACACAATGTAGTACTCGCGTTATTTTTGGGTGACTACGCAGGTAGCATCAGCTGCGCTGCAATCCGCCGAGCAGATGACAGTCCATTCGTTCGGTGTGGGGGATGAGGCGTGCAGATGTGGACTGCGAGTTTTGATTTTCCCGGCTCGTGCAGCAAGCTAGTGAGTCCATCGTGGGGCAAAAAGGGCATGAGGGACTTTCTTGGCAAAAAGGGCGAAAAGGGTGAGAGGGACTGATTCGCTTGGCGAAGTCCTCCTGTCAAAACAGTTCATGCTGACACGCAGGTTTTGGCGAGGGACTCTCATAAAGTCCCTCGCTCGTGCCCTCTCGCACGACTCATCTCTGGTCCCTCGCGCCCTTTTGGTTCATCGTCTACCCACTTCCGATATTTCAAATATATCTGATGTTTGTGTTGCCCTCTTTATTTCGTTGCCCTTTTTATCAGGTTGGACATGGCAGATGGAATTGTAAGTACCTGTTTTATTGCGTCTTGTCTACACTTCATCTCAGTCTGGCCCATCTTCTCGCCACCGTCATTCTCGCTCACCGATGCTCTCGGCCCTCTATTTTTCTATCCAACTTGAGCATTGTCGCTGATTGGTATAGCCCACACATCCCGTTCGGTTGCGACTAGAGAATGCACATCATTGTACTCGCTGAGTACAGCACTGCCAAAGTTTGAATCAAGAGCAGATGCACCTTCCTCCTGACGCGTTCGATCCGAGGTCCTTCGTCCGCTCGATCGTACCTTCCTCCAACACAACCTGGACGCAGAGCTGTCGCTTGATCGTCCATCGGCAAATGCTATTTCACGTAAGTTTTGCACCTAAACGGCATCACATCCTTACTGACCTTCTGGAATTGAAGTCTGTTGACGTCTATCGCGTACGCTACTTGGATCTTCCTGTCCTGATTCACGAAGTCATTCACATATGCTCGTCAAGAACTATGCCCCTTGTTTTCAACGTCGTCGTCCTTCACGAAGTTTGGTTCAACACCTGGACTGTCCACGAGCCCATCAAACACAAGTGTGTTTGAGGAGGCTGCTCGGCCCACTTGCTTGTGTTCACGTACCTTCCACCCTATGATCCTTTTCCCTCAGGAAATGCATGAGCGCCACGACAAATGCTGCTGTGCCTATCAAGACAGTTGGCGCACCGACTGCTATGCCAACAATACTCTCGGTGGACATGCGCTTTGTTAGTGGTTGTCCCACAGGCGCTCCTACTACCTTTGAAGCTAGACACGTACAATCAAGTCAGCCCCAGTGATTCCGTATGATTTATTGGCAGACGAAGACCTTCGATGCGTCTAGAGTAGACATGGACATACCAGCCGCCAGAATCAGGAACATTATCGCCCACACTGATATGCAGATGCCTCTCAACATGGTCGTCAATCCGATGGTCGATTTTCTTTCCGGACAGTTGGTCAGCTGGACAAGCAAGCGTAAAACTTTCGATATCGGACGGCGATGCAAAATTAGGTGGGAGCCGGAGAGACCCAGCAACACACTCGATAAGCCCCTCACGCGCGCTCATGCATGCTCCGTGTCGCCGATGTCAACTACAACGCACGATTCTCGGGTCATCCTCCATCATACGATGATTTGCTGTTTGCCTTGGTTCTCATGGCTGTCGGTTACACAATCACACTGTCGACATGGATTCCATGCTCATGCGAATGGGCTATCGATCTTAAACTCTAACCAAGAGATCCAAGGCCCTGCTCATGATCGAGATGAACATTGTTCGTTTTCTACACGGCATGTTTTCGTTAACAGTAATTCTCTATCGGGTGTAAGCTAAATGGCCTCTGATTAGTTCTCATAACCTTCAACACACTGGTAAGGCTCACATGCGAACTTACACCGATGCTTTTGGCTGATAAAACGCTAGTAATGGGTCTAACAAGCAAAACGGTATTTTACTATGTTCTCCGCGTCCGGCCAACGAACACGTTGCATCGCTTTCGCTTACCCCTCGATGGGTTGGAACGCCTAAGATGCATGGCAACGCTTACTAGCACACCGATCAATTGCTTTGCACAGCCCCCCACTTCGGCTAGACGTCACAAAACAGCGCCCGCATACAACCAATCGCATACTGTAGGCATTTGGCCAATTAGACAATGCGACTTGGAGTTACTCGGCAGTCTTGTCTCTTCATCGCAAGCACCGCAGTTCTAGTACTATGGCACTGTCAACAACGACGAATTTAGAAAAACAGCCCTGACGTATTTACCAAAGACCTGGCACAAAGGCCACCACCCGCGCATCTTTGTGGCCGGTCTAATAGCTTCGGTCTGCACTGCTGTCGTCATGGTCGCAGCATCTGGAAGAGTGAGCCACTCGCTGAATCAAGACAAGCAAGTGGTAGCAGCAACAGGATTTCGGAACTTCTCGTATTACCGGCGAGACCGAAGATGGGAGACATGCAGCCCTCCCTGGTGACGACCCCTTGCATGACCAACAACTGAAGTGGCACCTTCACTGGACATCGAAAATCGCGCATACAGGCGTGGCTTCCACTAATGTAACACAGACATGAATCGCTTCACTGTGCAAGCAACGGGCTGCATATCTAAACCGGTGAACGGATGGACAGTCTGCTTGAGAAACAAATTCGAATACGCGAGCTTCCCAGATCCACTACTACGAAAACACCTTAATTGCTAGGATCCACGCAGGAAGCTTTGAGCAACTATACTTCAGTCTTCGCGATCCGTAGATTTAGGAGTTTCCGGAACACCCCAAGGCAGTTCTATTGGATCCGTTTCAAGAAATATCCGCTCTATATATATTGGGATTAGGGATTTTAGTTTAAAATCCTTGTAGAATAGGTACATACAAAATATATATTACTAGTATAAAATTTAAAAGTTAAAATATAAAAGCTTACTTTTAACTAAGGAAATTTTAAAAGTTATAATATAAAAGTTTACTTTTAATATAATTAAATTTAAAAGTTAAAATATAAAAGTTTACCTCTAACCTAGTAAAATTTAAAAGGTAAAATATATAAGTCTACTCTTAATTAAGTAAAATTTAAAAGGTATAATATAAAAGTCTTCTTCTAACTTAGTATAATATATAAGTTAAAAACTAAAAGTTAGAATAAAAAAATTTACTTTTAATTTAATAAGATTTAAAAGTTAAAATATAAAAGTCTACTTTTATATAAGGGCACTATAAACAGGTAATTAAGATATAGGATAAATAGGTATTTATTAAGAGATTAGATAAATCCTTAGGGTATAAGCCCTAGAGATTTATAAGTACTATATACTAAAGCTCTAAGGGCCTTACGCCCTTAGCCTAGAGGTTTACTAAAGGTAGGCTAATAGGAGCTTAGATAGAAATACCTATAATAGAGCTCTCTTTCTGCTTATAGTTTATCCTAAACTACTAGAATTTTTAGAGTAAATAAATAGGTATTTAATTTATATAGTTACCTTAATTAAACTCTATAAAAACCTTTTATAAAAGAAAAATAGTTTAAGAGAAATTTAGTACTAAATTATTTAAGTTTTTTCTAGGCTAGTTCTTAGATCTAGCCTAAAAGCCTACTACACTAGGCTTATATCCTTATTACTAAGTTTTTATAACTTTAGTAAGTATAGCCTAGTTTATTATAAGTAACTACTAGGCCTCTATAGAGGGTCTTATTTACTGTTATCTCTAGATTATAATTCTTAGAGGTATAGTTATACTTACTATATATTATTATTAGTAACTTTACGTTTATAAATTTTACCTTATTAGGTACCTCTTAACTATATAAATAGTTTATTAGGCTCTATTACTTCTATAGCTCTATTTTAGGGACTTTATAATATATAATTATATAAAGTAAAGGCTTAATATAGAGTTTACTTATAATAATTTATTATTTACTTACTTTATTATTATAGTTAGTATTTATACTAACTTATATAATTATTTATAGGCTAGTATTATTCTTATAAGGTATATTACTAGTAGCCTTCTTAGAAGTTTATCTTATATAGGCAGTGCTTACTTTAATATTAGTACCTATTATACTCTTTATAGAGTTTATAACTATAGTTCTCTTATAAAAGTCTATTAGCTCTCTATAAGTAGTCTACTAAGTATAGTCCTAGTATCTTAGGTAGTATTTATTATTTATTTATATTATATTAACTTTTTATAGTTATTAGTATATATAAAGTAAGGTAAAGTAGTATAGTATTATAGTAGTCCTAAAGAGCCAACATACATATACTAGATAGGTATAAAATACCTATATATTACCTTATAACTTTAATATTACTATAATAACCTTCTTCTTATTAACTTACTATACTTCTACCTTTTTATATTAGTAATATACCTCTACTTAAGTAGATCTACTAGCTCTTTACTAGTATAGCCTCTTAGCTTACTCTTACTTACTTCTAGTATATAGGCTATATTAACTTTCTTACTACTACTTTCTAAAAGTACCTTTTTAATAGTACTATTATATTATTTTTTAAGCTATAGTAGAGTAATAAGCTATACTATAAATATAAGGCTAGTTAAAGTATTTATAGTAATTATTCTAATACTAAGACTAGAGGTTATACTAAGGTAAGTTTCCTATTTTATTCTATTTATACTTTATTTATTACTAACCTTAATAGATTCTACCTAAGTTCTATTATATTATTAATATCTTTAACTACTACTTTAAGTATACCTTATATAAGACTTAGAAGTTTACTAGCTTTATATCTACTACTAACTCTAATATACTCTTTATAAATAACTAGGTATAGGCTAACTAGGTAAATACTTACGCTTATACTAAGGCTTATTATAAGAGTTTTCTTAAGTATAATTATACTAAGTACTATACTATTACTAATAGTAGTTTCTTTACTATAGCTTTTAGTTAGGCTTATTAAGTTTCTACTTAGTATAACTTAAAGTAATATAAGGTTAGTCTACTATTATTCTAGTATTTTCTTATTACTAATTTATTTTAGTTAAGTCTTAGTACTACTAGCCTATATTATTCTAATAATATTATTATTTATACTCCTATAAAGGCTTACTTTCTATATAATAGCACTTTTAAGAATATTAACTAGTACTTCTACTACTATAGCACTAATATTCTTAATACTAAGAAGGAAAAGATTCTATTCTTACTATTATTCTAAAAGTATCTTTATTTAGTAGCTCTCTATACTTCTAGTTAAAAGGTAGCTAGTAGTACTTTTAAAAAGGCTTTTACTACTAGTTTCTTTAGTTCTCTAATAGCTAAGTATAACTCTAGTAGTATTAGTTCTAACTTTATAGTATTTTAATAAGTAACTATAAAAGTTTTCTTAGTAGATATATATTTTAATTTCTTTAGATAGTATAAGAAATAATAATTATAATTTTTTATCTTTACTAAGGCCTATATTATTTTATACTAGTTTATAATTTTAGTTTTAGAGGTAATTACTATACTATAGCTCTAGCTTTCTTTTTCTTTTTTTTTTTAAATATTCTTTCTAAGACGTTCTTATTTCTACCTTAGTAGATTATTAACTTCTAGCTTTAGTAAGGCTTTTACTTTCTACCTATATCTCTTAGGTAGCCTATAAGTACCCTAAGATATATTTTATAAGTTTACTAAATAGTTTTAGAGAATCTTATTATAGTAATTAAAATTCTTAAGTAATTTCTAGGTAGTATTCTTATTAGACTAACCTAGCTACTTTACTCTATACTTCTACCCTTAGGTAGTAGTATTATAGTATTCTATAATTCCTTTAACTTTATACTTATTTTTAGGTAAGGTATTCTTTAGAAGTTATATAGGCTCTAGCTAGAAGCTCTTCTTAGTAAGAGGTTTCTACTATAGTTTAAGTAATAATATATTAAATACTAAATATATATACTTTATAAAGAGTAGTAGTACTAGTTTATAAGCTAGTTTTCTAATATACTTTATAATTATAAAAGGCCTAATATTATAGGTATTTCTATCTAAGCTTCTATTAGCCTACCTTTAATAAACTTCTAGGCTAAGAGTATAAGGCTCTTAGAGCTCTAGTATATAGTACTTATAAATCTCTAGGGCTTATACTCTAAGGATTTATCTAATCTCTTAATAAATACCTATTTATCTTATATCTTAATTACTTATTTATAGTGCCTTTATAATTTAAATCCTTTATACTTCTCCTTAGAAAGAGTAGTTAATTTAAGATAAATAGAAGCTATTTTCTTTAATAGAAAAATAATACCTTCTTAAAGAAAATAAAACGTTATACCTAAAAAGAGCCTAATAGTATTCTTATCTAGGACTAAAAGTAACCTAGCTCTAGAGTAAGGCCTAGCTACCTATATTAAAGACATAGAGAGCCTAGATAAAAAAGAAGAAACTTCTAAGT